ATACATACAAAAGAAATTGGGGACGTCTGCGACTCTTGTATACTTGCAATAGAACCTTCGCCGCACTTGGCAATACAATACGCAACATACTTTAAATTCTAGGACGTGGTACATATACTTAATTTTTTTTTATAAATAGTAATGAAACTGATATTGTAAATGTTTATATACTTAAAAAATCAAACTTTATGTTGGTATTTAAATTAATTTGGTATTTATTTACCGTGATTTATAATCTAAAATCGACTGTATGTTTTTATCACATTGTTTATAAGTTTGCATAGTTTAAGATTTTCGAAAGCACATGTTTTCATAACATTATAATTTCTACTATTTAAGAACGATAATTCTTAAAGTCATAAAAAGAATTTAAAAAAAAATATGCGAAAAACGACGGTCAATTTTAGTCTGATCATTAAAAGTATTAAAGAATCCCATTAACAAATAACAACGTGAGAATGCAATAATTGTGATTTAAAAAGAAACATTAAAAAACAAATACAGACTAAAAATTTCATTAAATTATTTAAATATTTAAAAAAATTAATTAAAATTGCGTAGTTTTTCGATCTTTTTAAAACCTATTTTCTGATATCACAGAAAAGACAATTACAGTGTATAAAATATTTGTATTAGTCGAATATAATAAACTAATAATTTTTAATTCAACCTCACTTTAATGTTTTCTTTATGCGTTATGAACGCGTTTTTCCTTCCACATTCCTTAAAATTATATAAGGAACGTTGTCCATTAAACGAATACAAATTAATCAAAACAAACCTTACACCTGCTTCAACAAAGGTGTTCTAACTTCAGTTATTCAATAGATAAAGTTCTTTTTCTCAATAGAGTCACAGGAGCGGTAAAACAATAAAACACAAGCACTAATAACAGTTCACTGTAACACTGTGTAACAACGATCCGTTCTGTTTACTTTCGAAAATAGTTGAACGTCGAGTTTGTGGATAGAAGTGGTCGGGTCGACGCCGCGGCTTGTACTGCGCGGGCGCACAGTAGAGAAACTCAAGAGAAAAGTGCCTTCCCTGGCACATTGGCGATTACATCAGTGATCTCATTGACTTTATTGTTAAATGTACTTATTAGGAACATAAACAGTTCCCTCTTACTTCCTAAACCTTTCAAATTTAATTTGTATAATGTTTAATTAATCCTAGTCATGTTCTATGAAATAAAGATAACTCTATAGAATTAAAACTCTCTTTTGTTTTTTTCATTATATATCTATTCAATTAATAACAAAAAACAGCTTTTTTATAGTAAATTTAATTAAAATATATTCATATGTTGTTACTTCATAATTTTGGTCGTCATATTTCTCCTTTCAAACGGTAATTAATACTACAATAACGGCGGTGACAAAATGTAGAGGACAATTAGAATTTGAGAACAAGTCTCGAATTTCTTTTCTTTAATTCTTTTGTCGTCTCGGAGAATGTTAAGAACATTTTCACCTACTTTCATTGTTGTGCGTTAATTTTGTAAAAGGTTTGAAACCATAAAATTTATTATAAATGACTTTTCCACACCATTTTGTAGAAAATATGTATTGTTGCAGTAACAATTATTCTTATTTCAAAACACCAACAAATAATTGAAGTCTGTACTAGGATTGTTACAAAAAAAGAAAATTGTTCAAAATTGATGAGATTAGCAATACATAATGTAGACGAACCAATCACTATTAAAACAATAAGGCTCATTTTATATTTGAAATATGTAAGTGTTACGCAAACTGGTTATTTAAACCTTTATTATTCATAGCGCATTTCCTTCCTACTGTTACGTTAAATGAAGTCTTAAATAATAATCATATACCATAAGGCAACTTATTATATTACGTGAAGATTTCATGTAAATACCGTTATAATGATGAAATGGTGTTAATGAGGCTAACTCTGTAGGAAAATTCATTGAGATTTTGTCTAATACTGCTTTAACTAAAAAAAATCTTTTACGACATACAAGTCGACAAACATTATTTGTCGAGGGAGCGGTTGTTGTATGACCTTCTGAAATCCCTTGAAAGGAATAAACCGGTATCTAAGACATACAAACTACGTTCATAATGTTATTAGAGCTCTGTTCTAAGTCATAGTAAAAGTAGTCATAGAAAATGCAATCTCATTCAGACGACAGTGATCTTAACTATTGTAAACTGTTTTTACTTAGATAACGATGAAACGAGGTAATGAAAAGAGAGTGAAGGTTTTTCCTTTTTAAATATTAGCTGTAAATATTTGAAATACTTATTGTAATACAGGGAATTTCAACACACTGCATCACACTGAAGAATCTACCAATAATTATAAGCTGCACGCAGTAACTATAAATAATAATATGTTGGATAAATATCAACTTATAACTACTACTTATTAATTTAATATAATTAAGGTGAAAATATTCAGTAATTAAATCTATCATCTATAATTACGTATACCAACTGATACGAAAAATTATAGACGTAAATAGAAAAATAACATCCAAAAAAAGTAGAATAGCATATTTCATCGTGTAAACTGATTACTTACTTTCTTCTATGTCCTGGCAAAATAAACAGATGGGTTTATAAAGGTAGATAAACAAAAATATATATTAGTGCCATTAATATAAATGGCTTCATATATTTTTTCAACGACACAATTTTTTTGAGAGCGACCAAGTCAAAATAATCATATAATAACTATATTAATCCTGGGTAATGTGGCTGATGTTATACAAAACTGCTTCTTAGAAAAAAAGGGTACGGTTTTGCTAAACAAGTATATTATCATTCAGTCCACAATAGTTTGAGTTAAAACTTAGAGTTTATAGAGGTTTTGGTAAAATATATGCAACTAAATAAAAAATATTTACAGAACTACAATGTAAGCGTTTCCCGCATGCAGCTGCAATTGTATTGCACAAGAACTTTCACCAACATGAGGTGTTTGTATGTATGATGACGCGTTAGTTACGTATCAGTGACGATTCATTACAAAGCCTTGAATATTTAAACTTTTAAATAAATTTATTTAAATAAACTAACATTTACATATTCTCCTTCACACACTTAAATTAATTAACTATTTAATTCATTGTTTAGTTAATTTTGAATACCCTTCCAGTAGTTACGTTCATGTGATGTGGAATGTATGCGGTAGTAGCCAGTTATTCAAAAGAGGTGTTTTAAAATGGAAAGTACAAAAACGGTGATGTCAACCGGATTTTGCCCCAATTACGTAACCTGTCTTAAGATTGTGTCTTGTAAAAGATCGAAGACAATAACTGTTTTTGTAAATTTTAAGAAACAAGAATATAATACTTTGTTCTAATTCCTCAATGGATCTATTTGATAGAAATCTTAATTTATCATACACTAAGTGAACATTTAATTTATATGTTCATATATTTTTTAAATTACCAAGAAGAAAACAAAAAACATCTAGTGTATAGTATTGGAAGCAATATATAATAATTAATATTATTTTTATTTTACTCTACCAAATATCTCTTATTTGGCATAGTTACATTTTTAGTTAATATTAGTATTGCTTTTTTAAATAGCTATAGTTCTTTGCTATATGTGATAGTAAAAGTTTTTATCAATTTTAAAATTAAAAATATCGAATTGCTAAAAAAAATTCTAAATATGGTTATCTGCACCAAATAGTGTCAAAAAAATTAAATAAATCGAAATTATATCTGAGTGTTATTTACTTTTATATACTTCCTATTCCAAAAATCCCAACTCCTTAATATAAATTATAGTTATTTAATATTTTGAAGGCAAATAATAATCGTATGTTTGTAAATTTATGTAACTACTAGCTGCGCCCCGCGGTGTTACCCGCGGATTTCCGAGATTTCCGGGATGTAAAGTAGCCTCTGTGTTATTCCTGGACGTCAGCTTCCTTTATACAAAATTTTATCAAAATCGGTTCAGCCGTTTGAGCGTGAAGAAGTAACAAATAAACACACACATTCACAAACTGTCGAATTATAATATGAGTAGGATATTTGTTCAAGTGGAACCTTGCAACTTAATTTTTAAGTAGATATCTCCAATCGATTTAGTCGTTACTATTTATTTACGATCATATTAGTTGGGATGATAATAATATATGGCCAAGTGTGTAACGCTGTCGTATAAACAACATCTGCAGTTTTTTGACCTTCAAAATATACTCAATTTTCTAATTATTCAATTCTTAAACATCAAAACTAGCGCTTTCCGACTTATTTCTTAATTCCAAGAAGACTAGCTCCAGTATCCGATGACACCCGTTCCAAATAAACGACCTAAATATCACATTACCGACAGTGGAAAGGAAGTCCGTATAGTCAATATTAATTTTTTTTTAAATTTGAATTGTTTTCTCTTGGTATTTTTTACTTACTTACTTTACTTATTACCAATAAAATATGTATTTAAAATAGAAAGCAATACCTACAATAAACACACATAAATTTTCTACTTTAACTTTAACTGAAAGATTCTTATTCTTATTTTAATCAATACATATTAATTTTAGATGAAACGTTTGTGTTTTTTATTTCATAATTTTTATAAGTGTATAAGTACTAATTAGTTATTAATTCCTCTAAGCAAGTTTAATTACTGTCTTTATCGAGATAATGTGATGGCGAATAACAATTCATTCAAAATTCAAAGCTTTAGGTCGCGCCATCTCTGTAACAAATTTTAAAGTTTAATAGTCTCTAAAGACGCCATCTATCGTTAACAATAGTATACATAATTTACCGATAGATGTCACGACTTTTACCTGAAAAATGTATGTATTTTCTAAAAATAACACTAGAGTTCGTACAAAGCGCTATATTTAGTTTTTAGACATTTGACAAAAAGATGGCAGAGAATGCCGTCTGCTGCCTTACGTATTTATTGCAAAAATGGCGCATTATGTGATATTTTCACATGAATTACAAATTATAAGTGAAAAATTGTGTCGTGTTTCGTTGTGATGGTGTGATTTTTCCTATGAATGACAGTGATTTTTGTGTGTCAATAAGACATCGACATATTTTGGGATATTGGATTACACATAATATAAAGGTATTTTGCTCCTCCTACGCTTCAAATATTAAATCTTAGCTTGAATTGTACTGTGTATTTTCGTAAATGCAATACTTGACTGGAAAATATTACATAAGCTTGTGGGCTTTAACACAAATTTCCGTTTTGCTTTTCCCTTTGCCACATTCGTTATTTTGTAGTTCCAAACTTCCTGGAATTTCTGTCCATGGTTTAATATGTATCGAAGTTGTCACGTCGGTGTGAGTTATTGGTTGCCTATGCAAGCTTACATGACATCAGCAGGCGATACCAACTGCTGTAAACATTTAGCTGTGTGATTCATTCCACGTTATAATCGTCCCAAAAAAAGCTTAATTTAAACATTTTTTCTTACCTACGCAGCTCTTTTAACACCAATATACATTTTATTTATATCCCTGCCCCAATTGATCTCCTGTGTATTATTTATAATTTCTCCTATTAAATGTAGAAATGTAAAATTAAAAGTATGAAGTTTAATGGAATTTTTACGATTGTTTTTTTTTTATATTATTTTTCTCAGATGTTTCTTGTCAATAAACATTTTATTATGGTCTAAAATTCTGTCAATTCTAAAAACTAAGACCCAAATATTTTAACTATAATATGCAAATTATTAAAAAAATACTCATAAGTTTTAAATACTATCAATGTAAGTGTAATTAAAATCTTTGTAAAACAAAAGACTAATAGTTCATAGTAAATAAATCCAAATGCTGTCCTTGACTAATTGTGTAGTTACATTCTAATAATATCAAAGAAACTAGGTCTGTATTTTTTGTGTTAGCTTCCTAAATCTTTGAAATGGCTGCCATGACACACATTTATAATCAGCTTGAGTTTTGTATTTTATATAAAAATAGCAATTTCAATAATAGTAGAAAAAAAATTATTTATATTATTAAATAATTTTCATTACATATTTCACCACACATTGGAATTGTCATTAACATTATTTTAAATAATTTAAACAGAACACTCAGTTTATACTGTTTCTTCTCAACACAAGAAATTAAACCCATATATTCAAATGTTTTGTCACATATTCATTATAAAATAATAGTTATAAAATAACAATATAACCCCCTCCTATTGATTAATGTAAGATTTTTTTATAAATGTTATTAAACGTAAAAAAAACACACAGACATAATGATTAAAAGCCACATGTAAATATTTTACTAATATTGGATTGACTTTTAAAACGAAAGATTCTTTTTATCAAATTTTTCTTGGGGGTGTCAGTTATGTATAATTTATTAATACTTATAATAAATGATTGAAGTGGCTTAGAGAAAAACTATAAAATTTTGCATGTTTTTAGAGTTATTGATACTTTGATTTGGATATTTGTGACGACAGTTAGAATTTAAGTATATATTGGTCCACAAAAATTTTATTGGTTTTTTATAAATATTTGGTTTATGTTTGTTAATTGTTATCTTATAATTACTTAACATAATCTTTATTACTCAATGTTTTGCTGCATTTTGGGTTCGATTTCGTACCTTAATTTTTTTAAATTACGTATTTTAATAAAAATAATGAGGAAATACCGAACAACTTATTGATTTGTGCTTGAATGATTGAATCATCATTGATATATTCAAGAATTATTATATTAATTAATTTATCTTATTATTATCGGGTAAATGTTATTGCCATTTCCACTGCTCTCTCATATAAATAAACAATATTTATAAACACTTATAGAGACAATTTCTTTCTTTACTTTAATATTTACTTTGAGATGTTAAAAATAATGAACTAATTTATAAAATTTTAAACTGATGTTACATTTTATTAATTTTCCATCAATATGGACCCTCCTTTTGTTTTCAAATTCCTATTGTAATATACATGTCAATTGTATAATTGGATTAGGTGATCCAGATACTATGAAATGCTCTGGTGTGTTCTTGACAGTCTGTCATATTTAGGACTGGCTACTACAGGTTATGTAAGAAATTTACATCTTACATTAAATATCAGTATTATGGACTAATATATGGATAATGTTAATATAAACTCACAGTAGGAGTACCTATCTTACTTAATACTTTAAAAAATCAATAGGTGTTGGTATCATGACTGTTATATGATCAAACATTATTTGTAAACGTTTAACATTTTAATATAGTGACTACCACGAAATTAAAATACAATTACTTTAAACCGACTAATCATTATGAAAAAAATACGAACTGAATTTGGAACCTGATAACTACGGTACTTTCAATAAATCAATGAAAATTTATATCGCCACTAAAGAGGTCGCGTCCTCGTGGCTATTTGTCGAAGCAAACTTAAAATGAACTCTATGGAAGGACAGTAAAAGGGGTAAAGGTTAAAATTCACGTGGATACATTTTCTGGCAATTCGTGTTGAAGGAAAATATCAGGCAATCTAAAAAGATAATATTATTTTATACAGGGTGACTGGTGAATTACTATCGATATTTGAGGACGTGATATTTGACGATCATATATGACAAAATAAAAATTAATATAACATAAATATTAATAAACTTCTAAGTAAAGTTAACCAGCACGCCGCCGCACGCGTCCACACTTGAACACTTGGAACGTGTCAACACTTTACTTATTTATACGGAAATTTTGTCAAAAATTAAGTGCCTATTTTTTTTTACATAATTCGAATGAGAATCATGTACCGAGTATTCTCCTTAAATATTGATAGTAATTCACCAGTCACCCTGTATATGTCAAGCAAAGTCCCTAAAAATATCTCTCTTGTTAACGTGTACTAGTAAGGGGAGTTTAAGGGAGACGAAACTTTGAAATGGATAAATAAATGTCAATTTGAAATCGTTTTCCTCAATATGTAAAAAACGTTCAAAATACTAAATTTAACTTAATAAATTTGTGATTCTTTGCAATTTCTCGATACCAATAAGAAGTATTATTCCAACGTCTATGATAAAAGCGAAAGACTGATTCTTGTCCCACATTATTCAAATATAACAAGGTGCCGGTTCAAGAGTTAGAGACCATAATATCTTGGAAAACACAACGTAAGAGTGTCGAAATGTAGAAGCGTATAGTAGACAAGCCAAACCATAACATCGGCTTTGACAAACCACAGAGCTCAGTTTCTGTTGAAAATATACACTAAAATTAATTTGCGGGACTATAGAAATTTTAATATATTCCAATTAAATTATTATCAAAAAGATGATAAATAGTGATTAATTTGAACCTGGAGTCCTTCCACTTCGAATATCAATCCCTGGTCCTTGACCACAAAGCAAGACTTCAAGATACAATACAGTCGTTCTTTCATGCAATAAGTGTTAAGTCACTGACGTTTCTCTTCTCACGATAATTTTGAAAAGCAATCGAAATTTCCTGCTAAAATCAACCAATGCAAATAAAGTTTTATTTAAATATACTGTCAGTATCCCAAAATATGTAGACCATGCATAGTAACTTTAGCTGATAATAAGTTACTCTAGTTACAGTATCTGTTTCTGCAACCTTATAATTTATTAACGAATTAAAACCAAGGCTGATGAAGATTAAATTGAACCATCAATCAAATTATTGCTAAAAAATATTTTTTTTTATTATTTAAAAAAGACATATTTTCTTTAAGAATGTATACTAAAAAATTTTCTGTTACTTGAAACCAAAAAGTTTGTCTCTTAAATTTTAATAATAATGGAAGGTTATTTTGTGGCAATTGTTTTGTAGTCTAAGGTTACAAGTTGATTATGTTTCGTAAATAATACGTCAAATGCGAAATAAAGAGTGGTTTTTGCCTGATGCTATAGGCAAAAAAGTCATTACTTGGATATTTATATTAATGCCTAATTTTCTGTTATTTACAATAAACAGACTCCTGTCTGTCTGACGTCTGTGTTTTGTACTTTACCTTGTTTACGTTGAATGTGATTAACAGAGACCTTTGACAAGCAAATTTAACATATTAAATGATCCAAAAATAGGCAGGTTAGGCATTATGATTCATTAATTTATGTTCATTAGTTACATTTTTGATTTTCCTTAAAATTGTTTGATTCACTTTTATTAAATGTTTTGATGATTCGAATGCTGTTACGGGAAAATCTGAAAATTAATTTACAATTGTGATTGTGGTGTACTGCACCGTTGACTCAGCATTCTGTAATTAACTTTTATTTTTGGTACAATCATCGGGCCCAAGTTCGGGACTCTGCCAAGATATAAAATTTTATGACAAAAATCTTACATGTGAAATCTTTAAACTGCTTTTAGTTTCTCGGAGACTTCAAAGAGTTTATTTATATAATAATTTAAATGAACCATTGTCTTCTATATAACATAGTCTGCAGCTGCTTCCTTTGTCCCTTAATCTCCAAACACCTGAGTGTAGATTAAATGAATTCTTATAAAACACGTGTGGACTGCCGGTACGTGTGATGTAGGATTTATATTTTTATTTTTTAGTAACATTTTCCTTCTTTTAACATATCTTTTGTTTGTCATATTACGTATAAATACCACGCACAAGACGGCACCACAGTCGTAAAAGATTATAAAATTAATATGTGCGTGTCGGATTGCGTACCATGTTATATAATGTTCTGAATACAAAAGAAATAATAGAGATCGTATCCTATTAAAGCCTCGTGAAGGTTCTCATACAATTTTGTTTACAAAATATATATTATGTATACAAAAATGAATCTCACTGTCTTGAATAAATCCAATTGACTGGAAAATCCTGTAACAAAACTGTTTGTATCGAATAGTTCTAAACGAACGCGACTTAATCCAGTCACGTTTGTAACGAGTTTATTGCCTGCTTTTCTCGACAAAATTAACATTCCTAATCGATAGCAGATCGATGATAACACTGCGTGCATACAATTTCGTTTCACATCTTACCGAAGAGAATTTTTAAAAAACATTTAGGTATTCCAATGATTTGTCTGTAACCGCCTTTGGGATTATTTGTAACATGAATAAGTAAATTGGTCTTTGAAATTCACACGCTAACCTATATACAGGATGTTCTTTATGTATCAATTTAAATTGGGTTTATAACAGTGTCAGTAGAATTTGGAGGCGAACTAAGTGCGAATAGTTGATTGGAGGTTATTCAACTGGTGAACAGAAATAGCGCGATCACTCGCGGCATCTAGCGTACCTCTGATGACGCGCCGTCAGCCCCGGGACATGTCTTGCTTCCGGGATACGACACAAACTCAATATTTCATCGCTAAAACAGCTTTACCACAGCACTCTTTTTATTATACAAAAGTTATATTTGGAACACCTTCTCTCATTCCCTATATGTTTACTTTTAAATAATATATTTTTGAATACACTTGCTTATGAAATATAATTATACCTACTATGTACTAGTCTGCTAGTAGGCTGTTCCTATGATAATTTTGTTTATTTGGGGTCTTTTACGGGATATAATATTTATTAACTAGATGTAAAATACGTATGTATGTACAAATAATTTTAAAACTTTTCCCTTCAGCGACTTTTTATATCAACAGTACCTAACATGAGATAAACGTGGTCTGTAAATCTTTGTAATAATATAACTTTATAATAAAATATATGAAAAATAAAAATACAAGTAAATTCTTTGGTTGTTAATGATTAATTTAAATGCTGTTCGTGTAAAATTTTAATAGAAATGGTTTTGGTAGAAAAGTTTAATGTAAAATCTATTCTCACTTTTTGAAATCAGTAAGGAAATTTTTAGCAATTTATTTTGGTCCTAAACATTAGTGGTGGTGTTAAATAATTGTTTCGTAGGTAATAATCGGTTTAATACGTCCATTTGATTTTAGTTTGTTATATCGATTAATTGTATTATTGTTAACCTATACAGTACAAGATATACTTATGTATAGCAGGAAATTCAGAATTTTCACCCGAAAATCTCCTTTAGTAATCATTATACGACAATTTTCTAGATAATTCTTATAACTGGCAGTCGACGGCGTGTCTTTCTGGTGTGACGTCACACTTTTCGTATCGATACAAGCATATAAGCCCTTTTTAATGGTAGAGTGTCGGTCGGCCGCGGACGATAGTGTGTCGGCTGCGGCTCGGGCGTTAGGATCGCGATATTTATAGAGGCGCCGACGCCGGCCTTACCCAGTATGTACACTATCCCCGTATGTTAATTGGCTACTTGCACCACATATTTCATTAGTTCGCTCACACCAATGCCATTGAAAATTTATACAGTTTGATGAACACTACAGAAATGTTCATAAGTATTATTTAAATAGGACCCATCAAGATCAAATAAGACGTGGATGTAAAATTGTGTGGATATCGTAAATAAAACTGTTTTGTTAAGAATGTTGTAAGATTGTCATCTGTAATAGTAAAGTTAATAGCAATACAATTCATCCGGGTAACCGACCGGCCTACTTCCTCAAGCGTTAAATTTGTTTTTATTGCAGCTACAATCACACCAGCATAATTCTCACTGTGAATATTAATTTCCCAGAATTGTCGACTCATTGAACTAAATTTGAAATTAAGGAAAACCGAACAAATTTAACTGAGAACAAATCGTTTTAAAGTTCGAAAGATTCTCTCATATATACTTAACTAGATTTTTAAAACATAATTCCAAAAGCACATAAGTCTATATCTATTCAAATCATTACAAATAGATTTGATAGATAGGAAGAGATAATCATATTTGTTATATACGTATATGTATGTAGAAACACCTCATGAATTTTTCACTCTATCAAATGTCGTCCGCGAAAACAAAGTCGCAAGCAAAAACTAGCATATAAAAATGACGTCACGTTGAAAGTACTCGACCACATGGTCCGCCCCGGGGCATTAAAACAATTATATTATATAAAGTGTTAATTTTACAGCCGTTACATATTTCCGGTTCCGTATTTAGCCTAACACGATATTAATTGGAAAGAACACGCAACACACTGCCAAATATATTGTGTTGTTGCAGTGTGTGCATCATTTAATAACTATTAAAAAAATACTAACTTTCCTTTTAATGAAACGTTTGAAAAACTATACTGGAAAGTTAAATCTAAACTTTTATAATATATGTTGTAGTAATGTTTTCTGGCATGTATAAGTTTTGACCTAAAACGTTTATGTTAACTACTTAACATTAAAAAAATTCTTTTATACAAAAATATTTGATCGTGCGCTTTTTATTGAGCTCCGGTCTCATTATAAATTTCAACGGAATCCTACATTTAATTATAAACGGAACTTTTATTCTTATTATTGCTTTCGCGTAATAACTTTTTTTAATACTGCAATAAACATTGAACTGTATTTTGTTGACTTGTATTATATTACAACGATTTATGTTTTAGAATTATATGATTTAATCGAAATATAATCAGACTTTATTACAAAAATATCTTAAATATAAGAAAATGTACGCTCAAATGTGTGAAAGAAGCAGCAATCTTTAAGCATTGCATTATTATTTAATCCACCAAATAAATGTATTTATTATTTAATCTATCCGTTGCCGATTAATTTTAAATCATTTTGTGCTTTTTCATAGCATTTTAGTTTGAGATTTGTTCTGGGAAAAAAAACGTGTGAAAATTTTAAAAATGGTATAATCTTGCCTGATTTTAAATATATTTATACATTAAGAATACTTCGATTGTTTAGTAAATTATAATCGTGTTATAAATTATGATAATATCTTCCTACATTTCCTTACCGCACGTTCGATGGCTGATTACATAATAAGGAAAGTTTGATGGCTTGTTCTCAATTATTTCTGTCACGCACTCAGATTTTGCACTTTGATTCATTTGTATATAAGTACCCGGGAGATATTGTTACTATCGATTTCAAGCATATTTATTAAAACTTCATATTTTGTCTTCCTTAATATGTCAAAGTATCAAGTTTTAACAATAGTATTGATTGGGAATTCATATTTGTTTAAATAAATGACTTAATCTAAGATTAAAAGAGTTCTGAGATTTGTCTAATGTAAGATTTATAAATATTTTCCTGTTTGATTTAATAAGAATTGTCTTTTAGAAAAACCTTATAAGAATAAGAAACAAATATAAAACTTTGTCCTTTTTTATTTAGAAATTAATAATGAGTTTGAATTGCTTTCGCAATTAATTGTTTGCCATATGTTTATGAAATCTTTATTGAATGTTAAGTCCAACAATATAATTGATCTGGAGAATAATATCGAGGAACATTCATGTTAGTTGGCACTAATACAGATATAAATCAATTAACATATGTGAAAATTTTATAAAATTGGCATGTACTTTACAATACTTATATTATGTACTAGCTTTCCGCCTGCAGCTTCGCCCGCGTGCAGTTCGGTTATTTGGCGTTTCCAAGAGAACCTTTCAAAAATCTGGGATAAAAACTATGCTATGTTCTTTCTGAAGGTCAACTCTATGTCTGTACCAAATTTCATTAAAATCAGTTCAGTGGTTTAGGCGTGAAAGCGTAACAGACGGACAGACAGAGTTACTTTCGCATTTATAATACATATTAGTAGGGATACAGTGTCACTTTAAATTTTAATAACCTTGAACGAAGTAGCATTAGATATTTCCGAAGTCATTTCTCCATAGATTCAAACAGAAGGATTCAAAACAGTAATAACATCCTTTACGGTAAAGTACATATAATACGCGTACTATATTAAGTTACGGCCTGAGTTTTAATCATATTAAAACAGTATTTGTGGTGGCAATGATACTCAAAGTATATTATCACATGTTTACGACACGCGTGGGCGTCTCTGGGCGCATTCTTTTATTATCTTCGAGGAACATTAGAGCATAAAAATACTGTAACGATTGGTAAGGGAAAAAATATTACATATATAATATCCTAAATAAATATGTTGCAGTAATTTTATATTCAATCGTTTATCTCATTTACTTTGTATTTTTGATTAAGGTATAAAGTTTCAACCAAAAAAATTACTCTTCCTACTAACAAAATTTTTCTTATTATTTAATTTGTTATAGAGTTATAAAGGTAAACCGGTCCTTATCATTTCAGCTCATGTATAAATCAGTTAGTGATCATGAATCATTGTCGTCAATGATGTATTTTGTAGACATTTCAAACCGATGACCTTAACGCATCTCTTTTAACACGTCAATACTTCACACGCTGTCTGCTAGCGAAAAGGACGTTACAAAACATATTTATATGTAACATAAATAAAGCAGAATACGCCAACTACTTCATGAATAACATTCTAATTAAATATTTTAATCCGTTTTTAAATAGTTACATCAATAAAAGTAAATTTTCATTATAAATGTTTAATAAATTGTGTACGGATACAATAGATCTTTAGATTGTAATCTAAATCATAAAATTAACATGCGAAAGTAATTCACACGAATTTCTATACACGGGTCCCTGATCTGACTCATTCGAAAGTTGTGTTTCACACAACATACGCGATTAGAATAAAAATATACATGGATTATTGACAATAGAGTTTAGTATGCTTTCCGCAGGTTTGCATCATCACTGTATAGTGTATACCCAGCCTTCCAAGTTTTTAATTCACAAATATTCGCACATTATAGGGATAAATGAGAAACGATTTGTATAGTGTGATGATGCAAAACTTGTTATAGATATTTTTTGTGTGTTATAATAATTTGGTTCCTATAATTCCCAGTAGGTATTACTATAGTAGTGTTTTTTTTTCATTTATAGTAAATTTTTGTTGTCAGTGATTTTTTTTATAGTGTTACAATCTTTTTGTGTTTAATGTAAATGTGTTTTTTGCCAGTGACAATGGTGGTGGGTGAGAGCAAACGCACCGCCAACATCATGGACGGTATCGAGAACACCGGGGACGTCCGTCTACACGACCATCGACTGCGTCTCAAACAGAGGTACATATACTTCATATAACAAGCTATTAGGCTACACATACAGAGGAGACGAAACCTCTTAGCATTCAATGGATTCACCGTGCGGGTGTCGGGTCCATCGTTGCAGGGAGAGGAGCTTTAACAGTGCCTGGGACTTGCGACCCAAGTGTAGGTTTAAGGTCTATCCAACGCGCAATAAATGCTCACCTCCACCGTCCAAACTCCTCTCTCTACCAAACCAAATTTAAAAAGAACCTACTAGGGCAATTCATTATACATATATGTAATATTAATGTATTTTTGAATATAAAACTGAGGCAATACTATATCTCACATATCAAGCGGTTGAAAGACAATAACAACTCTCTCGGTATTATTTCCCTAGTTGTGTACTATTTGTGTACGTGTTTATTTGTCCATTAATTTGTTCTGTCGCATATCTTTAAATGAATCATAGTATATTAGTCCTTTGGTTTGTTTATCCGTCGCTATTGTTTCATATCGATTAGTTTTCCTTAGTTAATATAAATTTATTTTATTCACCACGGTTGGGGAAAAAGTGCAATTTTGAAAAGTATATCGGAATAATGTTTTGTATGTTCGAGCAGAAAATCTTTTTCTATAGTTTTTCATTATTACGTTTTGAATATAAAATCCGATCGTATTTGCTTTGAGTAAATTTTGAATAATAAAATATATGTCGAATTATAAATTCAACGTGTTATTACAAACGTCGGTTCTTGCGGCTTGCCGGTGACCGCATTTCGTTTCGATTCATGCTCCTACGCTCGCCTTCTCCGATATCCTGTGGGTGGAAAGGTTGTGGGTGACGTCACCAACACTCTCAACCTTTACAGCTCCACTGAACATCCTGAACTGAAACTTAAAGAATCCTTTATAAAAATATCGTTCATCTAAATGTCATAGCCGTTCATTAAAGTGAAGGACAGTCAGGAATAAAATTATAATATATTTATTTTACGTACAGTCTATCTATCCATACTCACATAATAGTCTGATAATTACATATGTAGGACTTGATATGAAAACTTAGATATTTGAAGTTTATAGTCGAATCAACAGTCGCAAATATTGTTTTGGCAAATATGAAATAAGTAAGCCTTTTCCGTAACTTGTCCATAAAGTGTTGATACCTAGCACAATGCGAAATCAGACATTTTCTATGAAATTCATATAGCTTCCAATATTTCGAAAGAAGACCGGTTTGTTTAATTATAATTTAAAGCTGAAGTAACTGTAGATATCAAAAATGGCAAGAAAAGAAAACAATAATTCACATAACATTTATATACGAAATGAATAATTAAAATAACTCAGCAACATGTGTACGAAAATAGTACATAAGTATATATATAATATATATACACCTAACTAGAATTGCTGGTGATGACAATAGAAATCTCGAGATAGTGAATTTCAATAAAATGAAAATCTTTAAACTATAGAGTGTAGAAACTTAAATAAATAACATATTTTACACGAGCATCAATGTAATGTCTCAGCAATTTATCTCGAAGTAAAACAAACATTCCAACTATTCTTCCATCCACACAGACAATAAACAGATATAAATATTATAAACTTGTTATTGTCTTCTACAGTTTATTTACAGTTTTTTAGCATTGATTAAATTCTTTATCGGCTGATTAAACCTTAGTTGCAGTGAACTTGTTGTAAAATGTAAGTTCAGAATCAAATTCTTACATCTGTCTCGGTCGAAAAATCCTTATTTCACTTATTTATAGTAAGAGAGACGGTGCGGGACGTGGGTGGTGTTTTTGTGATATTTTGTATATAGAACGATGACCGATTATCTTATTTTAAAACTGTAAAAGAACTACATCGTTGGTCCATTAAAGACGCTCCAGAAGTGCTACGTGGGCCGATGTATCCCAAATCACTGACGCTATGGAGATTTCGTGTATTTTTGTGACCGTTTTGTCTTTAATATTAATTTGGCAAAAACATATTCATTTGTTTCCTTTGATATTAAATACGCATGTTATGAATTTGTCAGAGTGAATTTAGAGGTCGTTCACTTGATTTTTTTTCTAACCTTTCCAATAAATTGTGGAATTTATATATTTCTCATGTTGTCTTATCGATAAGTAAATTTTTTGGCACACAGAGACATACAGTTAGTTGAAATACGCCTAATTTATAACACATCCAACATGCGCTAAATATAATAACTGATTCATCCTCTCCCCTAAATTTATTATTTAATGACCGGTTCTTAAATCATATCGAATAATCCGTTGGAAAGTATGGCTCTTTGTACAGGAATGCGTTGTGAATAATGTTTTTAAATATTTGTACTGGTCAAATAATACATCGTTATTATTAAATCGTAACTGCGAATTAGTAAATAGTAATGCTCTAATTGCTTTAATAAATGAATATTGACATACTTCAAGTCTGTTTTTATTATTTTTAGTTGTATGAAAACAGAACTATTAATACAAGTGAATACTGCGAATCTGTCCTTCATTTCGACAATAACGTAGTACATATTATAATTATAAAGTAATATTATTTATAAGTAATCTATATGGTTCTTATATTTGATTGTTACTTAAGAAGATATATACCTTTTATATGTGTTATAGTTATATATATAATTTAAACAAAGATTAGTAACGAATAAATAACACTATTGTGATGGTAGTTTGCTGTGGATACAATTGTGCAAAACATCTATGCCGCAATATAATGCACTCGCATACCAGCTATGTGACTATGAGGCGTAGGAATATATTAACGAATTTATTGAAAGTTGTCTCGTTTTATTTTAGATTTGATATCGTAAGGAAATTGGGACAAGGGACATATGGAAAGGTTCAGCTCGGTATCAACAAGAAGACGGGGCAGGAGGTGGCTATTAAGACTATAAAGAAATGTAAGATTGAAACTGAGGCTGACTTAATACGCATACGAAGGGAGGTACAGATTATGTCTTCAGTCAGACATCCGAATATCGTACACATATACGAAGGTAATGCATTCAACTAAAACAATATCGAATTCATATTTATATGGCTAGCGATTTAAATCTATACATTATTTTTTTGGTTTTAAGTATTCGAGAACAGTGAAAAGATGATCTTGGTCATGGAATATTGTTCCGGTGGTGAACTTTACGACTACCTCAGTCAGAAAAAAGTATTAGAAGAAGACGAAGCCAGAAGGTTATACTTGTTTTAGTATGGTAGTTGTGTATATTTATCAAGCGTTTAATGAAATTTATATATTCCAGGTTATTCCGGCAGATCGCAACAGCTGTGTTATATTCTACATATAATATGTACATATATTTAGATTCTTATTATGTAATGTGTCGGGTACATGTGACTTCTCCTATCCAATATTATGACGTTAGAAAAACTTTTCATCCTTTTCGAACTTCAAATAATTAATAGTTTTTATTTGTCTCTACTACTTAACATCTTTTTATGTTATATTTGTGTAAGGTGGGTGAACACGGGCTGCCAGACGTCATGTCTTGAGATGGCGGAGGCCCTGGCAGCGGAGACTCCCGTGAGACTCGACCTGCTGCTGTCTCTGGCGCCCGCGGCTCCCTCTAGCTCCAACAGTGTCGTTGTACCACCTGAGGTATATATACACACACATATACATACATTCTGATTACCGACACGCAGACACACACACACATACATACATTCCAATACGCAGAGAGACACACACGCGCAAGTTGAAACATAAAAAACTCTAATTAAACTTCACTGTACACACCCTCGGTTGTAACACACTAGGGAATTCATATTGATCACAAACAAATAGTACAAGTAATAGTAATAGTAGTTCCATTACCTTATAGTAATATATTTACTAAAATATGAAAATTACTAAATGCAACAAAAAACCAATTGACATAAAATATGTTTATTTTTTATATATTAAATCAATGCGACGACATTTTTCTGAAGAGAAATGTTCAATCACCTTTTTATTAAAATCGAGTATTGTTTGTATAATTATTTTTTTCAATATTAGGGACAGAAAGTGCATTTAGCAAGTGTATGGTATTTCGGAGAAAAGTTTTGATTCTTTTCAATTCCAATTCGACATACATCGGGTGCTCTCGGTAATCTTCGGTCGCTCGTGCGGCGCTCGAGAACCGACTCATTACTCGGTACATTTCTATGAACTATCTTTTGTTTCACGCGTCAGGTGTATTAACTCCTATCCCATACAAGATGTATTAGCCGTCCTCGTGCACTCGCCGAAGCGCACGAGATATTAGTTTAGTAAAGCGCTCAAACTTTTTGACTATACATAATTAGAAATTTAATTTTTTATACGTTTTTGTATGTTTAGAAAATAAATATTAAAATGGTGTAATTTAAAAATAAAGATGAAGTAATATTTTGTAATTTTTAAATCTTTTGAATTGGTGGTTCAGCGCACGAGTGCACTTAAGGTACAGCCGCCACTGGTGAAAACACTGCATTTTTTTTTATTAAAACAAAAATTTTTTTTTTCGTATATTTGTATATGCTGCTTGCACTTAATATATATTTTGCGATGCCTTCAATATATCTATCAGATTGTGTTATTAAAGCATTAATATTATTTCCAGGCTGACTTGGGTCCAGAAGAGAGTTGTACCGACCTCACCAGTTCAACATCCATGGCGGTTGAACCGAGTAACTCGGCTGAGAAGAGAATATTGGAATTAGTTGCTGGTAAACACTGAACTAGAAACAATTATTCTATATTTAAAAAGTTTTTTAATATCCTGATTATTAAAGGTTTTGTCATTTGTTTAGAAAACTACAGTAAATTACCTGAATGTAAAAAAATATCGTGTTTCTCAGAGGGCGGCGAGGATGCCATTAAGCCGTCACCCACACGCACCCTGGTGTCAGCTGACCACAAGAGGAAAATGGACTCGCTCAAGGACAGAGTCGCCAGGTATACTTGACACTTATAAACATGTTTAATGGAATAGTATACTTATAACTAACTAGCTTTCTGCCCGCAGCTTCGCCCGCCTGAAGTTCGGTTATATCGCGTTTTCAAGAGAACCTTTCAAAAGTCTGGGATATAAACTATCCTATGTTCTTTCTCAAGGTCAACTATATCTGTACCAAATATCATTAAAATCAGTTCAGTGGTTTAGGCGTGAAAGCGTAACAGACAGACAGAGTTACTTTCGCATTTATAATATTAGTAGGAATATATATTTCATATCGAGGAAATATTAAATATTTAACTTAATAGAATTAGAGCTCTGATATCAAAAATTTAATACTCTTTAGTAAGTAGTCCGCGATTTCTTCTATAGTTAATAAGTTTTGAAAATATTTTTTTCAGTTGTGCCAGTATGGGACCGACGCCGCCAGTACTGCCTGAGGAAGACACAAAGCTCGAGTCACCGTCGGCAGATAACATCGAAGATGAGGTGAAATAACATTATTATATATATATACATATTTGACAATGTTTGACAATACAACCTGCTGTAGTTCATATACTACCTCCACCTACCTATTTTTATATTTTTCAGTACATATACTTGTCTAATGCCATTAACAGATATAGTCGTTAGTTTAATTTATTAAATATCTTAGTTACAGACTATCCAGCCGAATCTTAAAACTTCGGCCACGATCACAATAGCGCCGGCTCCGGTACAACCTCAAGAAATACACGAACCTGTCAAGAATATTGAACCATCTCAAGAAGAACAGAAGGAGAAACCAAAACAGAAAGTCGTCAAGAAGGTGACCCCGCAGAAGGTCGAGGAGAAACACAATAAAGTTGAAGAAACTAAGGTAACACATCTATCATACAAAAATGATTTTTAATCCCTAATAATAAGATTCAATTTGCCTTAATTCCAATCCTATATATGTACTAAGAGATTTTAACATTATTTGCAGGAAGATAAGCCAGCTTTAGTGCCCTTAGTGGATAAGATCACAGCGGTCTCAACACCACAAGTGGCAGCTATGCCGTCCCCAACGAATGTACCGGCTAAACCTAAGAAGTTATCTATAGGTATAACCATCTACAGTTATATTGATACAGTTGTATTTTAAGTCCAAGAATATTTTTCATATGCATATTTATTAAGGTGGTCACGTGGGCAACTTTAAAGAACAGTTTGAGAGGCGCGCTTCACTGACTACAGCTCCGGATGTTAAGAGGAATGTAACGAAACCTGGTTCGTATAGAATTACTAATAAACTTAATTTAAATAAAAATCTATATAAGTCTAAGTCATAGGTTCGATCTTATAAGTAGCTCAAGCCATTTCTATACTATTGTTATTATTTCAATAAGTAAATTAAATATAATTTTCCTTATATGCAGATATATAAGACCAGTTACAATAATAAATTATTTTGATCAAATGTTCCAGTTATGTCCAAGATCGCTAAGCCTAAGGCTCAAAGCGAAGACCGTGAGCTGAGCGCCAAGTCGGCCGACACTGGCTCCGTGAGGCTGCAACAGATCGGTATTGAACCGTCACAGGTGAGGATATTATTTAAACTATCTTTATGATAAACAATTTTATTACATCAAATTATGAAAAAAATTGTGAGTAGAATCCTTCGCGGAAGAAGTATAATGTTGTAAGATTCCCTCGTTCTGTCTCACCCCCCCATTTCCCCAATGTTATAATTATTACTAGTAATATATAGTATTTGACTTTAGAAATTCTTTATCTGCTCAGATAACATAAATATTTGCGTTATGATTAAAACTGAGCGCACTATTTATAACACGTATGATAAATATGTGTTTGTTATGCCCAGTCGTCGTCAAACACAACCGAGGCTCGTGAGACACGTGGCGTGTTGAAGACGGAGAGCGAACCGGCACACTGTAACACTAGGGTCGACCCCGCGGCGTTGCTGCAGGACGCTAGAAGGTATACACACATACAAACACACATAAATACATACATACAAACATACATACCTTATACACTCAACATGTCTTATATACAATTAAACTTTAAGACTCATTTATTCCTATTCGTATTAACTATAAAATGATCTCTGATTTTCTTTGTATATAGCATGTTGTTATCAATGGAACAATAATCACAATTCTATGTGATTATATAACGAAAATCTCCCCAATTTCAGAGGTCTAATTTTGGAGTTGGTATTAAACTATTTATATTCAAACATATATAAATCTAATTTAGTGAGAAATCTACGTTTATTAATTTTTAAATGACGTTTTATTCCACAGGAGTCTTCAGAACTCAATGGCGAAGTTGACGGAGGAGAGACTCGGTGAAGATAGTCGTAGACGGGCGGCGCGGGATATTATTTCATCAGCTATACGTACAGGTGACGTCACACAAGTGAAGCATGTTATACTAAGAACTATGGATAGATAATATAATTATATAAAAGGAATGCATAGTGTATGAGTATATTAAGGTAGCAAAGATTTGTAAACTTAATGTGTCAACTAGAGAGTTTGATCAGAATTTTTCGTTCGATGAGTATGTAGTGGTAAAGATGTTGAACTGGTAGTGTCTAATGGTCGTTATTTTTTTTATTTTTATTTTAATAGGTTTACCAACAATTGTTTACACCAATACAATGTAGAATAGGTATCTATAATCCAGGGTACAGTGTAACAACTACTTAATGGTAAACTCCGCATGCAAATAAATTTAAATAAGTCTACTTTATAAAATTATAGAACATTTTTTTTGCCACTATAAAAGTACGAAGTTCGCAAAAAAGATAAAAAAAGCTGACAAATAAAATGCATAAGAACAATGAAAATCACAATTAAAGAAATTAATACATGCCAACAAAAGAGCCATAACATAATTACTCTTTTAAACAATTTCGTTAAGCATATTTAGAGGCAGGCACAATGATGTATAATCTTGTCCTGTCTTCGGTCAAGACTATGTATCAAATCAGCTTCCATGCTAATGACATATAATGTTCCAGGCAAGCCGCCCGTACCATACGGTCGTTCGTCGTCAGCGGGTGTGGCGAGCCTGGTGTCGCCTCCTAGTACTCCGCCCGCGCCCGCCGCTACTGGCCCCACCTCGCCGAGGGTCTTCAGAACAGAGGCCATGCATCGCGTAGAAGATCACAGACCCAGGTTCGGTCATGATAAATACATTGAAGCTTCAAGTAATCATGAAATGGCTAAGAATTGAACAATCTGTCTCTGTTATAACGTGTAGATTGTTTTTGCATGCATTATGAAGAGGCGTTAAAGTTTTTTTATTACAAAGTGTAACGATATATATTAATATATAAATAAATATATATGTTCCAGGGGCATGTCTGTGGAGCGTATCATACCTATAACCATGTCTGGTGAGGAGCCTGCGCCTCGTGGCTCGGTGACGCCGGTGTCTCCGCCCGCTTCACTCACGTCGCCCTCTAGCGGCAGGGTCACACACACACCGATCAGGTAACGGATTATAATCAACCTAAACTTGTTACTATTCAAATTTGGAATGAAAGTTATATGTATGATAAATAAGCTACCACCACTATAAATATAAAAAGAAATATAATTTTACGATGATTTTGTAGAAGTAAAGCGTTGAAAACTTAAGATACTTGAATTAAATTTTTTTATGGTCATTATTTGATTTTTTACAGACGTTTGACGTCATCGGATTCTACGACGGCCAGCGAGGCTGGTGGCGAACCTATCAAGAAGTCGGCCCGCGAGTTCATTATACCCATCGCAGTGGAGGGTAAGGGGTATGTGACACCCAGACAACGAAGCCTCGAACCTGACACGGCCACGCACCGACGAACTAGACCGAGACGTATGGGGTGAGGAATTGAACATATATTAAAATAAATTAAACAATTCATTATTCATGCACATAATATATACATATATATTCGTAATAAAATACTATAATTCACAGAAGCCTCGTAAGCGGCGGCGAATCTGAGGAAGAAGACGACGCTCACATGCACAGACTGAGGTGATAATATGTATATATTGTATTTAAAGAAGTACGGAAATATGTACTGTTCTATATTAATATCATAATGCTTAGGTCGACCCGCGCCGCCCGCGCTGAGTCCGTCAGCTCCGGTGAAGAAGACGAAGAGGATGAAGGATTCCATCTACTTACAGCTGAGAACCTCTTCTCAACTTTACTACACAGAGTACGTTTATTATATTACATTTATTATATTAACTACTCTATACACTCGATTGTAACAAAACAGTGTGGTCAATACGAGATTCTTGTCTCTTCACGTATTTTAATGATTAAATGGTACGCTAAAGGCTACAGTCGTATAAAAAGGAAGAAGGTACAATAATTATAGGAATGTCTAAGGAAAACAGAGATATAAAAGAATGTAGGAAGAATATAGATTTTTTAAAAGCAAGCTTTAATAATATTTTTTTAACATAGAACTATATTTTTATTCAGAAAATGTTCACCTTAATAGTTAAAAAAATAATAATAAACTATACCCCGGGTGACTTAAGTTACAATATTGCTCGTAACGATATATTTTTACCATATTTAAAGTTTTCATTCAATATTAAAGGTTGCTATAGTGTTTATTATAACAATGTCCTATCACAGGTCCGTGCCCTAACGCAGCGTCTGAACGGTGAGGAAGGTCCAGGTTTCCAACACCCACACTCGCTGTTCAACAATCTACAGTCGCCGTTCTTCAATAGGTATGTAACAGCTTGTAGCGGGTGTAGTTGTTTAACATACATTTAATAACTGAGTTAAATACGTTTTTTTTATTAATATCCTGAATGGGATACTTCAATGTATCGTTTCATACCACATCAGCTGGGTGTTGAAATGAACTATGGGAAATATAATAAATGCCGAACTTATCCTATAGGTAACTTTGTGTGAGTGCGTTATTGGTTTATATAGCTTGATATCATTTTAATTTTCTCGAACAGAAATTGTCATTTACTGTTCATTAATTAATAAACATTCTATCATGTATCGCAATACATTAAATCATAAATTAAAAATGACTAATATAATATATTTTTGTTTTCTGCATGCAGCCCCCATTTACCTCGACGACATCTTTTGTGAGTATATTTTATTTAATAAAACAATTATCATCACACAGACTGTTCTTCATAATAATACCTAATACTCTAAAACATATCATTACAAGCAGCACGCATAGGTACACGGAAAGTAAACGAAGCGTGTCGGAAACGTAAGTCACGAGATATATGTATGTTAATGAAATAAACTGAACGTTCAAGTAGATGACTTGCTAAGTTGTATTATGAGTTACAATAAGGATTATATATAAATTAAAAAAAAAAACTTTTGGTGTCTCCATAATGTTTTGATATTTTAATATTAAGAAACGAATGAACGGACGTTTCAAGTAATAATAGCGGTATTCATGTAATGTATAGTGTTATGTACTTAAATGTAATTATATAAATGTGTGTTCACAGACGCGAGGGTTGGGGCAGTCGTGATCTTCACGCTCCGTTCGAGTCTCTGTTCTCTTCGCGGCCCTCTCGAGGTGAGCGTCGCTGAACGCTTGACGACCACGCTTGATACCAACACCCTGTATATACACTCACCGCCTTAGCTGCTTTAGGCGCTGCGCAAACGTACCACAATTTTGTCTTTACCGAATAAAATTTGGAAGTACAATTGGACATTATAAACTGTCAGCTAAAGGCTAGAACGTTTTTCTTATGTTGTTCTGTCGGTAACACGTCATGCGCAGCGTCTTCGGAAGTGAATTCTCTGTACTGAGTGCGATATCCGCGTGGTTCAATGGCGTCCGGTGTCGGTGACGTCACTGACACCATTTACTATCTAACAGTTACGGATCATCACGAGCTGTGCTTCATGATGATCCGTTTACGTGTTTTTTTTTTAGAATTGTATTAACATTCGATTACTAATTAACTTTTTTTTTTTGCATCGTAGTGCTCATATTGTTTTCATATTAAAGCATTCTTTGTGCAGGTCTTGAATTTTTCCTACCCGCTAACACTAGCAGAAAAATGTTGCATCGCTCTCGTGTTGTCACAAATTCACCGTAGTTACAGAATTGCATGATTACGAAAGGCATTTCATATTAAGGAGAGGCAATGCATTTTGAAAGAAGTTGCACATTTTCATTTAAATCTGTATATTTCGAGGGACAAAAAGCGAGTATAATATTGAGACGGCAGTTAATGAATATGTTTGGAGAGAGTCACAGCCTCTATGGTAGATAGTGGATGTGGTCCGTTGTATCGCGATCGCTCGCTCGCGCCGGCCGTAGTGAGTTGTGTTGGTGTGGTTGCAGTTGGGTTGCGCGTTACACTGCATGCCCCGACCAAATCTACACTCCACAGCGGCTCCGGCGCACACAAACCACAACCCACCTCCGACACGCAGCAATAGGTACTATGTTATATTTATTTGTCATTTGTGTTTTTGTGTTGCGCATCGCGCGCTGGGGCTGTTATCGGGTTACGGATGCCTTCATGTGGAACCGCTGATGCAATATTAATTTAGTTCGCATTCTGGTAAATTTGTTTGGATTCAAGGAGCAACATTTTAATGCATATTTATTTGTGTGATTTTTGTATTTCGATTTCGTTGCATTTACGCTTTCTTCTTTTGATCTTAATCGTTAATTTTTTTTCTTACACTAAAAACTTTACTCATCGCATCGATGTCTGCATCCCTTATTTTAATCGAAGTAACTGTTATTTGTAATCGACACAGAGTCCCACGATCACACCGGTCTCTGCCGGACAGACACTCCCTCTCGCCCCGAGATTCAAAAGGCAACACTGTAAATATATCATCGAGCGAACGCCATGCATGATGGAAATCGTGTGTTTTCGATTAATTTTCAGGCAGTAATAAGAAAACCGGCAAGCACCGACCGCAACCCACGCAAAACACGGAGGCGGCGACCGAGGCGCTAGACCTCTCAGACCTGGACTTGACCTCGATAGAGTTCTCGGAGCGCGAGATGGCGGCGCTGTCGGGCCTCACGCCGGCCTTGTCGCGCCGCCTGCAGAAGCAGCTCCTGGCGCACTTGCCGCCGCGGGCCGCCGCACGGCTAAGACGCACGCTATCTCTACATTCGCCCGCCACCGACTCTACAATCTCTGCTCCTACCTCCACCAACCCCACTACCGCCAGCTCCGCAGCCACCAGCCCTACGTCTGCTAACATCGGCTCTTCGACCGACCGTCCGCCGTATACGCGATGCCGCTCCGCCGGCCAAGCCGAAGATACGATCGTCGATCACAACGAAACTATAGCACTCGAACGTCCCTCCGGAATCGAAAACGAGACGGTACTTGACGATTTAAAATCTGAATCACACTCTGACCTGCCCGTATCTCAATTTTGCACGCTGCCTCGCTTGCGGCGACGGTCCACCGTAATGGCTGAAGCTAAATCTCCTAGCGATGTTATAAACGACAGCACGCAAATGCTAGAACGACCTTCACAAGAGCCTATGACCTCTAAAGTTAGTAGTGTGCGTTGCACACCAGAACGTCCTTTACTCAGTAAATATCTAGCGCCGGAACGAAATTACTCATTAGACGAAACCTGTTCATCGGAAAGTGGAAGCATACTTTCTGACCCCAGTTACATTGCTGCTTATGGCTCGTCTAACGTAGGAAATGCTTCCGGTCTTGGTTTTAGAAGACACTCGCTCCGATTGAGCGGTGAACAAGGTAAAAAACGCATCTCGAGGTTTCTTCGTTCTGATTTCTTTGACACCCCAGCGGACGAAAACTTATATACTAAGCATAAAAAAGAAAAGGAGTTAGAAACACAAAAAATATTAAAGGAAATACGGGAAAAGAAAAATAAAACTTTGGAAAGCGCTAAAAGTCCCACGGAAACAAATGAATTTAGGTTTGGTGTGAAGGACGAAGGCTCCGTTAAGAAATGTCTGTCCCCTGTAGGAAACTTGTTATTAAAAGATCGTAGTAGATCTAACACCCCATTCTTTCCTATTTTAGATAATATTAAAGAAAGCGCTCTAGATTCTACTTCCATTCAACCTCTTAAAGCAATACCGCAAGAAACCGATGAACTATGTAAAGATAAAATAAAAGAAAATACTTTATCTAACGAATCAAAAATGATGAGGCCAAAGAGTTATCCAATTAAAAATTTGGATTCCTATGACGATGCTAATAAAAATGTCGAATCATTGGAAATGTCTGATAAATCTCAAAATAAAATCGAGGAAAAGAAAGTCAGTAAGGAATCTAAACTAATGCGACCAAAAAGTTATCCTACGGGCAGTCCTTCACCAGAAAAGATTTATATTAATCGTAATACTAAAAAAGATGAACTGAATGATTCTAAAGATACCCTAAATAGTAAAGAAGGTAAGCCCGATATAGAAGTAAGCTTTAATCTAACGCTACCGAAAAAAACCAAACCAATTGTTAAAAATTCAGATACAATTAAGAAAGTTGAAGATTCAAATAATGAAAATAAAAAAGATATAGAACCAACATTGTATCTAAAGAGATATCAAGTAGTTAATGAACTTAAATCGGAAAGTAAAGACGCTAAGGTTAATCAAAGCAACCTAATTGATACCACTACAAAAGTTAAGAAAAGTTTGACTCCAAAAGATGATACTAAAACTAACACCACTGATAATCAAACAGATGACAAAAAGGTTGTAAAAAAGAAAGTCATAAAACGAGTATCCTCAAAGTCTAAGACTGATTTAAGTGTTTCTGATTCCAATGAACCGAAACCAACGGTCGAAAAAAAGAAAGTTACAAAAAAGGTAAAAGATAAATCTTGTGATGACTCCAAAACGACTGTGACAAAAAAGAGATCAGTTTTGCAATCTATTGGACATAAATTAGAAAAATTCACTTCCTCTAAATCAAACTCTCCCGAAAAAGTATGCAATAATAGTAATATAGTAGGCGGACTATCTAAAACATCTAGCGCTTCTAACAGAACTCAGCGAGAACAATCAGTTCCTGCTATTGTTGACCCCCCGACGGAATCGAACCTGCTAAAGAGGGCTGTAACCATCACTGATGTGGCTGCCCTTGACAATAATCAAAGTAGAGGTATACAAAATAAAACGACCGTTTCCAAAGTCTTAGGGTTGTTTAAGAAGTTTGAACCTAAAGAAAAATTAACCGAACCGATAATAGAGTACAAAGTACCTGAAAACTCAGGCAATGGGTCAAATTTAATTAAAAATAGTAATACCTCAAAATCCAATGTTGATTCCGAGGAGAAAGCTAAACGACCCACTTCTCTTTTATTAAATGGTTTAGGACGTAAGAATAGGTATAGCAGGTCGTCAAGTGATGATAACAGTAAAGAAATAGTTGAAAACGAAGACCAGCAAGTACTTAAAAAGAATGAAGCTGATACCAAAAATATCAGAAATACTCTCAGATTAGATTTCTCACGATTGCCAAGAGTAAAGAAAATAGTTCCTACGAATCCTGTGATAGAACCTCAAATTTTTAATAACTCTGATATTGAAAAGGATACCGATATTATAGAAAAAAATGGAATTGTAAATGACCATAAGTCCAATATAGATTTAAGTGATACTCAAACACGGAGTCGATCTAGAAGTAGATCGACGTATTCCAATTCTGATATCAAATCAGACTTAGGTGTTAAAGAAAAGAAAGTTATCTCTGATGTTCCTCTTTCCCCCTGTAATGTACGGAGTCACGAATCAATAACACCTGAAAAGGAAGATATCGTAGACAGGATACGTAGAAAAAGTTTTTATTCTCGTTTCAATGAAAAGAAACAAAGGAGGAAAAGCAATTTGGTAGGACCTGGAGCAGTTGAATACGATCCGTTGGCAAGAATACACTCTCAAGTATCGGAATCTAAGTATGACACGTCTCCGACATCGCCGGGAGCTTATGATTTATCTCCTGGACTATCAGTTGGCTCAGATGTATCGCCATCCACAGAACGCTATAGATCTCTCTTAACAGATTTGTCATTAAACACAAGAAACAATTCCAGATACGACGCTGGGAACGATAAAATTGATATGTATCGATCCCTCGACCGAAACGACTTTAGAAAATATCCGAGCAGCAAGAGCTACTTAGATTACGACCAACCGTTATCGTACACTCCCAACCGATATTCCAGGACGAAATCTTTGTTCGACAGTTCCGATGCCTCCGAGGATTATAATACATTCGTCCTTCCTAGAGAAACACAGAAATATAATCGAACCAATTCCCTATTCTCACCGGGCAGCTATGCCACATATAGACCCAAAAGAACCAGAAACTCCGCTATAATACTTAAGGAGAGCGAAAAAGAGCCCAGCCCCGAGAACATATTAGATAAAATACGACAGCGAAAAATATCAATCAGCGTTACTAGAAAACCAGAGGTTGAGAAGGAATCGACGCCGAGGTGTGTATATTTAATGATTTATTTAATGAGCGTCAATAATTATAAATAACTCCCGAGAAATTTTATGTGCACGCTTCACGCTTTTGAATAAAATTTTACGGCACTAATGCTTTAAAGTTTTTTGATATTTTTTAAGCATATAAATATCTGTACATTGTGTAAATTGATTGAGACAAGCTGTTAATGAAACACAATTTTGAAAGCTCGACACACAACAGAATACTCTAACGGATCGATTTCATCCATTAGAAATAACTTTGATTATAAAATTCATGTCACATTAAATACCATTCAAGCATCACCGAAGCTGAAAAAACTTATCACTTTGTAAACAAATGCTGTTATAGTATTCGAATAACGACAGTCTTGAATTTCAGATCCAATATCTCATCAAAAGGCGAAAGCGACGGTTCAGAACGCTCTACGAAAATTGACTGAGAGACGCTATTGACGTTACCACTGTGGTCGTATTATTTAATCTGAACTAATTCTCTTATAATATGCCAATTGAATACTCGAATGTCGAAATATATCGAATATTTTTAACGGAATATACTTTTTTTCCAATACCAACAAAGATTTCTTGCCAACAACTATTACGGTGTGTTTGAGTGCGGGTTTTACAATACTGATATCTATGAATCCATACATGTACTATAACAGATATAAGTGAAAAGAACAAAAAAAGAAAAGTTACTGGCTAAGGCAGTTGTTACCATTGTTACGTTGCATAATTAAATCATATCATATCAACATAAGGTTCGTAGATATCAGTCTAGTGTAGTTTATACAAATATTTATTTTTGAATGGTCCTTATTGCTTTTAATTACAACTACTTTGGAGAAATCATTTTGGAATCTCTTATTGTTTATTGAATTTTTTGAAAAACAATCGTTATTTACCTTTATTATTGAACATTGGCTACAAATACTTAATATTCGCATATGTACTGTGGTGAATTGATCTTATGTGCCTTTATAACATAAGGAACTGGTTTTAAAATACATTGTTACACAAGTTTTAGGCTTTTGCACAAAGGTTTTATGTTTAATGATAATATTATTTTAGATACTATTAATTGTTGGTATACTAAGTCAGTTTTAAGTTTAAATGTTTATGATGACCACATAGTATTTGACTGCTTAGTCAAGACGAAACAGTAATCGAATAGAATGGTGCTTAGTTAAAGGTTTTCTTAGGTGTAATTCATATTATAGACGAACCGTTTACTGCGCGTAGGAATGTACACTAATATTAAAATAGGTATTACGTCGTTAGGAGGTTATCTCTGGAACTATTGAACGGAAAACGCATATATCGGAAAGCTAGTAAAGTATGATGTAATGGTTTAAAATTAGAGAATCTATTTTATTAGTCTCTAAACAAGTGTTCTAGATGAAACAGTATCATGTTTTTTGTTGCCATTTTTAAAGAAATGAAATGTCAATGAAATCTAGTCTAAGTTGGTTTGGCTGTTTGTAAAGCAATAATTTTGTCGTGACTCTGTATTTTTTTTCGTCATTATTAATTTATTGATTTTTATAATTACAATAGAAATGTATTAATTATTTATTAGTGTGCAGTGATTATTAATTTTTAGGTAATTTGAAATGTTTTGAATATTATATAGTTGACACACGTTTTATATTATGTATGTGAATAAATTATATAGTTTAAACAAATTGAAGTTTTATTTTTATGTTGCTAATTTAATGTACGGTTAAAAAGTTTATTTCCCCGAGGATGTTTGTGCGTCGGCCTCCAGACCAGACACAACTATGTATTCGCGAATTTCTCAATTTTGTATACGTATAATATTAATGAAATATTATCTAATTGGTTGAAAAATGACAAAACAAATTGTAAATGGAAATATTATATTTGATAAAATGCCAATATACTTAGTGTATATACAATTCAGACGGCTAGTTTGCTGAGTTCTTCGAAGTACTTTTGGTCGTGTGTCGCAAGGCTCTCGAGCGCGTCGTCTATATCCAGCGTATATCTCTCCACGGATGACGTCACCATGCCTGAAGCACTCGCCTCGTAGCGTTTCAATACAACTTCATCATCTATAAATAATAATAATGTTACACATCTCTCTTCACTATCAGTAATAATTGTTATAAATATGGTGAACGTAATTTTGTTATAGTTCTGGTACTGAGTCGATAGCTCCATGAGCTATGTAATTTGTAAGCGGCAGTATGGAGATAAACAAATTTACATCTAAAAAATACCCATGTCAGTTACATGATTTAAATATTCAGACCACTTAGTTCTACACGCACAAGACATAAATATTACAGAATGGGTTCTACGATATCAGAACAAATAAATGTAATTTGCTATGTCCACCACTTTTGAGATAAAAAAGCCCCAGACGGCATGGATAATAAACATGATATTAAAAGAATGAAGATAATAATAAAATATTTTTGTGACAAAAAAATTATAAATTATAATATATCCTAATTTTATTAGTCCAATTCCATCATAGTTATCCGGAGATAATATTGTGTTCTCAAATATCTCATGTGCGTCAAGACATCGTAGACAATACAATCTCAGAATACATATCGTTGTAATAAATAACTAATTTTATGAAATTACCTTCGATAACCGTGTTGGGTTGTACGAATATATTCCGTGGTTGTTTGTGCATCATGACGATGTCCCTCCACCTCAGCCAAGGCTCCTCTAAGCTGCTGAGTCGTGTGAACAACTGTTCTCCCGACGACACGTCTCCTGTAGACTTGATGGTCTGTAGCTTTACTAAGAAGTCACCTAGAAATAAATACACATTAATTTATACTTCATACTACCATTTTTTTTTGATTACGCAGGGAAACTCTTTTTACGAGCCGTCCAACCGGTCTTGGAGTGGCCGGAAGGGATGTGTGAGACTCGACCTGGGCACGTCCCTACTCACTAAAACCACTGCGAAAGCAATCGGCCGCTATGTTGATGTACCCCGGATCTGTCAGCGACAGGGCACATACTTCATACTACCATCAGTATATAGGTTTGAACATAAAAACACTAAAACTTAAACTATTTGGAGGTTCGTTAATAAAATAAAAACTATTAGTATATATATTAATCGTCGCCTCGTGGCAAATGTGTATTTAAACTTCACTACTGGTCTGAAAAAATTGGAGTAATTGTAATTACTTTGAAATCATCTTATAAATAGATTTTTAATCGATAGTCATTCATACCGATAATTCGTTTTCCGTCAGTAGCCAAACGGCTCCTGTCTAATGTTAGCAACAGGTTCTTGCCGGGCTCAACTTCGCTGACTGTTAGTATTCCGTTTCCTTCCAATTCCAACAATCTCATTAAAACAAAACGAGCTCTTGCGTGGGCCTGGAAATAGACAACGTTGAATAATAATAAGTGTGTAAACTATATATTTGTGTATAATAATGGTTTCGAAGTTTTATAAAACAAATAAAGGTCCTTTATAAATTGGTTGGCATTTAATTTTTAAAACCTGTATAAATAATAAGTTGACTCATATAATCAGTAGTATTTTGAAACCGACAATGTGTGGGGATAGTCATTAAATATTAGAACCCAACTAGAGCATAATGCAATAATACCTAGCTTAGTGAATTTAACACTTGAAGTACATTACTCATACATGCGATTGAGTCTTACGTTTTATCTCAAGATAGTTCTAATACATCAACGTATTATTATTCTGTCGTCTAACTGACCTGTAGCCACGTTTTCGTGGTCGGCTGGTACATTTCCGTAGCCTTGGCTGCTCCGTTCCACAACAGACTGAGCCAGTTGACGTACATCACGTCCTCTGCCTCCTGACCCTCGTAACCGAAGATTCTATGACACATCTTTCATTAATAATTAACATTGGGAGTCCATTTATATGTCGTAAGTTGAAATTTTGTAGTTACTATAATATAATGAGATCTAAGATTTTCGCGAGTACTCATTTTAATGAAACTAATATTATTAGATTTATTCACGTTTATGTGATCTCACATATCGTCTGCCCGTAATCACGGTAGCTGAAAAGTAGCCGAAACGTCGGGAGTATGTAGTCAAAAACGCAAATAAATCCGAAAATATTAGTTTCATTTAAGGTATTATAATATTCTGTTTAGATTTAATATCAATTGAAATTAAGCAGTTGAACTTGGTCATCTACATATCTAATAGTATATTTACTTGAGTATCTCAGGTCGTAGCGATAGATACAATCCCACAGCCTCCGCCCGGCATTCCTCGAAGGCGGATCCCAAAGTAGTGAATTTGCTGTCGTAAGTCTCGCCTTCTGAATACCATGACTCGATTTCCTTGCCTTTAAATAAAAGTTACGAATAATATTAACATATTATATAACTCAAATCTGTTTAGATGATGCCTCCACTGCAAATTTAATAAGAATGAAATATATATTTTTATTAATTAAGACTGAGTTATTATCAAAGTTAATAATATTGTTTTTTTTTTTAATATCAATATTAAGGCATTTGTTGATCCAGAAATTAAACCTGAGAATCTATCCTAGTCGTTTAATAGATTAGTCGTTATAATCAATCAAATATAAATATACACCCAATGTAATAGATGGAATATAAACATTAATATATAATATTATTTTTTTTCAATATCAAGCTTTGATATTTATGTTAATTTACCAGTTAGAGGATTTTTAACTTTCTCTTTGTCAAAGTTGAATGTCCCATCTGCGTTTTGTCTCAGAAGCTTCCCACTGCCATGACCCAGCAGTTCATGAAGACCTACTTGAACCTGCATTTGTCGAATAAATGTTGTATTATTATTAAAGAATAAATTTACATATGTATTATAAAGACACATTATATTATAAGGTATTTCTAAAATTAACAATAAGTTTATTTTATTAAAGCATAAAATTGTTTATGTAATTATATTATAAATAGGCAATAATTTAGCTGGTTTATTTATAAGAAATCTAGCTTTGGTATTATTATTTTTGGGTTTGATTACCAATTCAACAGTGTCGTGAAATTAAAAATTTTGCTCTATGAGTCATTAATTGAAGCAAGTAAAGTCTTCTTATATGGGGTGTTAAATTAAATGTTCTTAGTTTTACCTCAAATGCAGCAACCCTGTATTTTTCTAAAAGCACTTTATCACTATCAGACAGGAATGGTATAACGGACTCCTTATAAGCGGCGGGGAACACGTTACCCAAAGACACGTTCTTAAAGCCTTCATTTTGTCGGATTTCATCATCTAGAAACAATTTCATTATATATTTAGATCAATATGAACAACATGTCATATAAAAGATATGTTCAATATCCTGGTATAAATAACAAACCCACAGTTAGGAATGTTAATTCCAGCTGGAATGCCACTCCCTGAAAATGTCAGTACATCTAGACTGGTGAAGTCCGGACGAAGGAAGGAATCCTTCTCAAGTCCCTCGCCCCACGGTAACAGTTTTATGAAGTTTTCAGCACCATGTACGAGTTCCCCAAACTTTTTAGACATATCTTTATTGACCATAGCCACAAAACCTTCAAATTCACCTCTCTGACCACTTGGATCGCGGTATGTTTCTATGAAGCCTTGATATCTGTAAATTGAATATAAATTCATGTTATTTTATTCATTAAAATATGTTTAAGTAAAGTTTTCATTGACAAAGTGTATTGTTTGAAGTCCTAAAGGATTAAAACTATGAGGAACATGCTTAGATTAAGAAATTATTAACTTTTCTTATTTATTTACAAATCAAAAAACTAAAATATAATTTAATAAACTATTGGTAAGTGTAAATCTTTCTCTATTTCCCTATATTCATAGCTTCCTTTGTGTTCAGCTCTCTTTTAGCTTAGCAGAATTGGCATACTTAAGACTTTATATTATCAATATGTATATTTAGATGTACATACTAGTAATACTTACGTCTCTATAATTGGCCCTTTATCCTTCACCCAGAACCTGCTGCCTTCTTTGTGTTCACTTAAATCCCCTTCTCTAAAACTGTTAATGTAATGTTTAATCATATTCTTTTCATTGTCATTTGCTGCATACTCCATAGCTTTTGCAAGATTTTCATTAACCAAACTCAATAATGGCGAATAATCTCCGCGAGTCACTTGGAAGTATGCATTTTTGTATTTCTCTTTATCCATAGTAAGTGGCGGCTTTGAGCTTTTCTCAACACTAGCTAAGTGGATTGTATACAAAGGTACTGGAACAATAAAGACATGCAATTACCATAAGACATTTTTTACACAAAAAACAGCACTAGGAATTACATACCAATTATTTAATATGCTAAACATATGATTGCATATTATGAAAATGTATAAAATAGAATTCATAAAATTTATTACAAATGTAAATCTATTATTGTTATTAAAATTTATTCCAACTCATTAAGTAAAATTCCTACTAATAGTCCTTATCTATATTATTTTTTTGCTAATATTTAAAAAAATGTAAGAATTTATATTAATTTACTTTCAATTATTGGCTTTTAAGAAGAATATATAATCTTTAAAATCTTACATCCATCATCGGCGGTTGTTTTGAAAGTTCTACAAATGTATGCTTCAATGCGTTTAGTCTTCATCCAGTCATTCACAAGAGTTGAGTCCGCCTCTGTGCAGTTACTTGAGAAATATGTTGTTATACCCTGTGGAATAATCATATGTTAGGTATAACAATATTATTAGCACTTAAGTTTTTTTTTATTCTTATACAAATACCTTATCAGCTAAACCAAGGCTGGCTAATCTGGGTGCAGTACTGTACATAGCATTTTTTGTGTTCTCCCACAGTTTACTTATATGAGCTTCGTCATTTTTAAATGCTTTTGATGACTTAACAATTACTTCAAAACATTCTTTAGGCAAGTTAGGAATGAATTTTGTATCACCAAAGCCCTTGTAATTGCCGCTGTTAGCAAATAAACCACCCGCATAAACTAGGAAGGCCTGCAATATAATTTTTTATAGATGTGATTGTTATAGTAATTTTTAACTATTATTTTACATTGCTATCAGACATAGGAGAAATATGGGTCAGAATGTAAATATTAACCACAATAGTACATTTAATAGGATGTGGTTTTCCTATCAGTTCCCAATAGGAATTTTTCTAGTGTACTATTTAGTTTGATATTTATATTGAGATAAGATAAAAAAAAGTACCTGAAAATCATCCTCGGATACACCAGCTCCAAGGGAAGCTTTTTTTAAATCAGCCAATCCTTCTGCTTTAAAAATTCTGTGCAATAAGGAAAAGATCCTTGGTGATTCTGGACTTGTTTGTAGAAGAACAATTAGTCCACCGTTCCAAGCAGCCTAAAATTTAAATTAATATTAAACGCTTATAAAATCTCATTATTTATTTATTTTTGTCCACTTACCTGACTCAAGTAGTGAGCGTACAACTTTTCTTGTTTAGTTAATTTTGTAAATGCCTGTGAGCTATCTAGTTCAACAAATTTCTGATTGTTGGGCAAAAGAAAGATCGACTTATCCTCCATAGCTGTAACAATACATACAATTAAAAACTTTAAATACTCGATTTTAAGATAAATAATTAATGAAAATTTTCTAACAAGAAAGATTGAACTGAGTGTAATAAACTAAGTTAGGTGCTAGTATATTTTTAATACAAATTATACATTTGAGATTCACCTCATAAAAACATTAGCATTTCTTTGACAATTACTGTTGACACTTCTGTATAAATAAAAGTAATTACAAAACTATTTTCACTTATAACAACAACATACTGACCATTAATACTTTTTACAGGTTGAATAATTTTCTTTTGAGTTCCTGATGAGTATTTATTGTGTTTAGAAATAAATGAATCAGCAACTTTCATGTGCCGGCATTTCGACAAGTTTACAGTGAAATTGCGAAACATTTGTGTTGTATTTCATGTAATCCGGCTTAAATAGATAAAATAAAAAAAGCCGTACTTACTAAAATTACTTAATCTCTCAGTGGAATATAATATGTGTAAAGTGTTGAAATTGCTGTCTTGTAACTTGAAACGTCGGACCTTTACAGACTATAAAAAGTAAATGATATTGAAATTTGAAAGCAACTAACAAACTGTCCACAGTTTTTAGTTATACACCATCGTTTCCAGATAACCGTTATGTGGTTATAGACTATCACAAATGGCTGTCAACTTTCTTTGTTAAAATATATTGTTTTAATTAAGCTGATACATTAGAGACCAATGAATACATCATTTATATTAGTACTTTAATCTAATTTTTATTAAATAAAGATCATAGAGATATAATTCTGAAAATAACCACTTGATAATGTTTATGGATTACAGAAAGTATAAGGATAGCCGGGCACAGCTGTGAATGACAGCTGGCTTTTTTTAAACAATCTGCGTTGTACTATAACAGGTTTTATATCTGTGGTGTGAAGTAAACACTCAACATGGATGGTTTCTCATTACTCTCACTAGAGTTATTTCTTTTAGAATTAGTTGATTAAAATGTTTGAGTAACATATAGGGAAGGAATATATTATTTTTAAAATGTCATCAGAAAGGTAATGTGTAGTGATCACGTATTGCTTATGTCGATGTCAAATCGTTACCGAAAATTAGTCGAAAGTTGCAAAATCAATAAAGTACGCGGAAATCACTAATGTCACGCCCTGAATTAGTTTGTTGCTGTGCGGTAATACTGCTGTGATTTGGTTTTATCGAAGGCGATGTTTTATTCCAGGGTGGAATGGGTGGAGATCATAGAACCGAAGACAAAGGAGCATATGTATGCTAACCTAACAACTGGCGAATGTGTATGGGATCCTCCTGAGGTATTTTATATGTAAAACCTAGCTTGCGTTTTATTGTATCTAAAAGATTTATATTTAATTTTATTAAAAATACGTACACCTATAGAAAATTACAAATATTTTTATGGATTTCTGAAATTTTTATTCATGACTTAATAAAAAATGACTGGCATAATATATTTATATTTTTTATAAAATAAGAATATTAAAAAAAATATTACAATTGAATTTTTAATAGCACAATATTTTATGTATCGAAATATATTTTTCTTTTCATATATACATAAAACTATCAGTTAAAATTTTACTTTATAACAATTATATATAAAATACATTTCAGGGTGTGAAAGTGAAACGCACAGACTCTTCTCAATGGTGGGAATTATTTGACACTAATACTCATAGGTTTTACTATTATAATGCATCTACTCAGGTACATTCAAAAAATATATTTATCCATATAGCATTAAATGTTTTTATTTATATAAAAAAATCTGTTCCAGACCACTGTTTGGCATAGACCAACAGATTGTGATATTATACCACTAGCGAAATTACAAACATTGAAACAGAATACCGATCCTCAGAAAAGGAGAGAGACATCCACACAAACAAATCAAGCAGTGCCGCAGGTGAATATTGTATGTTAAACTTTCAATCACAATCTATATATTAATTGCTTGGGAATCAACCCTTGAAGTCATATATTCGAACATTGTACATATCAAATATAAACTTTCCCCTACCATATTGTGATAACAATTATATTTTTTGTACTCTAATATTAATAATGCAAAAGATCATTGCTCATCACCTTTGTGTCATTGCACCGTAATAGAGAAAGTATTTATAAATATTGTAAATTTTATTCAACAGGCAATTATAATTGACATGAACAACAATCAAAGCATATAGAAATTATAAGAAACTTGTTGTGTTTCAATGTATCGGTCTTATGAATAAAAGTGAATAACATTTTACGATATAACAAAGATGTTATTTGACTCGCTTATGATGCAATAAATATGTAGTACATGTGATAACCTGTGACCTTAGGTTTTGTAAGCGCTGATTTCCATTACCCTTTTAAATGCATTCATTAATTTCTTTTATATTTTGTTTATAAAATTATTTTAATTACTAATGTATGCTGCTTTAGCTTGCATCTGCATATTACACCTTAAATATTTTCTTAATAATATGTAGGTTTTTAAAAATTCTATTGAGTTTAAGCAAGTTTGATAACTTATCGATTTCCTTCCTCTTTTGATATATTAACTGTTGTGTTCTATAAGATACTTGAGTTATGACAACTTTGATCATATACTATTTTTTTTAGGTTCCATCGACACTAGATCCAATAAGTAGCAATGGCAACAGCACGGCTGCAAGTGTTAATAAACTGTCACCAAATAACACAAAAAGTGTTACTATCACACAGACCAGTCCTGTTAGAACAAGAAGATCTAATTATCATCAACGGTAAGATTACACCTAGATATAAAATAAAGATGCCCAAACTTGAATTGTTGAGCTGACCATTTTCTAATACTTTCATATAATATCAAATGAATGAATTTCTATTCCTGTGTGATGTATTTCATAATTAATTATACCTTGCATGCATCCCATGAGAATAGGCATTGTTAATATGTCACTCATTACAATAGATAAATCCTTTTTGCCTTGACCACTTTGTTCAACTGGTTAGGAATTTAATATTCATGTGGGATGTTAATTTACTGTTCCAGTTCATTGGTCCAGAAGATCACCTAAGTTAATTTACATTTGGAGCCACTTCGTTAAATATATTATTTTTATTATAAGACTTTAAGTGCCTCTTCATTATATTTCATATGTAAATTGAAATAATTGGGTTCATATTACAGTAACAGTGGTGAACGTCGCTGTCGTCTAAGCGAGGACAGCGCTGCGCTCTGTCGCCACACAGATTCTGGTCGTTCATCTGATAGCAGCCTTAGTAGTGCCCAGCAGAGGAGGAAACAGGTCGGTCTCAATACTAGTATTGTATGGTGATGGTCTAAGGCACTATAAACTCTCGATTTTTATGTGTAATGATGCATCAATTTAATATGTAAGACTTAATTTCTACATCAATAAATACTTTTTTTTTAATTGATTGATGTCATTGAATATATATCTTCCCTAATACATAGTTTATATGTATTACAAAGAATATAATATTAAACATTGCTTAACTATTTTATTTCATAATACACATCTATTTGAGTTCCACAGTGAACATTGCAATATATAATCCATCGTTAAAGTTGCCTTAGCTTCTGTATTAGTAAATGTGTATTTTTCAGGTGAATGTATAAAATAATTAATTTTATTATATTTATATAATGTTATAATTTTAATAACAATAATAAAGAAAATGTTGTGATTTTCAGCAAGAGTTAAGTGCGTGTGGCGCGGCTTGTACTCCTCAGCTGCGCAAGCGCAGCTCGGCCCAGCCTCACGAACCAGACAAATGGTCGCCTCACACCGGTACATATACATATATGGATATACTATATTCTATATCATTCTATCCTACTAATATTATAGACGAGAAAGTTTGTGGGAATATATGAATGTTTGTTGCCCTTTTACACGAAGTCCTTAACGGATTTTGATTAATGAATGAATTGTAGTAATGTTGCTCAGACTCAAAATAAGATATAGGCTATAATTTAACACTTCATTCCATTTAGTTCCCAAAGGATCATTTCATAATCTTGTAGTATAAAGTGACGTTACACAGACTGTACCTGACGTTTTTTATTAACATCTATTGTTTAAAGTTTAAACACACCAAACTTTTCTCCCTGAGTTCAATTCGAAGTCTTATACAATTGATATAGCTAAGGTAAATTAAGTTAACCGTATTAAATGAATGTAAAGTTTTACTAGACCAATTTAAAATTCAGTGATCAAATATTTCAATATATTAACTAAATTGTATATTTTTTCAGCTCTCAATCGTAGCGGAAGTTTTATTTCACCAAGAAAAGATGCTTCAGACGACTCGATGCACGAGAAGTATTTCAAATCTGTCGAGAGCACGCCGTTAACGAGGCGTAAGGTATGTGCGAAGGAAACATAAATATATAACTGTACTGAGATAATAAACAATATCCGATTCTTTTTAAAGGATTTTACAAACTATAAGTAATTGATATTTTAAACAGTGAAATCTGTATCTTAGTATACTAAACTTCAAGTTTTACAAAAACCCATTCAATGTTGTATTGAAAGACTAACAACAATTCATACATACATATTTAATAATTATTAGGATTTATTAAAGTAAGTAAACATCTAATGTTTAGTTAAAACAACAGTCAGCGGGCGGTTCTTCAAATGACTCCGCATCCCCTCAAAGTCCTAGTAGTCCATTACAGAAGCCCCAACCCACACCTTTCTTACAGGCAAGTACACATTACATTACAACACCTACCATATATTTAATACTAGCTTTCCGTCAGCCGCTTCGCCCGCGTGGAGTTTGGTTATATCGCGTTTCCAAGAGAACCTTTCAAAAGTCTGGGATAAAAACTATCATATATTCTTTCTGAAGGTCAACTCTATCTCTGTACCAAATTTCATTAAAATCAGTTCAGTAGTTTAGGCGTGAGAGCGTAACAAACAGACAGACAGAGTTACTTTCGCATTTATAATATTAGTAGGGATTTAATGTGTTTAAAGCAGAATGATATAAAAAATAAGTATTTCTTTGTGTTTGGAATAAGCAGGTGTGTTAGTTGAACCTGCTATACACCTGTTGTAAGCTAATACATCTGTTAAACAAAAATGTGTCTGGCTTTCTTTCACCGGACCAGATAATATTATATTTTTTGTATGATGTTACTTGTCTTATAAAGGTATACTAGTATATAATTAATATCTCAACTGGAACTTGTTTCATTTTGCATGTTTTCTTTGATATATAAATACTTTGACTAAGTTTATCCATTTTATATGACCTATAATGATTTAACAAAGCTTAAACAAAATGTCGAGTTCACGACACATGAGTGGCACAAATCCGAGATCTTTTAGTCTGAATATTCATTAATAGATTCATAGGCACAGCAATGAAAAGCAGTTTGATTGACGGATAATTATTAAAATATATTTAGTGAACGTTATGTTAATATACAGGGTGTATGAAAAACTGTGTCAACCCTTGAAGGCATGTATACATATAAGTATAAGCTTATTATAAAAAATAGTATAACTTAAAAAATATCAAGCAGAGGTCAGTTACAGTGCATAGGCTAAATAAGTTTTAAGTCGACATTATTCGAAGAAATGTTCCAAACATCTGACTCATACAAGGTCAAGACACCGTATAGTCGCAACGGCGCATGCGTGACCATTGACCGCAGGCGACGGGCCGCCGGCGTTATTATTACAATTCTGTTAGTTGTTCGAATAGAGATTTGAAAGTGTAAAAATTAGTTATATCGATAAATATTCTATCGACATTTTCAATATTGCTATAAATAATTATGCTTTTCACATTAAAATAATTTCATTTAAAATAACTTTTATTAATAACTAGCTTTTGCCGCGACTCCGTCCGCGTGGAATAGTGACTTCCGGCAGATTTCTGGTTCTTCCCACATAGTTCCCGTTCTTGCGGGGTTTTCGGAATGGTCGAGTTCCCGTAGAATTTTCAGGATAAAACCTATGTTTTTTTTAATTCACAATGAAGTACTTTTAACCAACAACATATTTATTTGTTTATTTGAATAAAGATTAATATTATTATGTTGATACAACTTAAACAAAATATTTCGACCAAATTAGGTACCATAAAAACGATTTTTGTGAGTTAATCTTAAAAGACAGACATATACTGTCCTGGACTGTTTTTTAGATAATTAAAAGAGCTATTATCCTTTAATACATATTTTTTGTGTATCTTGAACCGTTTTGACGGCGCACGCAACGGAAGGTTTCAAAGATGAAATAATTTCTCCCGTTTTTTACACATTTACCACTATATCTTTGCTCCTATTGGTCGTAGCGTGGTGTTATATAGCCTACAGCCTTCCTCGATAACTGGACTATCCAACAAAAAAAGAATTATTCAATTCGAACCAGTAGTTTCGGAGATTAGCGCTTTCAAACAAACAAACAAACAAACAAAAACAAACAAACTCTTCAGCTTTATAATATTAGTATAGATAAATATTATAATTTGAAACTTGTTCAGGTAAATTAACTACATATGTTGTATTATTAGGATAAATCGTTAATCTATTTCTGTTAAAAATGGTGTTTTACAATCAAACATAATATTAATGTTTGATGTATCAAAATAAGTATCGAAATAATATGAATATTAAATATTTATTTATTGTTATGATTTTTTAAATATCGATATTTTCAATAACGTGAAAGTAACTTCAAGGTCGTCACTAGTAGCGCAGCAGCTGTGATGACGTCATTGCGTGTCATCGTGTTATACCAGGGTCTACAAACATTTTGTTACTCTACATATAATAATCATTTAATATTTAATTTTATTATTTTTATTGAAGAGTTTGTAAATGTAAGTTGTTTTATTCTGTTACATTATCGATACTGATAACGTAGTTAAGAGGGTTGACACAGTTTTTCATACACCCTGTATATCAGAGTATAGTGTATATCAAAAATGTTTTTTCTTAAATATGTCTTCGGTGCAAAACGTACGTACGGCCAGCGTAATGTCAGCTATCAGGGCTATCTTATAATACTAGGTTTAGCACTTGCGCGTTATCAACCCTATTTTTTGCCAACCCTATTAAATACCAATGATTTGTTTATCGCCCATAACCTTCTTATTATAAAAGGCTTTTTCCATGGTTTTTCTTGGATTCGATCTTCATCTTCAATGAGTGTGTTAGTGTTATATTAACACGTGTATGTGTGTGTTACCTCCAGGCGAGCGCGGCTCGTCCGTCCCTAGTGTCGTCTATATCGTTGGCTGAGAACACTCGCGCGATGCACTCGCTGGAGAGACCTCATCTGTCACGACACACTAAAGACCGCTACTCCGACAGGTATGTATGTTAGATACAGATATTACGATGCTTTGCTTTAGAACAATTAAAATGTACCTAGTATTTATTACATATACAGGGTGACTGGTGAATTACTATCAATATTTAAGGAGAATACTCGGTACATGATTCTCATTCGAATTATGTAAAAAAAATAGGTACATAATTTTTGACCAAATTTCCGTATAAATAAATAAAGCGTGGGCACGTTCCAAGTGTTCCAAGTGTGGACGCGTGCGGCGGCGTGCTGATACAACACTACGCCGCCGCACGCGTGTGTGTGTGTATACCTAATCTGTAGGGTGTTCACACGATGCGTAATTAATTACATAACTTTTGGTTAACTTTACTTAGAAGTTTATTAATATTTATGTTATATTAATTTTTTTTGGTCATATATGATCGTCAAATATCTCGTCCTCAAGTATCGATAGTAATTCACCAGTCACCCTGTATATATATATATACTGTTTTAGAAAAAACCGTTCTTCTACATATAAATTTTTACATAGTTAAGCATTCATAATAAGAGTTAGTTAATAATAAAAAAAATACTTATTTTTTTGTCCCTAAACTTAGCTTTATTTATAATGCAGTCGAATGTTAAGAAACCTAATTAATATTTCTAGGCATCTAGACAAAGAGCGTCTAGCGGAACTTGAGCGTATGGAGCGGTATCCTGAGAAGCAGGCTGTATACAGTGTGGACAAACCCTTCAGACAAACTAGCCTGGACCTACGTCACAACGCCTCTAGCTGGCATCCTCCGCGGGAATTTACTAGGTATTTCTTATATACTAGCTTATTCAGACGGCTTCACTCATTCTAGCTAAATGAGTGGTTGTGAAATTACATATTACTATAATAATTCCATACATATTTTTATTACGTTATTTAAATAATCAACCAGTCAAAATTAACTCAAAAAATCCTCTGCCCCAGTAAGATCAATTCAAATTTTAGTCACAAATAGGTTTCTAATATGAACATATATTTGAATGGTTAATAATATCTTCATATATATAATAATGTTTCCCAGACGCCAACAAGCCGAACCCGAGCGTTACACCTCCAGCAAGACGTCAGTATCTTCTGGTAGTAGCAAACAACGGTCCAGCGAACAACATAATTTCATGAGGCTGTCTTCCGCCAACGAACAGGACAATATAGCTGCCGGTTAATAATACTTTATGCATAATATAAATAAAGTTATAATAATATTCATTAAAAATGATATTTTTAAACAACGAGATTTTTTTGTTCTACAGTAAATTATAAAATGAAATGCGTCAGCTTGGAGCCGACGTTGACAGAGCCTAATGTACAGAAACACAATCAACGTCTAGAGAAAACATCCACGCCAAGGGATAGAACGAAATCACGACGTAAGATATACATTACATACAGTCATAATAGAACAAAAAAAAAACAAAGTTATATGCATTACTAGCTGCGCTAATTTCCGGGATTTCCGAGATTTCCGGGATGTAAAGTAGCCTATGTGTTATTTCTGGACCTCAGCTTCCTGTATACAAAATTTCATCAAAATCGGTTCAACCGTTTGAGCGTGAAGAAGTAACAAACATACACACACACTCACAAACCTTCGCAATTATAATATTAGTAGGATTATGTTCTATTATTTAAATCGGCATCACATAATCTTAATAAAATTAATATTTTTGGATTAGTATTACGAAAATATGTTTTATTTCAATCATAAATGAATACTGAAAAAGGTCTTAGATATCATTATCTTGCAATATACATATGTGCTAGAACTTTTGTGCTTTTTCTATATTGTACCAGGATTTTGTTTTGTAATTAACAATGGTATATAAATATGTGTGTCAGGTCACAAGCGTGTGGAGGAGGAAGCGGCTCTAGAAGGTGATGAGGAAGATGAGGACGGGTCGCCGCTGTACTGTAACTGGGACCTGCGGGGCATGCAGCACTTACTGCCGCTACAGGACTATATCATACAACAGGCTAAACTATCCAGTTAGTATTACTAGTGATCTCTATATATAAGACTTCCTCTTATTGTACAAATGTATATATTATACATAATGCAGATAATATAATTGAAATCAGTGGTGGCCTAGTGGTTAAAAGGCCCGCCTGTCATGCTCGAGGGCGTGGGTTCTTCCTGGCCCGGGCAAGTACCAATGTGATTTTTCAAAGTCATATGTACTTTCTAAGAGTATTTAGACATCACTGATTAATGCATTCCCAAAAGAGGGTTGATGTCAGACAGGCGGCCGGTAGTAAAAACAATTAGCCAAAACTATTCACACATCTAAGGGCAGACCCTGACTAAAGTTGGGATATTGCTAGGTAGAAGAAGAATGCAGGTAATATCAATGTGTTATATTAATGTATATGGTTATTACAATGTCACTGTTTTAATAATCTATATTAGTTTTGTTCATTGCTTAGTTTGAAAGACTTTTATATGTGACAAATGTACAATTCACGTATGTTACTGCTTGTGTTATACATGGTGTTCAAAAATGTAATCAAATAAAAAATCATTTCTATCAGGTCGCGGTCGTTATGCGGGTTCGGATTCAGACGGAGAGTCCGGTAGCTCGAGGTCCCGGTCGGGGTCGGAGTCCCGGTCACTGTCCGGACACGAACCGGACAACGAGTCATCGGACGGTGGCGCCCGGACACCGGACGATGATGACGGCTCAGGGGTGTACCTCCCGCATACCTACGGAACACACAGACCCAGCGATGCTGAATATATGAACCACGGGGTCGCTTATTATAACACCTTCGTTGGATTTGATCGACAACCCTCGCCTGGTATACACAGGGTGAGTGATTAATTTTTTCATTGCATACAGATGATTAAATTTCGCTTAATAATATATTATATTGACTGACAAGGATAAACCAGTCTGAAATTTTACAGTTATAGTTATTATTATTGTAAATATTAAAACTTTTTTAAAAAATAATTAATTTAATTAACATAAAGGATCATTGAAATTGTCTAGGTTTTACTTAACTGAACTACAACCTGGGAAGGTTTCTCATTAAGTGACTTTATGATATCAATAGTTTATATGAACCATTCTAATGTTCACATTTACATTTAATAAAAAATAAACTAGAATAGAATAAGTAAGTATTTTTAGTTAACTTGCAACTATCGAAAGTAATTTGATCTACCAAGATAGGCATGAAAAGGAAAGATTAATTAAAATGATTATTTTTGAAGTTACCCTATTTATACTTAATATAATATTTCGCACATATCTGATTATGTTAATTGTAATTTATTACAGACGTCGTCTCTAGGTGGGTCGGGTGCTCCTGTGGTGTCCTCTAATACGGGGAACACGAGTGCGGGCGAGTGCAGTCGAGCGGACGCCTTGTATAGTCCTGTGAGGTCGCACCCACATTCTCACTCGCACTCGCATCCACACTCGCACCCACACACCCATCTACACCCACCGCCCGAACAGGATATAGAAATATTCGCAAAGGATAATCTCAATTTCAACAAAGGAATATTCAGGAGAAAGGTTCGTAATCCACAACTTATTTAATAACTAATATGGTCTCTAAGAGTTAATTTAAATAAATAATATCTATTACAACTAAAAATGGTTATATTAATTTAAAAGAATATATATTTTAATTCCAGGCATCAGTCCGTGACATGCTTTCTTGGACGTCATCATCGATTAGCGCCCCTATGGTGGGAGCGGAATGGGATAAGACACATAAAAAGGCCGCCATAGATCTGTTCCGACTCGTACAAATATATATGGGAGATCGTAAAGCCCGCCCCGGCATGACGCTCAACTCTGTTGCCCAGGATATACTTCACGCAACATTCACCAATGAGAAGTAAGTTTAATTCATCAATATTTCACAATATTAAGCAAATATTGAAATTCTAGGACTACACAATCTATAAGTATATCTATAAGGAAAAGGTTCGTCGTAGATTTGTACGCGGTAGAAGTGGGAGCGAGAGATATAACGGCTAAATTTCTCTACAGCCTTTTAAAAGTCTTGGGCCTGTTTAAAACTAATACCAATTAATTCTTGGAACGTACTTCGAGGGTAGCCTTAGTAGGTTCTTTTCAAATTTGATTTGGTAGATAAGAGCTTGAGAGGGGCCCCTTTAACCTACACCTGGGTCGCAAATCCCAGGCACTGTTGAAACTCCTCTCCTACAACGCGATGGACCCGGTGCCCGCACGGTGAATCCATTGGATGCTAAGAGGTTTTGTCTCATAACATTATATAAATGAGATATTTATTATGAAGATTGAAATGATCTTAAGCAATGCCAAGATAAGGATCCCTCTCAGTATAGTTACATTTACAAAATAAACTCACAAGTGTTCAGCCACAATATTGCTTTATATTAAAAAATAACTACGTAGTTAACAAATAGCTGTGTTTATATAGATTGCGTGACGAGCTATACGTGCAGCTGTGCCGTCAGACCACAGAGAACCCTCTCCGCGACTCGCTGCTCCGCGGCTGGGAGCTGCTGGCCGTGTGTCTGTCGTTCGTGCCTCCCTCGCCCGCCTTCCAGCCCGCGCTCACCAACTACGTCAACAGGCACCGCGACCCGGCCTTCGCGGATTGTTTCCCTGAGGTTAGAAAATCTCAAAATAACTATTCATTGAATATAGTGATAATATATGTTATAGATTAAATAACCTCCAATTATTTGGAGACGTCAGAAAGGTATGACACACCTTATAACATTTCCTCTTGTTTCCAGGTCGGTAAATGGCCAATTCACGTCCAAGTGTCACACTATGCGAGTGTTGCGTGTAAGAGGTTGGAGAGAATTGGCTTTGGAGGAAAAAGGCAACCAAGGAAACCGAGTACTGAAGATATTGATCAGGCTAGAGTAAGTAACATTATGTATTTAATGATTACATTGAAATATCGATTATAAAAATCTTTTTATGTTTCAGATTCAAATATTCAGGCAGTCGATGTTCGGTAACACGCTCGCGGAAGTGATGGTGTTACAAAAAGAGAGATTCCCTCACAGACAGCTACCCTGGGTTCAAGTGGCACTGTCCCAACAAGTGTTACAACTCAACGGTAGAGAGACGGAGGGTATATTCAGAGTGTCAGCTGACGTGGACGAGGTCAACGCCCTTAAAGCTAAAATTGATAATTGGGAACTTCCAGATGCATCTATGCTTACGGGTACATATATATTTTATTTAACGCATATTTTTAAGTCCTTGGTTCATTTTCGATAAATATGACCACTTGTAATTTGTATATACGTATTTGAATTGTAATAAAGATGAAAAAAATATTTTTTTACTATTTTATTAATTCAATGAATATAGTATACTATATGAGAATTAAAGCCATTATATGCCTTATCTTATATTCGTTTACACTCTAGATGCGCATGCGCCAGCAAGTCTACTGAAGCTATGGTATCGTGAGTTGTATGAACCTTTGATACCTGACTCGCTGTATTCGGCGTGCGTCGCTTCGGGCGGGGATTTCCCGGCATGCGAGCGAGCGCTACAAAGACTACCGCCGTTAAATAGACTCGTAAGTACTGCATATAACAATTATTGTGACTACAGTATAAATGCATTCTAACATTTATCGGGTTTAATATCAGTATAAAGTTAAAACATTATATAAAAAAGCTTTCATTTATAATGGATGATTGCTTGCGTCATATTTTCGGTTCAATAACCTCTTATTCGAGGTTAGAACTTTATTAAATGATAGACATTCGCCATATCTTTTATAAACGATAGAGCAGAAATGTTGAATTTTGTTTAAAAATTTCCTTCCCGTGATTATCTTTTATCAAATTATTGAATAAATTTATTTAGATATGATAATAATAAATATATTTTAATTTTAACCTTGTCCTTGTTAGGCGACATCTTTGAGAACACCAGAAAATTTTAATATTAAATTATATTTCTTGTTTATTTTTTTAAATAGTATGTGTGACATATTCTAAATGCATATTCTAAACATTAAAAGCTTCTCAGATCGTTCATGGAGATGTTGTGAATGCCCAAAATTATTCGAAATTTAGGAATTTAAAGTACTTTTTCAATATACACATATTATATTATTACGATTATTTTATATCTTTATTGTATTTTTTTTTTAATAATTTTTCTTACTATTGTTTTAAAGGTTCATTATATCAGGTGCCTAATCTCTGTACCGTCCGGTATTCTTACTGAAGCAGTATGAACTCTGAATACTACTTTATATACAGGGTGACTGGTGAATTACTTTCGATACTTGAGGACGTGATATTTTACGATCATATATGACAAAATAAAAATTAATATAACATAAATATTAATAAACTTCTAAGTTAAGTTAACCAAAAGTTATGTAATTAATTACGCATCGTGTGAACACCCTACAGATTAGGTATACACACACACACACACGCGTGCGGCGGCGTGGTGTTGTATCAGCACGCCGCCGCACGCGTCCACACTTGGAACACTTGGAACGTGTCCACACTTTATTTATTTATACGGAAATTTGGTCAAAAATTAAGTAGCTATTTTTTTTACATAATTCGAATGAGAATCATGTACCGAGTATTCTCCTTAAATATTGATAGTAATTCACCAGTCACCCTGTATATGTATATTCAAATGATGAAGCAGTAAAATAAATGAAAACAAATATATTATTTATCGCGACGTAGTTGTATTAGAAGCGAGTACATGCGGTAATTAATTTACTAAGAAAAAATCATTGACATTTATACAAACAATTACGTGATAATAATTAGATGTCCCACTTGACCTTTCTGCGCGGGAGTCGCCGACCAGTAGTGGGCGCAGACTAAAGACGGATTCGTAACCATTTGGTCTCTACGCAAACAAAAGATGCGCAGGCGCTATGACAATAAAGGTCGTGTTAACTTAATTATTGCTAATGACCGGCCGCTTTGCACACGGCACTCTCTGACGCAAATCGTCAACTTTTATTCTAGTTTCACTCTTTTGTCTACCCATTTACTAAAGATTCCATCGTCACACTACATACGAGTCGTTTCCTGTCTGTCATACAATAACCTACCTTAATATAATATGCGAATATTAACAAAACAAAGCGGAAGCGCCTTATTATAATTTGCCGCTTAATTGTTAATTCCGAATAAATTTATGTAACAAAAAATGTTCGTCTGTAACATTTGTTCATGTTACATAATAAGATTGCTATCCTGACTCCAGGTGGGATAATAAAGGACTATCCGGTATTAAGTTTCGGGATTGTTAAAGTCCACCTGTTTAAGTGTTTAACATATTCAGTAATTAAAAATATTATTTTATAAGGTGTTCTAAATAACAGACTATATTTATTTATTTTTTCTTCTTCTTTGCACTCATAAAAATGTCACATAAAAGGTTAGGTTTGACGTTACATGCATTTTTTAGCCAACTTTTGGGGTGTACAAAAACTAAGAAATATAGATAACAATATATATATTCAGTTATCCAAAAAAAAAACATATAACATCCACTATTACTTAAGTGATATGTTTAAGGAAACCCTCAAAATTTATTTCTTAATAAAAAAATTCCGTCATAAACACGAAGTTCGTCATATTTTATTAAATTATAAACATTATTCAACCAATAAATCAAATCCGAGTTACGTCAAAGTTTATTTACATTCGATGTTAATGTTAAGATTAAAAGATATTAGGCAACATATAAATATTAATTTGATTTTGTACGAATCGATTTTTTTTTTCAATAGTAACAGGTAATAAATATTTTGGATGAATCGTGACCGGACGCGATTTGACTGTGACGTAGAAACTGGTATCTTACAAAAATGATTATAAGAAAAAAATATGAGATAATCCATAGAAAAAAATTAAATACCTAATATTAAACTATTAATTTAAAACAAATGACGTGCTATTAGGGGTTTTTTTTATTGACGTGGAACTTAAAGCGTTTTTTTTTCGTAAATAAATTTATAAAACATAATATTATAATTGTTGAGTTAAAAAAGGTGCGATTGTTTTTTGTAGGAATCTCTTTGGCTAGTGACGAGCTTATTCGTTTTAGACAGATTTTTTTTTATATACAAAGTCACATAGATTTATCAGTTTAGCTGTTCATGTATCACTTTACACTTGAGTTCCGGATATTGTTTTCCCAAGAATATTATGTTTAGAGTATTGAGATATAAGACTGTCGCGAGTTTTATTCATTTAAATGAAACTAGTATTTTTCGGATATACTACGCTTATTTTATTTTTGTACAAAACTAGCAGATCGTCTGCCCGTGATCACGGTTGTTGAAAAGTAGCCGAAACGTTGGGAGTATGTAGTTTTTATAAAAATAAATTCGCGTAGTATATCCGAAAAATATTAGTTTCATTTAAATGTTTAGCGTACTTTCTTTGTATAATATAACGAAATTCTGTATAAATTTCACTTGTTCCAGGTACTTACCTACTTAATAAGTTTCCTTCAGCAATTCACGGCACCAGAAGTGGTGAGTCAGACTAAGATGGACTCAGCGAATCTAGCTATGGTGTTCGCTCCAAACTGTCTCCGATGTACGTCACAGGATCCTCGCGTGATCCTGGAAAACGCCAGGAAGGAAATGACCTTCCTTAAAACTCTCATCACAAACCTAGATACATCCCACGTACAAGATCTCCTGTGATTGAACCTAAACCACTATAATAACAACGTATCGACATGTTTATAGCTTTACTATCTCCTTAGAGAACCATCGAATCCTTAATAAATAATATAGCCAACATATACCAACACGGTTCGTATGAAATACCAATTCTATTCGTCTTGTATATTGTAATATGTTTATTTAATTATTTTTTTTTGTATTTTTGTACGCTATGTAATTTTATTTGGTCGTATCCAAAGATATTTAATGATATGTGATTTTAAATATATTTAGGATTGAGCTTTACGAAAGATCATGCAATGTTTCTCATTGGGACATCGTATTTGTTGTTAATAATTATTTTAATTATTGTACATGTGTGCGGGATGTAGGTATGAGTTTATTTCGTTTGTGTGTGTGATATGCGTGTGTGCGTTTATTTCGACCTAATATTTAACATCACAAATAAATCGTCTTGTAATATAGTCATTCGTATGCCGCGACAGTGATTGAATGCTAAAGGGCTACCGTTATTTTTATATGAAGCATAACTAATGGTTTCCTTAAAATTATTTTACCTTAAATTTAATTATATATTCAAAAACGAGCCGTATAAGAAATGATTATTAAAATTCTGAAGGACGTATCATACGATCAAGATATAAATTGGATGTTCGTAATTTAAAGTAATCAAACAAATTGGTATCATCATTACGATACATCACAAGTAATTTAACTTATTGAGAGATACCAACGAATTAACAGTGCATTTATATATTGCTTTTATAATTTTACTTAGTCATTTGATTTTTATCATTATGTCTATATAAATGTATTATATGAACTGGCATATTAAAAAAATATTGTTAGTAAACAAAAAATGAATTAATGATGTTAGATTTTAAAATTATTTACGACAAACATTATAAAAATGTTATTAATAAATAACATCAACTACGAAGTTGACATTGGACCAACGTTCTGATGTAAACGTACATTTGAAATTCGAACAATAATTATTTTAAAAACTTAACAATGTATTATGTACATCGAAATTTAAAAAAAAAGTGATAAAATTAATTTCAGTAAAAAATTTAAAACAAACGAACACGATCCAAAATAAATTAATCTCTTTAAGGTAGTTTCAACTTAAGTGCCACATAAAGGTCTATAATAGAAATTGCGAGTTAATATAATTCAACTTTATGTGTAGCGGTTGAAGGTTCATAATAAAATTCGTTTTCTAAAAGCGCAGGTTATTAATCGAGATATTATGTTAATTTTCATCTTACTTAAAATCTAACGTCATTGATTTCAACACACTTATTTCGTCACATCAAGGTCAAGAACTATACTGCCAAAAAAAAAAAAACACAAATTAATTTTCTTAATTCTCGTCACAAAATGAATTTGAGTTTTGAAGGTTTCTTAAGGTAAGGTCTTATAATTCATAAATTTCGTTTCCTATAATAATTTATCCGTAATTTATTCATATTGACAAACTAATAATTTAAATATCTCATATAAATTTATGTTACATTTGAAAACGTGAAGTTAATTCCAAACCAGCCTAATGGTAAACCAGCTAGTTTAATAAACAAGTTAACCAGCTTAAATAATAATAATAATAATATAGATTAATAAAGAATCCTATGGACGAATACGTGAGATATTAAAAAAAAGCTATTATTTTTTAGAAATTTAAATATTAATAGTTACGTATTGTTGAACGCGGTTTATGAATTTTAATTCGTATTGATCATAGAGAATTATATATTGATGGATTCATAACAGTTGTTGAATTTAGTGAATTAAATAGCTGCCTTATATCGCTTATAGAGACCTCTAAGTTAAAATTAATAAAAAATAAAAAAAAATCGCACTACACAAAATATATGCCTTAGACGCGAAACTATGCAACATGGTTTAAGGTTAATAGTTTTAAAGTGCTCTATATATATATATTTCCTACGCTCTTGAACTATTCAAATAATCCTTTATATTCCATCATATATAAGCTTGGTAACATAGTATACTGATTTCGACTGATATTAATTTTTCTCCCTAATTTAAGCATACATCTCATTTTATATTATTTTTTATAACGTTTTTTTTTGTTGTATCAGTAATTTTAGAATTATTTGAAAGGTGCAGCGTTTCCATTCATTCGTGGCAAATATAATTTTATAGTACAGAAGCAATTTAGTATAATATAATGAATAAAGATGTTTGTGAATTAACATATTTTTTTGGTCAGCTTGTTGAAGCACACTTTATTTGGCAGCTTGATATTAAACACGAAGTGACTCATTAAGGAATTCTATTTGAACCCATTTTTTGCTTTCTATTGAGTGGTCCTTAAGAATGTCACTTGTTTTTCCAGTCAGACCAAAGAGATCTTAAAATCCGGATGGTCATATCCTAGATTTTTTTTATATTTCGAATTTTAAAATATATGGGACCTCTTTTTTTGTATTAAAAATAAAATAAAATGTTTTATATATTATTTGTAAAAGGAACGTGTTTTATTGACCTATTTTATCTCGAGTGATTGGAAACGAATAATTCTCAATATGTTTACGCTTTAATAAAAATCGAATGATAATCTCACTCAATTAAAATAAATATAGAATGTTCGGATGTATTTCCTATAGTATATTTTTTTAGTATTTTTAAACAATAATAATTATTGGGCACACGTTTATTTTTAATATATATTTTTTTCAATAATTAATGTTTCTTGGACATTCCTATTCGTTTATTGGAGCAGCTTGCATTATGATCTGTGAAAAATAAAAGCTATTATATTTAAGTATATATAAACAGAAATTTTGAAGTTTTTGTTGCGTACCGATTTCATATAACACTTTACTAATTGCAACCGAACTTTTAACTGATAATATTTCTTTATCATTCGGCAGCTGTGATAGATTTCGATTATATATTCTTTTGATACTAATATGAGCATAACTTACTTATACCCAGTTATTGAATTCGCAACTTTTTTGTAAGCTATACTATCACAATGTTACCGTCGCTCACTGTGCCATATATACTTGAGAGGTGACGACATTTTATTTTAGACCTTATACGACTCATTTAAGGTACGTTTTAAATTGATTTAATTTAGAATGTGCCCGACTATGTGTCTGTGAAGTTATATGTCGTCGAATCTCACGTGATATCGGGATTCCCGATCTATTGAATGCTGGTATTATTCGAATTTCATATCGTTTTAGTTATTAAGATAATGTTCTTATAGCGTATAAAATATAAGAAATATTGTAGCTTTGATTTAGCTCCAGCCACTAATGCTCTCTTGTTAAGTAGAATTTGTGATTAAGTGAGGGCACAATTTATTTTTGTGTAAGTTTTTAGTTAGTGATATATGCACATTATACTGCGATCTATATTTTTGGCAGCTAGATTTATAATAGAGTATCTATTGTATACTAAATTGCTTATAATACACCTGTAAAGTTTGTATAGTACTTATAAAATAATGCAATAACTTCACTACTTAATCTTTGTAAATAATATGCCTCTTGTTTTTTTTTGTTTAATCTGGACAATATAAGTAATGCCTACGATGTTCATGAGAGTTAATGTGAATATGGACTTGAAGAGAAATAAATTATCCGTTGGATAAATGCGAATACCACATCTCGTTTTATTTAATTATTACTGTGTTTCTACGTTTTACCTAAAAATGTTTAACAAATATCACATTTATATCCAGTGCCCACTGAATGATCACGACTTCCCATTGTTAAAATTACTGATGTGAGATCAGAATTTTTATGGAATAAAAATAAATTATTAGCATCAGAAGTTAAAGTAGTTGAAAAAGTAAATACAACTTACATTTTAATAAAATAAGCAATTATAAAAACAATTTACTTATTGCAATGCACGATTTTTAATTAAGTGTGAATTTGATAGCTCAGGTTCTAAAAATAATTCCTTCCTATGGTTATGTATATCCTTCATAATACTAAAAAACAAATATAAAAAGTTGAATAAAGATTACACAAGTTATTAATTCAAGTCAATAAACTATGTCTCTACTCTGCTTGAAAACAGCTACCATTGTGGAAGCAAGAGGTAAAGTAGGCCTGAATTAATAGAGGCTAAATAATTTATATTAATCAAAACACATTATTGGATCATCCGCAAAAAATTGTCAACTCGGTCTTAATGTATCTATTTTATAAATATGTATCACCTTGCCATCAGAGCCTTGGATTCAGGGAATTCGGTTGCAAGTTTGATATAAAGTTTTTTTTGATTTACAGTACCTAAACAATATCTTCCTTCGGAGATAATCTTTGAAGGTTGTGTGTGCATTAAAGGTAATGTAATAAAAACCAAAAAATTGCTTAAATTCCCTAACAGTCGGACATAAATTAGAAAAGAATTTGTGTCTCGTGCGTCATCAGCCAACCAGAAATTAATTAATAATATTGCCTTGTTTATTATGCTTTAAAGACCTTGCATTGGATTTGTGAATAATTTCGCCGGAATGATCGCCAACAAGATAATTCAAATAATCGTTTATATCCAACATAAAATATAATGTTTATAATAGTGTTACAAGGTTTATGTAACAAATTTTTTCACTAGATCGAACAATGATTAATATTTTGAACTTCAGATTTATTTTTAGATTTTTATTCATCATCGCGGAAAGGATCTTAGAGGTAATTAATATTATATTGATTATTATTAATTCTTTACTTTTTATTCATTTTTTGTGCTGAATATAAAGACAAATTATCTCTAAGTACAAGTAGTTTCCAACACCTTATGTTTATGTCGTTGTAGGTATATTAATGTTATAATAAAGTCATATCTTATAAATCACTTTTTTTTTGTAGATGACATCTTAATTATAACTTTACTATTATTAGTCCATTTATAGAAGCTACCTTATATTTGTTTAATAAATATATTTTTCATCGTTAAGTATTGGTCTATTGACGGGTTTAGAAATTGCAATTACCGGACATAAATACATTAAATAAATGGGTACTTTAATTGATGCTTTTCTCACAATGATATCGTATCATAATCTTCTTCCTGGCAATTTCCCAGCTTTAGCCAGGGTCTGGCTAGATAGGTTTTGGCTAATTGTTTTTACGATCGGCCGCCTGCCTGACATCAACCCTCTTTTGGGAATGAATGCATTAATGACTCGGAAAAATCACGTTGTTACTTGCCCGGGTCAGGATCGAACCCGCACCCTCATGCATAAGAGGCGGGCCTTTTAACCACTAGGCCACCACTGACTTGTTAACGTATCGTATCATATTATATTATTATAAATATAATAATATTTTATTATATTTATAATAATATAATAATAATATTTTACTTTTTATTAAATCTATATAAATAAAATCCGACCTCTTTTTCAATTCTTGTTATTGTTTAAACAACATTATACTTCAACACTTCTAACTCAAAGCACCGAGTTGAATAAAACTAGTCACATAGGTTTTTATTGTCCCAATGACAATAAAAGTTTATACCATAGTGGTTCAATGTGTAAATAAATTTGTTAATTAATCCTTCTTTTATTAGCCCCAATATAACTTGACAATGGCTTAACAGATGTTAAATTCTTCTACGTTGAAATGTCTTTTTGATATTTCGTAGATGTCTACATAAAAAACTGTCTCTCAGTTACCGCCTGTCGTTTAAACGACGAAATAAGAGTAATGTGACGTCATTTTCTTAATAATAAAACGGTAGTAAGTTGTAACAGTCGGAGTCAGAAACTTTTTATAGTCTGCTGGTTTAAAATAAAAAATGAAGGTGAATATTTACATTGCTTAGTGTTTTGCTACTAGTTATATAAATAGCATTTAGGAATAAATGAAATTTTAATAGTACGCGAAGCAATTTTTTTCGCATAAATTATTCGAATGGTATATGATTTTAGAAAATTAAAATTGTTTTGAAGAAGTTTTATAAAAGGTTCATATTTCTGTAATAAGTTACATAATAAATAACAAACTATGTTTGGACATACGTATCATATACCAACATAAAAAATATACCTACATATATAAGTGCTAACCTGAGAAAATGTCTATCTCAGTGTCGATGATCAATCAATCATAATGATTGAATATCATAATAATATTTTATTAAACATATAATTTGTCATATACATTTCATCGTTTCATGAAGAAGAAGAATTTTATTGTTGATTCTAAAATATACAGGGTGACTGGTGAATTACTATCAATTTTTAAGGAAAATACTCGGTACATGATTCTCATTTGAATTATGTAAAAAAAAGGCACTTAATTTTTGACAAAATTTCCGTATAAATAAATAAAGTGTTGACAGGTTCCAAGTGTTCCAAGTGTGGACGCGTGCGGCGGCGTGCTGATACAACACCACGCCGCCGCACGCGTATGTGTGTGTGTGTGTGTATACCTAATCTGTAGGGTGTTCACACGATGCGTAATTAATTACATAACTTTTGGTTAACTTTACTTAGAAGTTTATTAATATTTATGTTATATTAATTTTTATTTTGTCATATATGATCGTCAAATATCACGTCCTCAAGTATTGATAGTAATTCACCAGTCACCCTGTATATGCTGCCATAAACAAACTTTACATTTTGTTAAAATTCGCCGGCCTGTCCTTTTTTATAACTTTACTTACGTCAAACCGTGTTAATTATATTGCGTAGACGTATATGAATTTTTAAAATATAAAAAAAAGTATACGGATGTTGTTTTTTTTTTGTATTCTGCGAAGAATATAAATGTGAAAATTTGTGAAGATACATAAATGTTTGGATTTGTCAATGTTTGTCATTATTTCACACAAAAACTACTTATCGGATTTTGAAGAAATTTTACGGTTAAGTAGATTGGAAACTAGATCAAGACATAGGTAATAAATTATCACTTCACTCCGTGAGAATTACCTCACTTGATCTAGATATTATGAAGAAGTATTTTACCTGAACTCATGTGAAAGAAAATAGATGTCTTTCCGTTTTGGTTATTATGCCTATTGTTTTAAGCTACATTTCTCTATGGACCCAAACCTGAAATCCTGGCTGGCGAAGTCCCGAGTGATAACCATATATTACTTAAATATTATTACTTACTAATCTTGTTTGTAACTAGGCTGTTATAAAATTTAATGTATTTTTTCTACTAAAAAATTTTAAACCTACACGCAAAAACCTACAAACAAATTAAATCATTTATAATAGCTTGTATCACTTAAATATTTTGTTTTTGTTAAGAAATATTAATTCAGTTTTGAAAATCTTATCTTCTCATACTAACTTTACTTTATGGTTTTGATTGTGGTTTTCTTATAGTATAGAAATGAAATTTAGAAAAATAATCCAACAAAACAAACTAGATACATACTAGAACGGATAATTATAAGAATTACACTATTAGTAAATTGTATAACCATTTATGTATCTCGTATGACCATAATCATGGCCGTTGTAAAGCTATCAAAACGAAGTACATACGAAAACGTCATACTATACTATACTCCATATAAATATTTATAGAAACATCTATTACTCCACTAATGCATAAGTTTTATTACTTGATTAATGCATAAAGTTTATAACTTTATTAATGCATAAAGTTTTTTTTTATTACACGATTAATTAAGTTATGAATTGAAATAGTTTTGTTTTTTTTGTGCCTATTTAAGTATTTTGATAACTGGATAATCTAAAATAAGTGAGAGGTAATATTTTATATCTGAAAATTCCGAGCACAATTGTGTAATAGACTAATAGTCAACTAGTCCATAAGGTGACCATTAGAAAGAAACCTATTAAAAAGACAATTGTGATAATGTATTTCTATAAATATAAAGGTACAAACATGATATATTTACAACATTAAAATTGATTACAAGATCTACGCATATAATTCTCTTGATTCATAAAAAGTTATTCTTTAATATCTACTAAATGACACAAAAGACGTAATTCCTTTATTCGTTTATCAGAAAATTGTCAGCTTATTGTAAGTTTCATCGAAATACCTATTAGTGAAGTTATATATAATAGTTGTAATTAGAATATTAAGGTAAATTCACCTATTAAAAAAATTTTTTTTTTGTTCCTCTACTCAACGTATACCTTAAACATGTTGCGACAGTTCAATCGAAAGGTTGACGCGATGTTGGCTCCAAAACAACGTCAAAATATCGTACAATCCACTTACTTAATACGAATCATCAGAAAAATAGCCGGTGCTTCAGTGATTACTATTAAGAGCACGTCTCAAAATGTTATTCAATCATCATTCACATACTTTGGTTTTTTAAGTTTCATCACTTGGTATTGCGTATATTTTTATTCAGTTTATAAAATGTATTCAGAAGACCAGACTATATTGAGGTCTCTTTATAGTACAAAATTGAAACGTTACGGAGACGAAGTCGAGAGGACTATCAAATTGATATTTTCTTTATACGCTATGTGGAAAGTACCATTCGATTTGAGCGGCAGTTCCGAAGATATGCAACAGATTGTAGACATCGACAAAGCAATTCGCGACCTAGGCGAAAGTCTAGATTACAAGAAAAACAATAATTCTGTCATGGTTATATGTATTGTTCAGACATTTATAATTGGTACTAGAGTATTCAGTATGTGGTTTTCACTTTATCATTTAAATTTAAAACTTCCGAGCCAGAAGGTCTTTGTAGTTCTTTTCACTGATGCTGTTACTTTTATTATAGTAGCACAGTTTTGTTCATACCTTGTACTTCTAAAAAAGAGATATAACATACTCAATAGAATTCTCGCTTCAATTAAAGTGAGTGAAGTGTTGATATCTCGGGTTAAAATTCTAAGGAGCATGGATAATGGGTCTAAAATACAAAATAGATTTGTTACTGATAAAATAAAAGCCTGTAGCAACATATATAGTATGTTATTCATGGCTGCTCAGACGTGCAATGATAAGTTTGGTTTTGTAATACTATTAACAATGTTGAAAAATCTTATACTAATTATATTACATTTCTTCTACTTCATGGAGGCGACGGCTGCGTCTCTGTTTAATGAACCATTGGTATACATTGGATTTTTAGTCTATGTTTACTGGCAAATATGTTTTTCTCTTGCTGTTATATATGTATTCATTTATTACAGTGAAAGTGCTGTAACAGAGGTGAGGACTGAAGGTTATTATAGAAAATATAAACAAAAATAAACAGACGATATACTAATACGATAATTCATTTGTTCTAGGCTCTACTCATGGCTGTTATAGTACATCAAATTATAAACAGCAATTTGGATTCTTCGATAAGGAGTGAAGTATGTTAATGAAAGCTTAAAGATTATGAAAGATATATTATTTTATTATATTAAATAAGGATTTTTTTAATCATGTGAAATTTTACAGGCTGGTAATTTATCTTTGCAAATATTACATCAAACGCCTAAGTTTACAGCTTATGGATTATACAAATTGAGTCATGAAGTTTTACTTGAGGTAACTATTTGTAGGAACAAGTCTTTCGTAACAAAATATTGTTAAAATATTCATACCGAAAGGAACCAAGTGTTTTATATTATAATATCAGTAATGAGTATTATCAATGAGTAGTATAGTGTCAATAGTATAAACAGCGTGATATAGAATATTCTCTTAATCTATATATATAAAAATGGATTGCTGTTCCTTAGTCTCGCTAAAACTCGAGAACGGCTGAACGGATTTATCTTATCTTAGTCTTGAAATGTTCGTGGAGGTTCAGGGAAGGTATAAAAGCTGAAAAAAAAATTACTTTCCGGGAAAACCCTAAAAACAGCGCTTTTCTACTTCCCATACAAACGGGTTTTTTGACATTAGATTTGACAACTAACTAATATGTCAATCATTTTGTCGCACTTTAGAACACGGAGATTTATGGCTTAAAGGTGAACTCCAAAAAAATAATTAAGAAATAATTTATTTCTCTATTGAGGCAGTACGAAGTCTGCCGGGTCAGCTAGTTTCTAATATTTATAATGAACTCGGTTTTTTAACTAGTGAATTAAGTATTATCTTGTCTAACACAAACTATTCTATGTCTTTTAAAAAGTCTCATATATGTACTTCATTATGACATTAAATTATAATTCTCATCATTCAGGTTTGCTATAAAAATGTTATATTTATAATATACATATTGATAATTTTATCATAGCTTTTATAATAATTGTTTTTTTTTGAAAACATGAAAATTCTTATATCTATTTGAGTTTTCATCACGTATTTTTTCTTAATTAATGACTTCTTAATAATCATATCCATATTTTCAGGGTGCAAGATCAGTTACAACGTTTCTTGTAATTCTTCTACAATTTGTTACTGATAAACGATCTAATTAGTAGAGTTTGTGACAGAATTTGTACAAATGCAATTCATGATTCTTAGCAATAAAAATAAATGATGGATTTCAAATTGAACCTTACCTTTATTTATAGACTTGAAGTTATAGCATATTTTTTTCCCTTTACTTCTTGGGCTTCAGTACGTGTAGAAATAAAAGTATCAAGTCGTATCTATTTCTTATGTCAGCAGATTATTTAATATACATGTATGTATATTTGTGAGGTGGTAGAGCCTAGCTGTGGTCAATTACTACAGCTCGAACATGGGTTGACTCGACCGGGGAAGTATCACAGAAAATCGGTGTGAAGTAATGGTTGCGTTTCGTCCGATGCGTGGGAGAGCCGGTAGCCCTTTCCCTATTCCCACCCTTTCCTGACCTTTCCTTTCCCTCCCTTTCATACCTTTTCCTCTCCCATTTCCCCAATCAAGGGCAGAAACACATCCGCAAATCTACGTTGCGAATGTCCATGGGCGACGGTAGTTCTTTTCCAATAAAAAAAAATATTGTCCAAAAAAATATATAAAAGGTATTAAAAGGATTATTATCAATTGATTCAAGACGCTTTAAATGAATTATTGATATTTAAAGTAAATCATTTTTCTATGTTGAAGAGCTAGGAACAGTCAATAAATTTCTCGACTTTGTTGGTATTAATTGTGTCAATGATTATGTCACACAATTTATGAAAAGATAAGTGTTCTTCATTTCATATTGATATATTTTTTATAAATATCCTGAGCGATAATAATTGTATTGATTATGACACCGTAAAAAATACCAATTGCTTACAACAATAGCCATTGTGTAGATATTAAAACAATTGTTGTAGTAGAACAAATTAAAGAAACTCATGTTTGATTCCCATAAAGGTAAGAAAATAGTTTATTTTTTATTATGCTTTAAAACCTGTATATGAGTTGCAGAAGATGATTAGGGTAATTTGCATAGTCATCTTCAATACACAAAAGAATAACACTTTACGTACGTAACGTATACAAGTCTTGCGTCTGCCCACAATTTCGATTAAACTTAAGAGTTTTAGAGTTATAGTAATTTTAATAAAAAATTACATCGATCAAATAAACAAAAACCTTAACGGAACAGTTACAAATATGTAACTTTGATAAATTTATTTGTGTTGATAGTTATTACGGTAAGAAGACATACATACATTGTTTGATCAGTACTTCCTGATCTAATCTGCTCTCTCTCTTTTTCTCTCTCTCTCTCTGCACTCTCATCATAAGTTAACTGCAAAAAACTATATGCGCTGAGTTTCAACTTTTTTATTAATTTATTAATAGGTACGTCTTTGCATATTGTAACTAAACGCTTTGTATTTAGTTTGACTTTACAAACTCGTGGTAAGGTAGCAGTTTGTGTTATTATTTATTTATGTAATGGTCGATTAAAGTCAGCGTTTAATTGCAGTAATTCCGTCTATTATGTAAATAAGGTAAGTAATGAGTTACTTAGACATATCATTACACGGGGAAAATATGATGTTCATCGGGAACTTGTTTTTTCTATTCATTGACGTATATAGATGACATTTAACAATCAAGATATCTTTACCACAAACAAGATTTTTATTACAAAATTTCTCAAAAATATTTAGTATAAAACAATAAATGAAATACTTAATTACATTTACGAAAAATGTTAAATAATTATATAAATTTCATAAAAACATTCTGTGTGAAATGGAGAGGTAAAACAGTTTTATTCATTCAGATATACATTACAAAATAGATAGTAGTTTAGCGTGTGTTTTGCACAATGCCAGTTTAAATGAATACTAGCGAAAATCGTACTTCTTAGATCTCATAATGCCACTTTAAGCTAAATTAAGAGCAACTCTGGGACTCATTCCAAGTCATAATATAAAAGTATATAATATAAATATGAAGCCAATACCTGTTATTTAAATAATTACTATTTATGGATGGTTTAAATGATCAGACATGACCTGCATAATAACCTGGATAGCCACATGTGCAAATGCAGTCACAATAGTGACTGTTGCTATACATAGAGGAGAGGGAACAGATTCGTGCTCGAGCCGTAACAGGGTCTGACCATCAAACCGTCTATGAGGTTACCCTCGACATCCTGACCATAACCGAAAACTAAGGCGCTGGTAACATCAGTTATGCTGACGTCACACTTTTATATGTTTAGTTTTGACTGGACTGTAGCTGTTAATCTTATAGGCTTCGACAGTGTCACCGGAACGGGACACTTTTAGAAACGATGAAGTGGTGATATCTACGATATTATGTATGATCTTTGTGGGCTCACTTTTATCTTCTATAGTAATTTTAGTGTAGAAGTGGAGGCTTTGGAATCTATTTCAATGTCCATTTCAGAGAGCCTTGTATGAGCTTTATTTATTTTAAAAATACTTTGTTTTTTCGTCGCTAAGACTAAAATATAAAAATTTTAATTACACGTTTGAACATTTAATAAGTTATGGTACAGTAATTTTATTTTACTTTATTTTTTATTTTACTTTTTTATTTTATTTTATTTTATTTTTATTTTATTTTAATTTAATCTTTTTTTAATTTTTTTTACATCGTAGCTTCCTTCTCCGTGATATTTTTTCAATTGAATTTTTCAAACTGAGAATTGTAGGTTAGTCTATAGACTTTGCTATAAGATGCATTTATAAAATCTAAGTGCGTTTTTGATAAAACTTACGAACTCCTTGCTTTAGTAAGTTCTATACCTTCGTAGAAAAATATGAGTCCATAAATATATTCTCTACGAACGTTGTAATTAATAATAATTCATATCGAATCCTCTGAGTGCTCCAATCAAAATTTTGAAAGGTATATCTTTCCCAAGATTCGAAAATTTAATTTTTGATCTTGATTTTCGATTTCAATCAATGTGCTGAGAGCATAAGTTGGCATCGTTACAATGTATACGATACATATTCTTCTCATTCAATAACCTTTCTTTTTGATGACGCAGGGAAACTCTTTTTACGAGTCGTCCAACCGGCCTCGGTGGGGCCGGAAGGGTGTGTGAGACTCGACTTGGGTAGGCCCCTACTCACTTAAACCACTGCGAAAGCCATCGGCCGCTATGTCGGTGTATCCCGGATCTGTCAGCGACAGGGCACACCAGTGACTGGCTGGTCCTGGCAAAGACCGGACTTACTCCTTCGGAGTAGGGGGGCGATCCCGGCAATAAGGATCACCCTGACTCTCATTCAATAACCTTTATAAATAAATTTTAATATTTAATAATGTGGGAACACTAATAAATAAAACTTAACTAAAAATAGTGTTAACCGCGCCCATTTATGTTTGGCAATGCAATCTTGGGATTGTTATACAAAAATGCATTATACATACTAACCTCAAGTACGCATCGGTATACCAAATACGAAGCGAAGAAGGGACCAATAAGATAAAATGTCACTCACAAATTCTCAGTTTGCCTTTAGTGACAAGACGGCGCTGAAAGATTTCTTACAATTGGTGGTTAGTCATCAAGATCATATTTACTAGATATATTAAAAGAAGCTCTGGGTAACGTCTTAAAGTTCTTTTCTATTACGCATTTTTTTTTATTTTATAAATCTATAAAGGATAGTTTTAATCATTCACTTATTCTGGTTTGGGAATCGTTTAAAAAAACTCTACAGTTCACATTATTAGGCACTATGACTTAAATTATTATGCGTCGTATCAATATTTATTGCTATGTTTAATTCACTAGTATTTTCTACTTGGTCGCATAGATCACAATCACTGCAGAACCGTGAATTGCGGACAAAAGGTTGTTTTTTTTCCTCATGTTATAAAAAACAATCCTGACAACCAGTTAGCTATGTATCGTACGGTTCGAACGTATAATCGATTACGTTACATTATATAATTAAGAAAATACGATGTAATTTTTATAGTTAATAGTCAATCACAAAAATATTTTAGAAAAATGCATGTATCTCTTAGATTTGATTGTGTACATTTTTTCTCCTTATACAATATAAGACAAGTTAAATACATTTAAAATTTATGTTCTATGACAAAAACATTTATTTTTCATTGCCCTTAAAAAATCTTATTAACAGATGTAAAAATTAATAACAATAATTTGCAACTTCCTATGAAGTAAAAAAATATACATATCATTATTAGCCACATTTTGTTATGTGATGAAATGTAAAACTTCTTTCCAACAAAACAAAATATTTGTAGAACAATTTCCATATAAACTATAGATACTTGGAATTCAATCGGATTTCCCAAGTTCGATTCACTATTAAAAAAATTACACACAGAGGACAGTTGGTTTAAAACCTTACTAATGTAATAAAAATATTAATACTATAAAAAAGATGTCATAACAATTTTACAGATTAAATTAAACTCAATTCTTTTAATTATCTACGTCCTTACCTTTAAGGATGATGGAAAGGTAAATCTTAGTACGTTTCAACAAAATATTAAATGGACAGTAAATAACGTCCATTTACATAAATATATATTAGTTCTGCAAAGTAATTACATAACGTAGGAGTAATTATTTAACATCTGTTTCAATTACAGTTGACCTCCGTTGCGGTTTGAACTCAAACTGAGTATTATATTATAAAATAATGGTAGTATATCTTTGATACTATGTCCAAGAAATAAAATACTGCAATGATTGTAGTATTGTTTTAATACGTGTTGATACATTCTGTACCTACAGTTTTAGTATTGTAATGCTAGAGTTGGTAACCGTCACTAAAAACATTTATATAAATATACATAATAATAAACGTTCAAAAAACGTTTAAAAAGAAGTTGAACATGAAATATTTAATAACAAAAATATGTATGTTAAGAAGTTATATTGTGTTTAAATAAATTGTTTGATAGATATATGTATGTATATATCTAAGTACTGACTTTTATAAGGCAAACTGGTATACATTTAATACTCCAAACATTAGGACTTGCTCATATTATTTTAATTACTATCGAAGGTATGTAAGCCAGGAAATTCTTCTACGCCGTTAAATCTTCGTTGACCTTTGATTTTCCTTGAATCATAATTGGGCCTGGTGGTTTAGCTGGGCTGTAAGTAAACCGGACATTTGATATCTTGTAATGTATTAAGAATCTCCAGTGAGTTTTCAATTTCCTGTAAGTCCAGTCTTAACATGAGCCTATGAGTATTGGATCATCTTTGAATAATAATCATAATTAACATAGATGTTTCAACAACTTTAGGTACTGTATTCTATCAAAGAATTAATCTTTGAATTCTTGAAACAAATATTATTAATTCTATTTAATTATACAATAATGGTATAACTCACATATACTTTGTGGTGTATTTTTATGGGAAACTAGATTTTATGTACATATGCATGTTACAAAGGTAGGCTAATTTTCTTAATAAATTTTCTTTCACAATATATTTGCGTTTCAAGCAATACACAGTAATTATGGTAAAAGATTATATCTTGTGGAATACTATATTTTTATAAGATAAAATAAAAAAGAAATACTTTATTTTAATTTGGTATTTTTTCATGTATATTTTTCTTTGTTCTAGCTAAGTAAATAAAAATTGAAGCTATATTACTGTAATTAAAATAGAACCGGTTTGTCTAAAAACAGATCTTATCCACGTCTATAATCAGTTTTTTTTTTCATTTTTTATTTGATATATTGTTAGCAAGTTGAAATAATATACTATAAATATCACACACCCTAATTTACTATAAGAAGTATATCCAGTTTGATACGTGTAATGTATCAGGAATTTTCTTGACCTCTGTCCTGCGTGCTTACCACCATGATGTCGATTATTAGAATATTAAATTTAATTGTTTTTTTACCTAACATAATAAAAAAAATCTCTGGAGGTTACGATGGACACGAATAAAAAATATCGTAGCAAACCATATGAAACAGACATGACCTTGTTTATTCTTTTTTTATGGTAAAGAGGGCAACTGAGGAGACGGCCTACTTGATGGAGGTAGCACCGTCACCCATGGATATCCGCAACATAGTTTTGCGAATGTGTTGCTACCCTTGATTAGAGAAGAGGGGGAGGAAAAAGTGGGAATAGGGAAGCGACAACCGGCTTTCTTACACATCGGACGAAACACAGTCATTGATGACTACTTCACGCCGATCCTCTGTGAGAGGGTGGTACTTTCCCGGTCGAGCCAGCTCGTTGTTCGAGCGGCAGTAACTTGACCACAGCTAGGCTCTACCACCTAAATTGTTCTAGAAAATGGTTTTAATAGGTAAGTCATCGTTTACTCATTCGGCTTTCGGCTTTAAAATAAATTTCAAAAAACATTGTGATTCACAAAGTTACATATTTGAAGAAAGTATAAGTTTGTAGATTTATAATTCTATTTGATAATTATAACCAGCAGGAAATAAAATGGTATCCTTTAGCTTTCATTAGAGTTTTAAATACAAACTATTTTGTTTGAGATCCTAAGAAGATATTTTAAGATGAAGGTCATCACAGCACATTCACAAAAAATCTCTTTAGTAAAATAAATTTAAATCTCATTATTATGCATTTAAATTCCAGGGATATCTACAAGACTATTAAAATAAAACAATAAAATGTAATAAGTATGTATTTTTGGGGTGACACAATAATGTTTGCTCTAGGTGTCTAACAGTGACGTTGAAGAAAGAAAGAAAGAAACGTTGCTCCACATAACTTATATGCCGTCAAAATATAACGAAGGTTACCTACATTTTTTGCTTAACTATAAGCACAAATAAACTATTCTTATAAAATTTCTTCCCATTTCTTATAAATAATTAATATCTCAATTTCATTTCACGCATTACATAAGTTTGTTTATTTTTGATAAAATAAATTTTATTTGCAAAGGAATATAACAAACAAAATAAATTATATCACCCACAAGGCTGTTGACTGTGTGCCGTGAACAAAACGACCCCAGAGCTATTATCTGAAGAATTTGTGCGCCAAAAATGGTTGAATAACGCCAACATGCGGGACATATAATATGAATGTCCGTTTAGATGTGTTCATTCATATGAAGTTAGTAGACAATTCAACATGATTTTGTGGTATTTGTTGTTAGCTCTGGGTGTTTGGACTATTGCGTTCAAATATAGGAGACGTAGGATGTACAAGTTAGCTGCACTTGTACCTGGTCCCAAAAGCGAATATCCTATAATTGGTGTTGCTGCGGATTTGGTGGGAACTACAGAGGGTAAGAACGATAATTTTTTTTACATCAAGAAATAACATATATTTTATAAATTATTAATTCGTGATGATTTTTTTTTACAATTTAATAAAAATATAATATTAACAAATTGCAGATATAATGCGCACTTTGCAAAAATTTAGTTACGAAGCAATGGAACATAATGGTACGGTTAGGGGTTGGCTGAATCACATTCTCTATTTTTGTAAGTAAATTTTCTAAAAAGCTTCTTTATTTGCTAATTTTACAATATTACTTTATTTTATAGCTGTCAAATGACTTTGCGATTATTTAGGTCTCGAGTGTTTGGATTCAGACAATACTGAATATAGTAGACTATAACATTTACCTGGTCTCATAGAAAAACATATTTTTTTTAAATAGTAATTCATCTTAAAAGGTTTCAATTTACACCACTTTAAATCACGTCTAATAATAATTATCAACTTATAATTTGAAGATGATATAATTTAATGTGTTTATTATTATAATTTTTGTTTATTTGAATATTTATTTTCAAATTATATTAAAGAGCTAAAGATTTTTAGATATTTAAACTAATATTGTTATTTGTATGACACAAAAAATATCTAATAACAATATTTTATTTCACCCAATTGTATTGTAGCAGTATCTCGCATTTTTTTTCTCAAGTAGGTAATTATCAATGTCAACATATATTATTTCTGTTGTTAGATCAGTTTTAAGGTATTGTGTGCTTTTTAAAACAAATTTTTAACATGGGATAGCTGTATTATAACTTTACAGAATTAATATTCAATAACACGTATGGAAAACACGTATTTAATGAGTTTGTAATAATTTAATTTTTTTCTCTAGTGTTGTTTTAATCGCTTAATCTATGCTGTATTTCCTAGAAATTTCTTATGGTATTTTTATTAGGTCTATGTTGAGGAGTAGTTAGCGGAATAAGAAAAAGTAATCCATTCTAAAAGAAAATTATCATTTGTAGGTATTGACAATTTAATGCTTCAATGTTTTAATTGGTTATAATTGTAAATTGAGATAAAATTGATGGGTCTATTGCTTTTCTTTGGGAGGAGCTTAAGCAGTTCTTGGGATTTGCTACAGAGTTTCAAGGGGCTTTATCTAACTTGCGTTTAACACTCACCTCCACCGTCCAAGCTCCTCTCTCTACATAACCAATTTTGAAACGTAACTTCTAGTGCTGAATTCGAATTACGTTTCAAGAATTTATTGATGTTAGTTCTGGACAGGCCCAAGTCTTTTAGTCGGTTATAGAGAGATTTAGCTGTTGCACCTTTCGCTTCCACTTCTACCGAGTACAACAAACCTATTTCTAATTAGTTCTTTAGTAAGTTCGTAAAGGTTATTGTCCTTGATGGCCTGGTCTTTGGGGATATTGGTTTCCTAAGGAACCGTAAGATTTATCACCATAGTAGCCTTGAAATATGCCTTGTCGGGATGCCAACTAACAAATGTCCAATGGATTTTTATATTGTTTCTCATATGTATCCATCATTATAGTCCAATCAAGTCACTTTAAGAATAGAGTAACCCTCGAAGTTTCATTTTATAGCAAGAATGCCTTCTCTCACAAAAACTATTCATCGCTTGCCTTTGGTAACATCTTTTTGCAATAACCACAAAGGAGCTCTTGTTCTTTCTGTCTACCGAAAGATCGCTTCACATAAGATATCTAGAACCCTAAAAAAACTTAACATATCCTTATCTTTGTAGTGGTAGTGCATCCTACTGATTTGGAAATGATATTGAAAACATGCTTAGAAAAAGATGATCTTCATAGGTTTATACAAAAAGTCATCGGATATGGAGGAATATTTGCACCAGGTGAGCACAAAACAATTAATATATTTATAAACATTATACTGCAATTTACTTCTACAGTTACATTGAAGTTAAACATGAATAAAATAATAAATATAATTTCAGTTTCAATCTGGAGACGACGACGTAAGATATTACTTCCAACTTTCAGTCCGAAAATACTCGATAGTTTCGTTGAAGTTTTCTCCGAACAAAGTGAGAAACTTGCAAGTAAATTAGAAGAACGAGCTTCACAGAACTCTTTCAGTATCTGGCCTTTTGTATCATCATACACATTAGATTCTGTGTGCGGTGAGTTAATACTCAAAACAATCGTGGTTTAAGCAATTCGAAATAAAATACATTTTATTCAAATATTTAATTGTTGTTACTTGGAATCTGTTTTTAATTACATCAAATAGTATTCTATAAAATAAGAAAAATAAGATATAACAATAAATTTTAAATACCTTTTCTTTTTAAGAAACGGCAATGGGAGTGAAAATAAATGCTCAAAGCAATCCCACTACCTCACCCTTTCTGACCTCATTGACAAGTCTCCTTAATATTGTATGTGCGAGGATTTTTCACCTCTGGTTGCAGCCAGATTGGCTGTTTCAACTTTTCCCGCAATTCAATGAACATGAGAAATGTATAAAAACATTACATGACTTTACGGACGAGGTATGTATGCTTAATGTTTCAAATGGAATCCAGTTAAATTGTTTTCCTTATAAAAATAACAACATTGCATAGCCTTGACCAACAAAGAAAACGTTTACAATCATTTAAATATACATACATATGTGTCACCATAATTTTTCTTTCACGAAAATATATGTATGACTGGATTTTATTCTAGGTCATTGAAAAGAAAAGAATGGAACTTCATGAGGATAAAACAAGTCAAACAGAAGTGGATCACCATTTAGGTGAAAAATTGTTTTCATTATGTATTTAAAGTATATATTTTTGAATTAGTTTGAAATAAAAAAAATTAATATTCGTTCTTAACAGATTTACAAAGTTTTCAAAGAAAAAGTTTTCTGGATCTACTAATTAAGTTGTCTGGTGGAGAGAAGGGTTATACTAATGTGGAGTTGAGGGAAGAAGTTATGACTTTGACAATCGCTGGCACAGATACATCTGCTGTTGCTATCGGATTCACTCTCATATTATTAGGAAAATATCCAAAGATACAGGATAAAGTCTATGAAGAGTAAGTTATTAACCTTTTGCCCGTATTAATTAGTCATAACCCTATAAAATTTGCAACAAAGATTTATTAATACCAAAAATTTTCCAGGCTCTATGAAGTGTTCGGAGATTCCAAACGTTCTTTAGTAAAAGAAGATTTACAGAAGTTAAAATATTTAGAGCGAGTAGTAAAGGAGTCATTAAGGTTGTTCCCGCCTGTACCTTTTATAATAAGAAAAATTGATAAAGAAATAGAATTACGTAAGTTTCTCTATAACATATTACTTTTTCTATATAATTTATGCATATCAAATTTAATATTCATTATATTATTTATAGCAACAGGCAAGCGTCTCCCAGCCGGGGCTGGAGCAGTGATATCAATTTGGGGTTGTCACAGAAACCCTAACTTCTGGGGTCCGGATGCTGAATGCTTTGACCCAGACAGATTCCTACCGGAGCGTTTTGACTTAGTAAAACCTGGTAGTTACTTACCTTTTAGTAACGGACCGAGAAATTGTCTTGGTAAGTTTCGTTATCGTTTGATTTTTATTTAAGAAGTTTTAAGATTCTTTGTTTTACTACAACTTAAATTACATAAATTTCTAGGATATCAGTACGCGTTGATGTCAATTAAGACAGCGTTATGTGCAATAGTTAGAAATTATAAAATAATTGGAGAGCCAGAAGCCACTCCTATACCTCATATAAGAGTAAAATTGGAAATTATGATGAAGCCAGTGGATGGGTATCAAGTTTGTTTAGAAAAAAGAAAATCAGCTGTTTAGTGAGAGCCTAAGGTTTTTTTATTCCAAGAACAAGCTCAGTTGTAGTTTTAGTATTTTTTACTCAAATATTTATTTAAAAAAGTGCTTTAATTTTTTCGCCCTTTATTTGTTAAAAGGTGTTGTCTTAACAATTTAGTATGTTGTCATAAAAAGACGGATACTTGATGATGAATGGGACACAGAAATAAATTCTGTTAATAAAGAATTGTGAAGATGATTTTGTTATTATTTTTTATATGTCTTTAACGGAATTGTAAAAAACCAAACCTATTGTATTCATTTTACATTCAGGTTTTGCTTAGTCGCGTCCTCTAAAAGAAGTTTCCATTTAAATGCATGAATTTCATGATATTTCATTCTAATATATAGAAAATGTTAGACTTTGTCAATGTTTACATAGCATGAGATGTTTAAAAAAAATAGACATGTACAATACATACGAAACTGTCTTGTTTCTCTTTCAATAACCAATCTTAATGCTGTAGTGTGGGAAAACTTATGAATAAAAAGTGTTAAAGACTACTTCACGCCGATTTTCTGTGAGACGATGGTACTTCCCCGGTCGAGCCAACCCATGTTCGAGATGTAGTAACTTGACCACAGCTAGGTTCTACCAGCTCACAAACGCTTAGGATTATTTACATACAAACAGAGACAGTTGGTTGAAAACCTTACTAATATAATAAAAATATTAATACTTTAAAAAAGATGTCATCATAGTTTGGTAGGTTATATTAAACTCAATTCATGCTATAATCTAAGTCCTTACCTTTAAACATGGTAAAAAGGCAAATCTTTAAATGTTTCAAGAATATATTAAATGGACAGTTAATAACGTCCGTTACATAAATACATATTACTTCTGCAAAGTAATTATATAACGTAGGCGTAGTTATTTGACATCGGTTTCAATTACAGTTGACCTCCGTTACGGTTTGAACTCAAACTGAGTATTATATTATAAAATAATGGTAGTATATCTTTGATACTATGTCCAAGAACTAAAATACTACAGTGATTGTAGTATTGTTTTAATACGAGTTGATACATTCTGTACCTACGGTTTTAGTATTGTATTGCTAGAGTTGGTGACCGTCAATAAAACACATATATAAATATACATAATTACAAACTCTCAAAATTCGTTTAAAAAGAAGTTGAACATGAAATATTTAATAACAAAAATATATATGTTAAGAAATGATATTGTGTTTAAATAAATTATTTGATAGAGAGATATTTAAGTATGTTACTAAGTTATTTCCTTGATTAATTTTATTTTACAATATATGTATTTGCGTTTTAAGAAATACACTGTATTTATGATAAAAGATTAAATCTTATGGATTACTATATACTTTGTATAAAACAAAATAAAAAAGAAATACTTTATTATTAACTTGGTATTTTTTTCATGTAATATACATTTTTCTTTGTTTTAGCTAAGTAAATAAAAATTGACGTTATATTACTGTAATTAAAATAAAACCAGTTTGTCTCTAAACAGTCTATAATCAGATTATTTTCATTTATTATTTTATACATTGTTAGTTATTTGAAATAATATATTATAAAAACCACACACCATAATTTACTATAAGAAGTATATCCAGTTTGATATACATATGTAACATATCAGGAATTTTCTTGACCTCTGTCCTGCGTGCCTACAACCATAGAGCCAATTGTTAGAATATTAAATTTAATTGATTTTTTTTTACCTGATATAATAAAAAAATGTTCGGCGGTTACGATGGACACGAAATAAAAAATATCGTAGCAAACAATATGAAATACACATGACCTTGTTCTTGAAAATGATTTTAATCAATTAGCATCAACTTATTTGGCTTTAAAATATTTTTCAAAACAGAATGAGATACGAAAAGTTACATATTTGAAGAAAGTATAAGTTATAGATTTATAATTGTCTTCGATAATTATAACCAGCAGCAAATAAAGTGGTGTGATTTAGTTTTCCTTACGCTCTTAAATATAAGTTATTGTTTTAGATTTTATCTACTTTAAGATGAAGGTCATTCAGGTTACAACTCATTCCGTTAGAAAATAAATTCTCTTTAGTAAAATAGTTAAATCTGATCTCTAATATTTAATCTCATTATTATGTATTTAAATTTTGACGGGGTGACACAATGATGTTTGCCCTGGGTGTCAAACGCTGACTTTGCTCGCCATAAGTTATATGCCGTCAAAATACAACGAAAGCATTCAGGTTGAAAATATTTTTGTTTTAATATAAGCAACAATAAACTATCCTTATAAAATTTCATATGAATAATTAATTAATATGTACACTTTAATTTCAAGTATTACATAAGTTTGTTTATTATTAAAAAAATAAACCTTTTTTTACAAAGGGACAGTATAATAAACAAAATTAATTATATCATCTGACAAGGCTGTTGACTGTGTACCGTGAACTAGACGACCCCAGAGCCATTATCTGAAGAATTTGTGCGCCAACAGTGGCCGTCGACAGCAGGAAAATGGTTTAATAACACCAAACTACGCCTACAAGCGACACATATAATATGAATGTCCGCTTAAATGTGCTCATTCATATGCGGTTAGCAGAGTATTCAACATGATTTTGTGGTATTTGTTGTTAGCGCTGTGTGTTTGGACTGTTGCGTTCAAGTATAGGAGGCGTAGGATGTACAAGTTAGCGGCACTTGTACCTGGTCCCAAAAAAGAATATCCTATAATTGGTGTTGCTCCGGATTTGGTGGGAACTACTGAGGGTAAGTACAATAAATTTTTTTATGTCAAGAAATATATTTGATGAGTCTTAAATTTTTTATTGATTTTTTTCTATACTTTTTTGAAAATATAAAAATAATTAATTGCAGATATTCTGCGCACTTTGCAAAAATATAGTTACGAAGCAATGGAACATAATGGTACGGTTAGGGGTTGGCTGAATCACATTCTCTATTTTTGTAAGTAAATTTTTTAAAACGCTTATTTATTTGCAAATTTCACAGTATTACTTTATTTTATAGCTGTCAAATAACTTTGCGATTATTTAGGTCTCGTGTGTTTGGATTCAGAAATTACTAAATATATATAAATATAGTAGACTATAACATTTACCTGGTCTCATAGAAAAGCATATTTTTTTAAAATAGTAACTCATCTTAAAAGGTTTCAATTTACACCACTTTAATTTTTTTTTGATAATTTGAAGATAATATAATTTAATATGATTATTATTATTATTTTTGTTCATTTTGATATTTTATTTAAAATTATATTAAGCACTATAGATCTGTAGATATTAAAAGTAATATTGTTATTATAGGCCAGTGCAGAAGCCTTTAAAATTAATGAAAACTGAAAATAAATTATAGTAGAATGAAATTTATGTGAAAAATTCAAAAAAACCTACTTTTTTGTTTTTTATTTTTATCTCTTCGAAAAAACAGATTTTTTTTTCACGAAATTTGCTGGAAACTTTCCTTTTGATATTACAAATGTACTGTAATTTATTTGATTAGAAAATATCAGTTTTTTTCAAAAATTTTGGTATGTTTTTTATTTGTTGAAATCTCTATTTTCCGATGGAAAATAAAAAAATATAAGTTTCTTACTTACAGTACCATTTTTGGATAAAATAATCATATCTCTTTTAAAGAAATTACACTCGACATCGTTTTGAAAATGCCTTTTTCTAATTTATTTTTAATAGTTGTGTTCTCTGGATGTTCTCCAGATAGTCCTCCTTTTAGGTGCATAATTTACAGAAAATTGTCATTAAGCTGATACAACTATTAAAAATAAATTGACAGAGCATTTTCCAAACAATATCGAGTATCATTTGATTAAAAGGGACATGATTATTTTATCTAAAAATGGTACTGCAAGTTAGAAACTTATATTTTTTCTTCACCATCGGAAAATAGAGATTTCAACGAAAAGAAAATACACCAAATTTTTGAAGAACGATGATATTTTGACGGGTGATTTCTCGATTAAAAATGAGGCAAATTTTAATATTTCTAATCAAATAAATTACAGTGCATTTGTAACATCAAAAGAAAAGTTTTCATCAAATTTCGTGACAAAAAATTGTTTTTTGGAAGAGATAAAAATAAAAAACAAAAAGTAGGTTTTTTGAATTTTTCACATAAATTTTGAGCTAATATGTGAAAAAAATGTAAATACAAAAGTTTTTGATCTTCTTATAACTTTTGCCGGAAATCGAGAAAACTATTTTTTACCCTTAAATACCCATCTCCATACCCTTCTCGACCTCAGATCGCCCGTAAATTATTTTTCTTTTAATTTTTATAATATTCCCCTCCTTTTCTAATGAGTTTCATTCTTCTATAATTTAATTTTGTTTTAAAAGCTATCGGCACTGGTCTATTAGTATGACACAAAAATATCAAATGACAATATTTTATTTCATTCATAGTGTATATGTAACAGTTTCTCACATTTTATTTCTCAAGTAGGTAATAATCAATGTCAACGGATATTATTTATGATGTTACATTCATTTCTTACATATTGTGTGCTTTTTAAAATATTTTTGTAAACATTGTATAGCCGTATTACACTTAAAAGAATTAATGTTCAATAAAAAAACTTGTTTGGAATGAGTTTATTATAATTTAATCTTTTTCTCGACTGTTGTCTTAACCGCTTAATCTAAATTGTATTTCCTAGAATTTCTTATGGTACTTTTTTAAGGACTTGCGACCCAGGCGTAGGGTTAAGGAGCCTCTCTCTTACGTATACTAATCGCAAGCTCCTCTCTCTACCTAAACGTATTTGAAACGAAACTACTTGGTCTGAAGTCAAAGTACAATCTAAGAAAGAATTTATGTTACTTCTGGATAGACCCAAGTCTTTTAGTAGGTAGCAGAGATATCTAGCTGTTATATCTTTCAGTCCAACTTTTACCGCGTACGGTTAGTTTGTTAATGAATGCGGAATACTTTTTGACCTTGATGGCATGGTCTTTGGGGATTTTAGTTTCGCAAGGAACCGTATTTTGAACTTGATTATCTCAATACGCTTAAAAATTCGCGATTACAGAATTTCTCTTGTCATGACGTAGACGTACAAATATCCTCTGGGCTTTTATATTATTTCTCATACGTATTTATAATTATAGTTCATTCCGCGGACACTTTAAGAATAGATTATGGCTTAAATTTGATTTTGTAGCCCTTGTGTCTTCTTTGACAAAATCTCTTGATCGCTCGTGTGTGGTTATTTTTATTTGCGCTCTGCCTACCAAAAAACTGACTGCTTCATGCATGATACCTAGAACCTTAAAAAACTTATAATGATCGTATCTTTGTAGTGGTAGTGCATCCTACTGATTTGGAAATGATATTGAAAACGTGCTTAGAAAAAGATGATCTTCATAGGTTTATACAGAAAATCATCGGTTATGGAGGAATATTTGCACCAGGTGAGCACACAACTATTTTATACTAGCTGATCCGGCGAACTTCGTACCGCCCTATAATCTAAAAATATTTGTTACACACACTACAAATTATTCTGTGAAACCAATGTGAAAAGTACACTAAGAAATGGTAAATTAATTATGTAAGTATTTTGTTATTATAACTCAGGCCACAGACCAGCTCCGACCGATATATTTGCAAAAAGAGCATGTATATTTGTTTTAATTTTTTGTTTATTTTAATATTAAGTACATGAATACTACTGCCAGTGACACATTATTTTATTTAAAAAGTGAAATATTGTAGTATTTTTTTCTTATATGAGAACCTTCTTCTAATAATTCCAAATATAATAAAAAAAGAATTAGCTAAATCGGTCCAGCCATTCACACGTGTTGTCGTGCTGAAGGGAAAAAGGGATTCATTTATATATATAGATTTATAAACATTATACTGCAATATATTTACTTTTACAATTATATTTAAGTTAAACATGAATAGAAGAATTATGAATGAATTATGATTTCAGTATCGATCTGGAGACGACGACGTAAAATATTACTTCCTACGTTCAGTCCGAAAATACTCGAGAGTTTCGTTGAAGTTTTCTCCGAACAAAGTGAGAAACTTGCAAGTAAATTAGGAGAACGAGCCTCACAGAACTCTTTCAGTATCTGGCCCTTTGTATCATCATACACATTAGATTCTGTGTGCGGTGAGTTAATACTCAAAACAATTGTGGCTTAAGCAATTTTAAATTATACAATTTATTCAAATATTTAATTGTTGTTACTTGGATTCTGTTTTAAATTAAATCTAATAGTTTTCTATAGCAAAAGAAAAATTAGATATAACAATGAATTATAAATACGTTTTCTTTTTAAGAAACGGCAATGGGAGTGAAAATAAATGCTCAAAGTAATCCCACTACCTCACCCTTTCTGACATCAATGACAAGTCTCCTTAATATTGTATGTGCGAGGATTTTCCACCTGTGGTTGCAGCCAGATTGGCTGTTTAAACTTTTCCCACAATTCAATGAACATGAGAAATGTATAAAAACATTACATGACTTTACGGACGAGGTATGTATGCTTAATTTTTCAAATGAAATCCAGTTAAATTGTTTTCCTTATAAAAATAACAACATTGCATAGCCTTGACCAACAAAGAAAACGTTTACAATCATTTAAATATACATACATACATATGTGTCACCATAATTTTTCTTTCACGAAAATATATGTATGACTGGATTTTATTCTAGGTCATTGAAAAGAAAAGAATGGAACTTCATGAGGATAAAACAAGTCAAACTGAAGTGGATCACCATTTAGGTGAAAAATTGTTTTCATTATGTTTTTAAAGTATATATTTTTGAATTAGTTTCAAATAAAAAAAATTAATATTCGTTCTTAACAGATTTACAAAGTTTTCAAAGAAAAAGTTTTCTGGATCTATTAATTAAGTTGTCTGGTGGAGAGAAGGGTTATACTAATGTGGAGTTGAGAGAAGAAGTTATGACTTTGACAATCGCTGGCACAGATACATCTGCTGTTGCGATCGGATTTACTCTCATATTATTAGGAAAATATCCAAAGATACAAGATAAAGTCTATGAAGAGTAAGTTATTAACCTATTGCCCCTATTGATTAGTAATGACCCTGTGAAATATGCAACAAAGTTTTTCTTCATATCTGAAATTTTCTAGGCTGTATGAAGTGTTCGGAGATTCCAAACGTCCTTTAGTAAAAGAAGATTTACAGAAGTTAAAATATTTAGAGCGAGTAGTAAAGGAGTCATTAAGGTTATTCCCGCCAGTACCTTTCATAATAAGAAAAATTGATAAAGAAATTGAATTGCGTAAGTGTTTCTATAGCATTGCTCTTCTTATTCCCACCCTTTCCTACCATTTCCTTATTCCCACCCCTCCATATCCCTAAAAAAACAAGATTGGTAACGCATCCGCAACAAAGATGTTGCTGATGTCCATGGGCGACGGTAACTACCTTCCTTCAAGTAGGCCGTCTGCTCGTTTACCACCTTTAACATAAAAAAATAATAATAACATATTATTTTTTGTATGTAATTCACACATATCAAATTTAATATTCATTATTTATAGCAACAGGCAAGCGTCTCCCAGCCGGGGCTGGAGCAGTGATATCAATTTGGGGTTGTCACAGAAACCCTAACTTCTGGGGTCCGGATGCTGAATGCTTTGACCCAGACAGATTTCTACCGGAGCGTTTCGACTTAGTAAAACCTGGTAGTTACTTACCTTTTAGTAACGGACCCAGAAATTGTCTTGGTAAGTTTCGGTATCGTTTGTTTTTTACTTATGGACTCTTAAGATTCTTTGTTCTACTATAACTGAAATGATATAAATTTCTAGGATATCAGTACGCGTTGATGTCAATTAAGACAGCTTTATGTGCAATAGTAAGAAATTATAAAATAGTTGGAGAACCAGAAGCCACTCCTATACCTCATATAAGAGTAAAATTGGACGTTATGATGAAGGCAGTGGATGGGTATCAAGTTTGTTTAGAAAAAAGAAAATTAGCTACTTCGTAAAAGCCCAAGTTTTTTTATTCCAAGAACAAACTCGGTTTTATTTTAAGTATTTTCTACTCAAGTATTTATTTAAAAAGTGCTTTAATTATTATCGCCCATTGTTTGTTAAAAGGTGTAGTCTTAACAATTAAATATGTTGTCATAAAAGACAGACACTTGAAGTTGAATGGTACACAGAAATAAATTCTGTTATTAAAGAATAGTGGAGAAGATGTTGTTATTATTTTTATACGTCTTTAAGAGAATTATAAAAAACCTAATATATTCATTTTACATTCGGGTTTTGGTTAATCGCGTCCTCTAAAAGAAGTATCCATTTAAATGCATGAATTTCATTCTAATATATAGAAAATGGTAGACATTTTCAATGTTTACATAGCATAAGACTTTTTTAGAAAAAAATAGACATAACTTTATTTCATGTCGCTTAAAGGAACTTTGGATAATTGCTGGTAGGACAATCACTAAACAAGTTTTAAGGTCACGTTAAAAACTCCTGGTTATAATCTAACGTTGTAATAAATACATTTTATAAGGAAATATGAGATAACATTAATTATTATCAATAATAAATGTTTATTAAATAACAATATTTAACTAGTGATACCAGGAATATAATGTAATATATATGTATGTTGCAATTAATATAATCTTGGCGCATAAAAAAAGTTCTTATAATGATTTTAACATTGTATTTATTGTTTATTTCAATAACTGATTGATTCCTTGTTAAAATCTTGAGTAATTTTGAGTATCCTATTTACATGTGGTTAATTTTTTAATTTGTTTTCTTTATCTGAATTAAGCGATATTAAAGTTATTTGATAGAATATTCGATGGAAATATATATCAATGGCATATCGATGTATTCAGGAGAAAAATAAAAAATGTATTTAAATTCAATTTGACACAAAGATGTGGAATTTATATCGTCGAAGTAATAAATTGTTATCCACAGTAACAACTTACAAACAATGTGATATTAAATTCTAAGCATTGACTGATTCACGATCAGATCTCCGTAAGGAAATGTACTAAATATAATTTATATATTTGATAACTTTACTACTAAAATTATATTATTGAAAGTTATGGGAAAAGCATATAAATACTTACGATACAAAAAAAATATGGAAAAAGATCCCGTTAATATGACGTCTGTCAAGAATGAATTTAAGCTACTTTTTATTGTAAAGTTTCATAATTTTAGTGAATAAAATTTCCCGTTTAAATTCTTAATATATAGTATTAAAATACAAATGTAGTTTTTTTTTGTTTATCACTTAACATTTAAATGTCATATTTCTTATGAAATTTCGTTTTGCAAATTTATATTCATAGGTCATTGCAATCTAACGAAAAAACCCGTTGACTCAAACGATGCAAACAGCTAGTCAATGTCGAAGACAACGTCAAAACTGGTTGTGATTCACGCCACGTGCTTTAGTTTATCTGTTATTGCCATATGATACAACTTTTGAAAGTAAAATCTTTGTTTTGACTAATCTTAGGTTAGACAAGTGTGGATTTATTTAATTTTCCAAATAATTATAAGCGTAATTCCATTTTTTATCGGGATATTAACATACATTTAGTTTATTCACAAAAGTATTTGAGCTAATGTTTCTCGTTTAGACTTTTTTGATTTATGTTTCTCTCTATATCATTATTCACACACGCGATGTGTAACTTTGATACATTCTATTCTATGCTTCATAATTAATTTTCAAATAACTATATTATTAAACTTTATAAGTAATAAATACAGTTTGGTAATTTCCAATTGGAAAAGAGAATAAAATATCCTAATTTAACTGTCAAACAAATATAAATGTTTTTCTACTACAACTTGTTCTTTTGGTCATCTTATCATCTTTGAACCATTAAAAAATATAAAGACTCTTTTAATATTAAACATAACATGATTTACAAATTTGCATGTATTATATCCAATGGATTCTACTTGATATAATATTTAAATTTCAATTAATTCATTAAATGAAAGATAAAAAGGAGAATATTCTGTTAGAACTATAAGTCTTTTAAATATAAATTTAATTACTCGTTGATGGCTTGTTGCCTTGATATTTGTACTTTGTAACAAAAAAATCCCTAATGGTTAGTTGGCATTTAAGCTTGTAAGAAGTGAAAGTATGAATAATTGAAGAGATTTTATCACAGTGGCTAATTAATTACTTAATTGGCTTAATTGTTACTAAAGAAATACGAATTAATTGGTTAAACTTTAATAAATTTTTTTTACACAGTAACATTTGTTTAAACAAATTATTTTTTAATAGTTATGAACGAAAAAATTTAATAATAAGACCTGGAAAAGTAGATTAATATATTTTGAGTAAGAAAATCAGTAAAAGGCATTTTTACAACATTTAATTTAAATATTGAAGTGGTACTTATTAAAATTAATTAATTAGTAAATTTTGCTTCTATGATAAGATACAATTTCAAAGTATGGAATATTAAGAATTAAATTATGGGACATATATTTTTTTGTTAGACGTATTATGTACATATGTATGTACATGTGGGAGTATACAATTTTATACATGTGGAAGTTTGTGACTATGTTTGTAGCAATTTCAAACAAAAACTACACAATATTTATAATCTTTATAGTTATATAGCTCAGAGAACAGGAAAACGTATAATTTATTCCTTCATTTCGTGTTCTTGTATGTTTGTACGAAGTTTCGTGACGTAGGCCATAGGTATGGTTGGCATTTTGTTATGTATCTATTATTTTAAACAAATATTAAATTCAAAATTAGCTAGCTTACTAGCTAATAATAAATTACATTCTTATCCTTGTTAAAGTTTCTAAATGTGTTAATTTGACGAGATTAGAGTGATTTAAAATGAATCGTGAATTTACGATGTAAATTTAATTAATAAGGTTTATTCAAATATAAGTTTGTTTTCTCATCATTGACATTATTTTTCCTTTAAAAAAAATTGTAGGAAAGATAGGAAAAAACTAAAATTTATATTGTTTTTTTTTATGTTAAATCATTAAGATTATTATTAATACATGTTTTGCTTTTTATTTAAATATCAAAATGATATGATATATAGTAGGATCATTCGATAAATATGCTATTAAAAATATCAAGTCATTTACAGCAATAATATTCATATTAATAAATTATAGGCAATTAAGTATATAACTTAATAATTTATATCTTACTAATATCTTAAAAAATATTAAAAAAAAAATTAAGATGTATGGAATATGGATGTTCGGTGCTTTTTGATGTATATATCAAAGTAAACTGGTTATCAAAAAGAAGATAATGCATCTTTGATTTTTGGCGTAGTTTGCAGGGGAAGTCATTATAACAGTTGAATGTATGGAGTCATGTGGCACAAACGATAGATGTCACTGCCGGTTGTTTAACACATCGATACATACATATAACATAATTATATTGAAGTGACTGTTTTCATATATACTTATGAATAAAAAAAAATACAACTTTTATCTGTCTATCTGTTAGTACCGGTTAATCTCTGAAATGCTTGGACCGATTTTAACGAGACTTTTATTGGAAGGTACCTGTTGTAACAAAGAGTATTTTAGGCTACTTTTACTTAAGAAAAATTCTTCAATTTTAGAAAAAAAAAAGAATGCAATGTTCAAGTATGAGAAATTCAGGTTATCACACGTGATTGGGAGGCGGGCCGCTTTCGCTGCTACTGGCATGCGGTGCGGAATGGGGGACAATAACTATGTTTACCTGAACGCGCAGGCGCGACACGGCAAACGACGTCATCGGACTTATGATCTTTACGATACTTAACTCCATTTGCTCTGTAGTTTTAATTAGTTTTTGAGATAATTTTTTTTGTTTGTTTTTGAGTGTCTGTGTATAAAAAGGTTTAATTATAGTTTTGTTTAACTTTAAAATTAATATTTTAAAGTACCAGTATTTATCAACCATAAAACACTTAATAGTTTTTTGTCAGTATTATTCAGTTCAGTCAGTATTCAGTCAGTATTATTCAGTTCAGTTCAGTATAATGCTCAAACCTTCTCCATGTGAGAAAGAGGCCTTTGCTCAGAAGTGGGCGTCTGATAGGCTGATGATGATGATGATGATGATTCAGTTCAGTTCTATAAGTCGATAATAATGAAGAAATAAGGTCAGATTATTTTCATTAGTTTAGCATTATGAGAAATTGTTTTTTTTATTCTTGTTCCTTTGATTAGGATGTAATTAAAAGGGTTTTCATAATTTTTTTTACGTATGTTGAATCGCTGGTCTAATATATTAAGCACACATTATTCATTTATCTCTAAACGCAATACCGTACACTACATGGACTGAGTCTCCGCAGAAATATAGTTACATTTATTTTTTGTGAAGTTAATACAGGGTATATGGTGCATTATCTGAACCTTGATCAAAAGTCATAAATTTTTTAGTCATTTTTTTTTGCAGTCACCATTAAAATAGAAGTTTTGACCACAATCTCGTCTAAAGCGTAAGTCATGCTTCGTTGAACACATTATATTTTTAATTTTTATTGTTAAAAAAATATAGTTCTCCATTATTTCGATATGATTGTGATAATAAATCATAAAAAATGTTTTTGTATTATAAAACGACGTACAATTCAAATATTTATCTGAAAGATCTTTCAGTGCTCACGATATGTTTGGAGAAGCTAAGATTTTACATAACATTTAAGTATACCATAATATGTATAAAAAGATGTGGAGACATTTTGGGTATTCAGAACACAAAACTTTCATTTTAGTCTTAGAGATTAACGTGTATTGTCATATGTTTTTCATTAGTTTTTTCCTTTCTGAGTATATGATTTCATAACATAGTTTTATTTTCACATCATTCGTTGCCAAAAAGAAATTAAAACGCAAAGAATACTTTTTCTCTAATCCGAACGTAAATTGACGCGGTTAGTCTTTCGATAGCCATAGTGCAAAGGTAAACAACCACAAACGAGTCTTCAGAAGGTTTTGTGAGAGAAGCACAAGGGCTATAGAACGTCAAGCCTTACTCCATTCTTAAAGCTGCTACGGATTGGACTAAATGATGAATACGTATGAGAAACAATACGAAATCCCCGAGGATATTTGTGCGTCGGCCTCCAGACCAGACATATTTTTATATTCGCGAAATTTAAAGCGCGTTGTGATGATACAGCTTACGGTTCCTTGGGAAACCAACATCCCCAAAGACCATACCATCAAGGTCAATAAATATTATGAGTTCACTAACGAACTAACTCGAAATACGTTCGTAGTGGACAGCTAAATCTCTCTATAACCTACTTAATGACTTTAATACATTCTTGGAACGTACGTCGAAGGCAGCCCTAGTACGATCTTCTTTTAAAATTTGGTTAGGAAGAGAGAGGAGCTTGGACAGTAGAGGTGAGCTTTCAACGGAGTCGCTTAAACCTACACCTGGGTCGCAAGTCCCAGGCACTGTTGAAGCTCCTCTCCCTGGAATGCGATGGACTCGGCACCCGCACGGTGAATCCATTGGATGCTAAGAGGTTTCGTCTCATATAATACCGTTATTTAAAAATATCTGCAATAACACTAGTAATAAAGCTTATAATAATTTATTTGCAAATTGAATCCTTAATAAACCGAAAATTTTTGAAACGATATATTTTTTTAATACAAATATAAAACGTGATTTCATTTGGAATATTTTCAGCGTCTTCAATTAATTTTTTGGCTTTGTTTCAGTAATAGAAGTATTATTATAATTCAATTTAGCAATAAAATTCATTAAGTGATATACCGTGGTACGACCTTCAAACTTATAAATTTCAGTAATGATAAACGACCTTTTTTAAACGTTATATCAAATGCAAATATCATCGTTTCTGGCCATTAGAACAATTTGTAAACATAAATCTCTCTGGTTTATGACAATTCATTCAAAATTACATTTCAGTGATTAGCAAACGATTAGATAGGCGGAATTATATTATTATTTCGATAAAAGAGACAAAAATATTTTTTAGATTTAAGTATAATTTACTTAAACTACTGTAGTTAACCTTAGGTATTTTACAAAAAGGAACATACTTTATAATCTTTCTAAGTAAGAAATTTTTAAAAAGGATTCATATATTCTTATATTTAGGTAAGAGATAGAATCATTTGCAAGTATTTTTTTTTATAATATTGTGTATTTTTGACTGTTTATTACTTAAAGAATATAAATAGAATTGTCACATTGTTCCTTTTTTATTCAGCTATTCATTTAAAAGCCGTGTGTCACGAAAGTTTGATTGTAAATCACTTGGTTACGTTTACGTAGTGGGACCAGTGCCGAGAAGGCTTGCGTCCGGACCGGTAGGGCTTTACGTCACGTAGGTAACGTAAACGTTACGAGTTAACGTGTCGCCAACCACATGTATGTATGTAATCGAATCTCGGCATGGCAAGATAGCATGCGATTCCGGTATTCGCATACTTTGGCGACACATCCTTTAACAGCAATGGCTTAAACTTTGAGTAAGTAACTTTCTACTACGAGTATACTGTAGATTGTTTTGGTGATATGACATTTCAACATTACTTTTCAGATTTTAGAGATGGCTCAAGTATGTGATAGTGATGGTCCATTTATATATCGCTTAAATGATAACGGTTCCGGACCTAGTCTTCTTGTTAAGGTATTCAAGGCACTTGAATCATGCTTTTTATTTAAATAAATATTCTTTTTAAAATCTTCGCTTTATCATTTTTTATTTAATAGATATTTACTGAACGTGGTTGGCGAATGTACCAGGGCTACAGTGGCCCAGAGGAGAAATGGAATCTTTGGTGGAGGACAAGTGCTTTTCCAGCTACTTCCTACAAGGCCTTGGGAGACTGGCAGGTAATATTATTACTTCAATCATTTGCATAAAGGAAAATTGTATAATTGTTGCTTCAGAATTACGTAATATATTGGATAAGATAAGGAAAAGAAACCAGATATTGTATGATGTTAATAAAATGTATAAACATATTTTATTGTATCGCATATTTTATAGGTGACTGATAAATGCGGGAGGGAGGTGGAATTGGCTATAAAGTGGTTGTCGTGTATTATAGGCTGAGTTCTGGGTATCCATTCATATTTTCTATTGAGTTTTGTCGTGTCCCCGACTAATCAAAAATTATGACGCTGTGACAAACATTGCTAGTTTTACGATTTTAGGTCGTGTCTGACAATATTTATTCGTGTATTCATGAAAGAGGCTTGAAACAAATTTCAGCTATATATAAAACAATTGTCTCCGTTGGAAAGTATAAGTTCTGTTGTTATAAATTTTATTGACATAAATCGAGTGAAGAAACAGTTTATTTATGTGTTTCTTAATATGAAACAAATAAAAAGATTGAAGTTAGTGAATTTATAACAAAATCTGATACTAATTCGTTAAAACAATTTATGTTACTTTCGGACATCTTATGAAAAAAAATCGTTTATAACAATTATTTTCTTGTCTATTCTAAGTTTGTCTGAATAATAATTTTGAACTTGATTTTTTTAAATTACAGATCATAACTTTTTTTAAATAAATATATAAAGGGTAGAATGATGCGGTTTAAGATATTTTTTCCCATTAGACATTATTATCACTTACGTGAGAATTAGACTTATAACAAAAAATTTATGAATATACATTTCGACATCGCACTTGTAACAAAAATGAAATGAAATAACGCTTAACTCAGAGACATTTTTCTATATTAAGTACTAATTTAACATATTGTATTAGTTTTAATTATTTATTATTTGAAATATACTCAGCAAGTTCTTTTTTAAATACGTTAAATGAGTTTACATTTTTTATATCTGTGGGTAGTTTATTATAAAGTTTTGCATCTTCAAAGGTGATCATTGTTTTACTTACCGTTTTTTGCTTTAAATAATACAAAGCAAGTTTTGGAAATATTAATTATCAGTAAGTTATATTGAAACCATTTATAAAGAATGTTTAAATCTTTTTGTGCTTGTCAAATGAGATTATGTATTGGAGAATGATTTTCTTCACATCAAAATTTAATGTTTATTGAAAAAGTTTTTGTAACATTGCTCCAAGAAACTTTATTGTAAAATTGACACAGAAAACTATTAAACTTCAAAACAAAATTTGGTAAACTATTTTCTGGTATAAGAACATTTTGAATTTTATTTTTTACTATTAAAAGCGAAAATCTGTAGACAGCTTAGTTACATTTGTATAAAATTTCTGTTGTATTACTTGGTTTACGATATACTGATATAGAAATTGATGCATTTAGTTAACGCATCCGTTTTTACAAGACGAGGGGGGAAGGGGAGGACAAGAGTGTTAGCCCATAAACTTTAACTTAAGAGTAATACTTAAGCAAATAAAACGACTCTTCCGAAAAACGCACCTCTAAATGCAACTTTTTCACGGACTAGGTATATACAAGTCATAACCTCTATAATATACAGGATCATCAATTTTTCTAAAGTGTTTGAAGGTGACGTTGATTAACAATTCTTTAGTTCACCTAGAACGTTTTCATTTCTTACGATTGACATACATCGGCAGATAATCGATTTCATTTATAGATTAGGTGCTATTTTTACAACGAACGAAGTATTCTACTTACTATGCTTATGGCTATAATGTTATAATACTCGTACAATATGAACTTCCTATGAAATATATGTATATGAGGATTTTTTATAGTTTCAAAGATAAACATTTTTTGGACAATTTACATAATAAAGATTGCAAATAAGAAAAAAAAGATTAAATATGCACATATATTATTTACAAAGGTAAACCATTTGATTACGAATATATTCTTCTATTGGACGTTGTTGGTATTTAGCCAATAATCCGAGTGAAATCATAACAATTGATATGTGATGTTTTTCAGATTTCTTTGGTATTATATTTGATAGATTGGACATAAATATATCATGAATCACCTTATTTTTTCAGTTTATGAACCACATACCGAAAGGCGGCTCAATTTGTCGGAAGGACAGCTTGTCGAGATTGCTCCGATGTATGAGAAGAATATACGGATCTATTTATGACTTCAGGTAAATAAACAACTAACCAACCTGTTAAAAGTTACATATCATTACTGGGTTATGGCTTAATGGTATGTAAAAATCGTATCAGCAGCATATGGGCAGCTTGTGATTAAATTTTGTTCAATAGAGCTGTAACAGTTTATGGGCTTAAATTCTTTGAAGACATAAACATGCTAATATAATAATTATCAAGATCAAAATCGTCGAAATTATAAACATACGATAAAAAATTTAAACCCAAAGACTTTATTTGAATTATATTTGAATATTTAAAGATAAAAAGACTCTAATATTATGAGTTATGTATATTCATAATAGTTTATTCATTAATATGACGGCGCATCCGTCAAAAATCATACGTCAGGTTGACTTTTAGCTGTCTGAGGTTAGCCTAGTGAAGCGTCATTGTGATGGTAGCGAGGGCGGCCATCTTTATGATGGAGTATCGTGCGAGATGACGCCCGCGCACCGCGCTCGTGACGAATCGCTGTGTATCGAAGTGATAGTGATATCTAGTGTTTCGATTGAGTTGGTGTCGTATTGAATAGACTGTACTTTATCCCTTTCAAAGTATGAGTTCCCATGAAGGCCCTCCTGTTCTTATAACGCCCTCCTACATCAGAAGTGGGATCGAAAGGGCTTTAAAATGAGGAGAGTAGTGATCATCCATCTATGTTAAACTTTGTAAAAAATAATGAGAAACTTGTCGATGAAAATAATGTCAACTTCTCAACTAACTTCGACGACGTAGTTGATCCGGTTCAATCTGGATCGTACGGAAGCAGATATAAGGGTTAGGACGTCTCGTCGTGTCTTGATCGTAAAAGGTACCGGTAATTGAGGCTCGCCGGTGAAGGAGATATCTGTGTGACCATGGGCCGAGCCGAGGGGAGTTGACGACGTCATCTGGTGAGACTGTTCCTTTTCTTTTTAGTAGTGGGTGTACTTGTTCATGTAGTACTAATGTGTGTCTGTATCTGAAAATTTTTCAAATAAATTTCTGTGTACTTTGAGCAATGAAGTAGTTCCCCTGAAAGGCATCTGAACGCGTAGTATACGGTCGAAGCGAACGGGCGACGATATGAGTTTCACGCTTACCCACCACTTCGTAAGATTTTAATATTAGATCGTATTAGCGAATAAAGGTCATTCAACCTTGCGCTTCGGTACTGAATACTCTAGTCATACTTCGTGTACATTAACAGTCAATTATTATTAGTGTTTCTACGTCTATAGACTTATTGTAATACACAAATTTTAAGCCCGGTCATAATTCAAAGTGTTTCAGTGTCTCTTTTGTTTCATATTATTAAAGAGAATATTATTCTTGAATCCGTGGTTGTTGGACGGTACCTTGTAGAGTGGGGGGTTAAAGGAGAGATAAACAGTGACTACATTATTTTCTCAAAACCTGAAACGACAAAAACAGATAAGTGCCCAACCTCAGACAGTCTTAACTTTTCTTGTATCAAAACTTATTTGGAAGGCGACGATAACAAAGCCCTTATCGATGTTTTTAAGAAGTATAACTCATTTTATTATTAAGGGCACCTCTTAACTCTTTAGACCCTAATTCTTTAGACCCTAACATAGTCTAAGAGAGACCTTACAAATTATAAGAGGTTGTTCGAAAAAAAAATGGATGCCCTCTTTGAAACAATCATTTTACACTTTATCAAGCCCCATTCTAATTGTAAAAAAAAAAAAACCGAATGACAACTCTGACATAATGTATGTTGACTCTAGGGAGATTAACACCAATTCTTATAGTAAGCCTTTTGTTTTAGAAATTTTATACCGAACTATTTCCGCCTAGTACGATCCTTATGTCTACTCACTAAGTTAAAGGGGTTAATTAAACGGTCAGAAGTCCACGGTAATATTCGTAAATGGATAGTTCAAATACTTACCACGGAGTCTATTCTAAGTATATTTGATCGCGAGCCTCCTATAGAATTACACACGAATGCCAGCGCCAACGGATACGGTACCATTTTAATTAAATGAAAGAACGGAGTTCCTCACGTTATTTCATATTTCAGTCGCCGGAAAACTGACACGGAATAAAAGTATCATTCTTATGAACTTGAGACCTCGGCAGTCGTTCGAGCGGAAGAATATTTGAAGCAAAAGCTATATGGTCATCATTTTATCGTTTTCACGGGTGGCAATCCTTTCAAAGCTTCTTAGTTAAAAAAAAAAAAAAAAAAAAATTAACACCGAGAGTACATAGATGACCCTGAGCAGGGCACTTCCAAGAGCGACAAAAGCAAGGCTCAAGTAGTTAATAAGTCTGTGCAGTTTGTAGAGGTAAATCAAGGGTGGTTAGCGGTAGAACAAAAACGTGATGCATATGTTCAAGATATTGTTGCTCAGCTCTTAAATAATAAGTTTCCCGATTCAATTAGTCACATCTACGATGTTAGAAACAATATGCTATATCGAAAAAAAAATTGAGCGAAACAAAGTTAGTCGTTGGTAACCTATCGTCCATCAGTCCCTTGTATGGACTTAAATCAACCATATCCATACTGAGATAGACACGTTTAGTTTCTTGATGGAGTGCAACGCAGGCAGGTATTTTTAGGTGTTCTGGGATTTGGTCCAGTCACCTTTTGGGATTTAGTCCTCTAGTTCGGTTACCGTCCACTTTTTCAATCACTAGCGGACGTTTAAAGCTGTCCGTAGTTCTGTCAGGGAACTGACCAATCAACGCCAGTATGTGCTGCAAATAGATATTAGATAAGCGCTGACCATATTTTGAGGTATGCGTAACATACTTCGTCATCACCACATTCCTAAGGCATCAATTCTTTGCCTGTCAACGACTTTCATAGTCCACGTCTTTGCACTATACAGAATCGGATAGCTAGATAGATAGAAATATAGAGAAGGCAAGCGTTCGTATCAGATGCATTTTTGTTCCATTAATAATTTTCCTATCTCTCCAAATTTTATTCAGTGGGGTTATTGCTATTTTGGCCATGTAAATTCTCCTACGGATTTGCATACATTTTATTGGCATACTATTCACATAGATATGACTGGGACATTAAGTGGCAAAAGCGACAGAAAAGAAATACGCGTCAGTAATGATTGATTATGTTATCAAGTATGTCCTTTAAGAGCATACTATATCCCTCGATGCCAGTTGTACTATTAAAGCGTTGAGAAAAGCTGTTTCTCTTTTCGGTGTTCTCAAGCGAATTGTTATATCGGGGAAGGGGCTTTGTAAGCGCGGACTTTAGAGAATTGAGTAAAACACCTCGTATAGAACTTTACTTTATAACAACAGGGGCAAATAAAGCCAACGGTCAAGTAGAAAGGGTCATGCAGATTTTAAAATGTCTGCTAACTATTATAGAAAACGATACCCATAAAACGTGGCGTGACAAACTTCCTGAGGTACAAGGGACGAAACCGCTTAGCATTCAATGGATTCACCGTGCGGGTGCCGGGTCCATCGCGTTGCAGGGAGGGGAGCTTCAGCAGTGCCTGGGACTTGCGACCCAGGTGTGGGTTTAAGGGGCCCCTTAACTAACGCGCGTTGTACGCTCACCTCCACTGTCCAAGTTCCTCTCCCTACCTGGCCAAATTTGGAAGGAACCTGCTAGGGCTGCTTTCGACGTACGTTCCGAGAATGAATTAATGTTGGTTCTGGACGGGCCCAAGTCTTTTAGTAGGTTGTAGAGAGATTTGGCTGTTATGCCTCTCGCTCCCACCTCTACCGCGGACGAACCTATTTCGAGTTAGTTCGTTAGTGAGCTCGTAATACTTAATGACCTTGATGGCATGGTCTTTGGGGATGTTGGTTTCCCAAGGCACCGTAGGCTCTATCATCACAACGCGCTTTAAAATACGCGAATATAGAAATATGTCTGGTCTGGAGGCTGACGCACAAATATCCTCGGGGATTTTGTGTTGTTTCTCATACGTATCCATCATGATAGTCCAATCCGAAGCCGCTTTAAGGATAGAGTAAGGCTTGACGTTTGATTTTATAGCCCTGGTGCTCTCTCTCACAAAACCTATTGATCGCTCGTTTGTGGTTATTTCCCTTTGCGCTCTGGCTACCGAAAGACTAACCGCTTCAAGTATGATCTCTAAAACCCTATAGTGACGACGCGAGAATTGACCGCTGTCCAGGAGAACCTTACATCTCACTAGCAAATGCTTAGCAGTTCCAACTGCCTTTCCGCAGATATAGCAAGTGTTTTCGGTACCTTTACCCCATCTTACTAAATTACTCTGATCTGGGAGAGTCATCTAGCACTTAATAACACAAGCCGTAGTGTTACAGGATATACTCCAACAGAACTAATGTTTGGCATTCGCGCGCAATCTTTAGGGATATCATTAATAGCCCAAAATTCAAACGAGCCGAGATTAGATTTAGACAATATCCGGAATAAAACTTCCCTCAACACTGAAAACGCAGATCAAAAGGAAATAGTTAAATTTAGTAAAGGCAAAGCCCAAGTAAAACCTTTTTTTCTTTCTCGGGGAGATTACGTTTTTGTTAAGTGTAGCGAATGTTACCAAACTAAACTGCGAAGAAAGTTTAGGGGACCTTTTATCATAACTAAAATTCTAGACAACGATAGGTACGAACTGAAACATACCGATGAATCTAATTGCACTTTAAAATACTCTCATGAAAACTTGGGCGCAGTACCCAGAGGCTTTGAAGGGTTAGTTGACATATCCACTGAACTAAGTAATGAGGAGGCCGAGACGGCGGGTCATGGAGTGGAGAGAATGGAAACGAAGCTATGTCAGATGATGAAAGTGAGTAGCTGAGTAGCTCTGATGGCCTCCAACATTGATAAACCATAAATGAGTTGTGTAAGTTTGAGTTGGTGTGTTTGAGGTGGCGATGGAACTGGCTGATGCGGCCGATGTTTCTAGTAGTGATGGATCAAAGCGTGCAGGGGCTGGCTCGATGGAGTCCACGTCCGGTCGACGCTTGATCAGGTTGTGAAGATGGACGGGCTAGCTCTGTGGAGTCTATGTCCGGGTCATCGTTCACTCACATGAGTATAAGTAGTGGAGATGATGGGGCTAGCTCATTGGAGTCTCGATCATCGTTCATTCGTTTGGCTGAGTTGTTCTGGATGCTCTGCAGATTGTGGTCAGACGAATATTGTCGTCCAGGTCAGAGCCATTTAAGTTGGCTGACTTGTTCTGGTGAGACGAATATTGTCGTCCGAGTCAGAGCCATTTAAGTTGGCTGACTTGTTCTGGTAAGACGAATGTAGTCGTCCGAGTCAGGAGCCATTTAAGTTGGCTGACTTGTTCTGGTAAGACGAATGTAGTCGTCCGAGTCAGGAGCCATTTAAGTTGGCTGACTTGTTCTGGTAAGACGAATGTAGTCGTCCGAGTCAGGAGCCATTTAAGTTGGCTGACTTGTTCTGGTAAGACGAACGTAGTCGTCCGAGTCAGGAGCCATTTAAGTTGGCTGACTTGTTCTGGTAAGACGAACGTAGTCGTCCGAGTCAGGAGCCATTTAAGTTGGCTGACTTGTTCTGGTAAGACGAACGTAGTCGTCCGAGTCAGGAGCCATTTAAGTTGGCTGACTTGTTCTGGTAAGACGAACGTAGTCGTCCGAGTCAGGAGCCATTTAAGTTGGCTGACTTGTTCTGGTAAGACGAATGTAGTCGTCCGAGTTAGAGCCATTTAAGTTGGCTGACTTGTTCTGGTAAGACGAACGTAGTCGTCCGAGTCAGAGCCCTTTAAGTTGGCTGACTTGTTCTGGATGCTTTGAACATTGTGGCAAGACGAATGTAGTCGTCCGGGTCAGAGCCCTTTAAGTTGGTTGACTTGTTCTGGATGCTTTGAACATTGTGGCAAGACGAATGTAGTCGTCCGGGTCAGAGCCCTTTAAGTTGGTTGACTTGTTCTGGATGCTTTGAACATTGTGGTGAGATGAATGTTGTCGTCTGGCTTAATTGCTACGAGATGCTCGCCTTAAGTCTTAAGTACCATAGCACATTTTGATGATTGTAACTAGTCGTTTGTCAGGATGCCGAACGGAATAGACACAACTGTAGTTCATTGATCCGAGAACCGCCCGAGGACGGTCGAATGTCAGTCCGGCCGTGACGGCGCATCCGTCAAAAATCATACGTCAGGTTGACTTTTAGCTGTCTGAGGTTAGCCTAGTGAAGCGTCATTGTGATGGTAGCGAGGGCGGCCATCTTTATGATGGAGTATCGTGCGAGATGACGCCCGCGCACCGCGCTCGTGACGAATCGCTGTGTATCGAAGTGATAGTGATATCTAGTGTTTCGATTGAGTTGGTGTCGTATTGAATAGACTGTACTTTATCCCTTTCAAAGTATGAGTTCCCATGAAGGCCCTCCTGTTCTTATAACGCCCTCCTACAAATATGTATTATTATATTTTGTAAACATTCATTAATATTTACAAAATATGATATGATCCAGTGTATAGAGAAATATAAGGATATACACCAACACCGGAAATCGTTGTTGTCGTTTACCAAAAAGTGGTTCAGACAATTAAAACTAATGAGATGCAAATATTAAAGCAAAACCTTTAATGATAACTGCATTCTAATTTAACCTATAAAAATATAGCACGCAATCTGGTTGTCGGGTTCGTTTTAATATTAAACTTTTTATTGATGTTTATCAAAAGGTTATCAAAGGAACACAGATATAATAGCTTTTGCTACATTAAAAAAATCGTCTGTTAAGAATCTGAATTGTTTTATATTTTGTATGGAAATTACGAATATATTTTTTGCTTGTTGCCATATTGTGTAGAAGAGATATACTTACAAAATAGAAACGAAAGTGTACTTTATCGCAATTTTTTCCCGTCTCATTTTTATACTGATTCTTTCTTCTTGTAAAAAATAACATTGTATTTTGAAATGGTTCGCTATTACGATTATTGCCCCAAATGGTAGCTTACAATAAAACAATAAAACACAAACATTGCACGGAATAAAAATAACAACAAGGAAGCATCCAATGACATATATCAAGCACTGATGTATATTACTACAACCATGTTCTGTTACTGTTGTACTTGTCTTTTATTTACCATTATTTATTCCGATTAATATTTGCAATACCTAAAATTGTTTAACAACAAATATGTACTTATATTTAAAAAAATGTAATGGTTTTTTTTTTGTATAAGGTCTCTCTGCATTACTGTGGTTTTTGTTTATAAGACAATATTTGCTGTAGGGATATTATTGAAATTTTAATGTTCAAATGATTGGAAGCAGGTCCAAACTTTTTTATTTTTCTTTATTTCAATGTTTTATTATTTGTAATACATTATTGTTTCTGTTTTTTGTTGATATTTTCCTCAATTTCGGTTTTCTTTAATTTAGGTTAAGTATTTTTTTATTTACTTTAGGTTCATCGCCCTTTTTTTATTTTTAAGCCCTCAGAAACATTTCCTTTAATCGATACAAATATAAGTCTTATGTAGTCCATCGTACTATAACCTACCGTATAGAGACAAAGATGAATCGTTCCACGTCATTGGTTATTTGAATGAAGCCACGCGTTTGTTGCGTGTGGCACGGTATTAGGTACGAGAAGATTATTTTTTTGAACTGAAGAACGCTATGTCAATTTAATTTTAACTTTGATTTAAATCAATTACTGTTTACGGTAAACGAATTAAACAAAAAAAGCTATCTCCTTTACCTTTAACATTTACTGTAATGCAATGAAAATGAATTATGATGTTTGGCTTTAAAACAAAGTTTGAATGTAATGAATTCCTGAAACAACAAATTGAGACGCGCTTATTATTAAATTAGCAAAGTTTTGGATTTAATTTAAGGTCGGCATGGAAATTTTGCCCGTGGGACGAAGGTGAAAGTTCGAGGTAACATTAAATTATAATCGTATATTCATGAACCGTGCTTCCCTAGCAATTACGCCAAGTGGTACCGACTCGCGTGACGCTCCCAAGAAAAAGTCAATGTCATAATTTAGTTTTATAGGGAATTATAGTGATGACGTAGAGAGTTAATGTTGCACGCTACTTGTGTTTTCACTGAACATTATCTGTGTCATTCAGCTTGCATGTGAATTTAACTGCATCTTGACAAATTTGAAATTCATAAAAACATATTTGCACTGTATATGATTATTTATTTGGTCCTAAAATGACGTGACTATTTATGATACTTCAATTCCTTTTGTCTAAGACTCATAAATCCAGATAAACGCTTCCGTAGTTGGTCGTGTATACATGTTAAGAATCCAACTATGGAGTATATTACATACAAGTAAAGGTAAAAGTTAACAATTTACTTCTATGACGTTCTCCAATTTCTCGTATCCCCTTTAAATTCCAACACTTTTTTCAATATATACTGCAAATACTGCTAACAAAGACAAAAATGTTAATTATTTGCAACAGAATTCGATATAAAGCAGTTTATTTTTTTTAGACAAAATGCATGGAAGGAATAGTTAATTTAAAACCGTCATCTTTTTATCTCACATGTATTAAAGCATAAGCAAATAATGTTTTACCTGAGATAATACAAATAATGTGAAAAGAGTATATTCTATATATGTAATTTCAATAAGTGTAAAGTTCCAAAACGTCCCTCTTTAACCACTACCCAAATGAAAAACCGTAACTCTCCCTAATTTTCTTAAAAGGAAAGACGAATAGGGACATTATTCTATTCTATGGTTTCACGGTAGTTCCCCCTTGGTTACAGTACAATGGGAAAATGTTTGGTGCGTTAATATTACTGCTATTGAATATTAAGTTTAGGAACCCGGTGATCCACAATGTTGACTATGAAATTAGCTTTTAAAATAGTTTTATCTAATATTTGGGTTTTGAATGAATTATAAATTTCTGATGTTTATATAACACTAAAGATAAATATCTCTCATGTTCCAGCCCGCCTTGTTTCCACTTACCTCTGGAGTACGCGAAACTGGTTTCCGAGTGCTCACGACTCAGACGTGGCGATGATCCAACCAGCTCGAACGTGGTGTGGATACACAAACCAGTGGCGCAGAGTCAAGGACGAGGGATCTTCCTTTTCAGGGTAAAACAAACGCTATATTTCGAAAAAATAATACCGATAACGCTATTCTTGTGAATAGTTACCGAAATGTTTACCGAAATATTTTTAAAAAATTAAATTCATTAATAAAATTATCCTGTTAAAGTTTAAAGACAATACAAAACAGTCAAGTGCTCAGAAGTTATAATTTAATATAAATCTATGAATAGACATAACACAAGGGTGTTCTCTCAAACACCTGTCATATGCATTTTTTAGTTATTCTTATTAGCACGTTAAGATTGGTGAATTTTTTAAATGGAGCAATTTTTATTAATTTTCAAGTTAGATAGATTTCTCTGAATTATGCAATTACATCTTTATTCACTACACCATGTATGTGGTGTTATATAAAATATATTATAACTATAACTTCCTCTTGATTAAGTAATAGATCATGGAAATGATACATTTTGAATTCTGCTTATATACTCTATTTATAAACTATTTGTACATATACAAATTTTACGACAGCAATATTTATATTTCCCTTACTGGAGTATAATCTATATATGTATATTTAGTACGGGCAATATATGAACATACTTAGTTATTCGTTTATCCATACTTCACTAAGCATAATAGAACACTAAGTTTAAGTTTTGCCAAAACTAAGTGCATCTAAACACGCAATTTAGTCAGGTCATACATTAGCTTGGTATTCCGAATACTGGCATATACTAAAATGCATTGTCTGGAATTCGTATTGGTATATAGGGAACGTGTTAACAAATGTTTGATAAATGAAAATATAAATAGAGTAAAAAACGGTTAAAAAATGTGAATTATCTAATTATCAAGAAGGAAAATTATTGCATTTATTCTTTGTTTCCTTATGATGTGAATCATTTTATTTTTTACTTCAAAGAATTGGTCTTGTATAGAATTTTAAAGAAGATTTTATTACTATTTCTCATATTATGTCTCGTGTGATTTAATAGATATACATATTATGTACCTACCTATACATAAAATGTATACTTCACTCGACTAAGATAAAAAAACAAGTTATAAAGCTTAATTTCCATTTAATTGTGTATAATCTTAGAGCTATTTGAGCTGTAATTAAAGGTATCGTTATGAATTCTACCTAGATATAGATTATGGTTGTCATAGTATTGAAATCTCAAGATTATTTTAAAAGACCTCAGCAACAAGTTTGTAACTATTGTTGTTTGATAGCACTAAAGGAATATAAGTGTGCTTTGAAGTTTTAAACAATATAAACTTGCTTTAGCGGAGTCCGGAAAATTGAATTCTTGCATAATATTATTTTTATATTTGCCAACGTAATAAATGGTAATATTGTTATGACCATTATAATTTATTGTATTGTTTTTTAATATTATATTGGGTTGATATCAAATTAATATCTTTGTTAGTAACTGTAGTATATACAATATTGTATTTAACATTTAATTTATAATAAAATCATGTGAATTTGTTTTAGAGTGTCTGTGACATGAGATGCGGTAGTCCTGCTGTAGTACAGAGGTACATCGAGCGCCCTCTATTGATAGCGGGCTACAAGTTTGATCTCAGATTGTACGTATGTGTTCCCGGCTATCGTCCGTTGACGGCTTATATGTACGCAGAGGGATTGGCGAGATTTGGTAAATATTTAAGTACTCGGAACTTTTATTTATATACGGCCACTTCTAGGAAATGTAGTGAATATATTTATTTGAAATAGACTATCATCCATATAACACTCAGTGTACAATTTCATCATCAATATTTTATATTGCCATGATGAGATAATTCATAATAGGCATTGCAATAAATATATTTCTCGTACAAGTTACTTATAGAAATTATATAAATAATTTTATTTTGTGTTAGGAACGGATAAGTACACTTTATCTGACATCCACAATCCCTATCGACATCTTACAAATTCATCTCTTAACAAAACTGGGCCGCGGTACGCAGAGTGCAAGGACAGAATAGGCAGTGGTGAGTTATACTATTATATAATAGTTATACTCTAGTTAAACTATTATAGTTATACGTAAGCATTATTAAATAAATGCTCTTGATTTGTTGCGATTTTGATTTTATAGTATTATATGTAGTACTAGAGAGCTCTGATTATTACGGCTTCCCCGTTTTTAAATACACATGTTGAAGAGAGATGGCGCTGTATAAAAAAAATTAACACAGGTTGTAAGTGGACGCTGAAGCAAGTTAGGCGAGCACTGGTCGGAAGATGGGGTGCTGTGGAATGGTTGGTTTGGCAAAGAATACGAGCGTTGGTTACATTAACTCTACTCGCTCAGGCTGCTGGAACTCCGCCAGCAAGGAATTGTTTCGAGTTTTACGGGTTCGATGTACTACTTGATGACTGTTTGAAGCCTTGGCTCATTGAGGTATAATATTTCAGAAAAATATAAACATTTGAAATGTAGGCTAATGAAGATGTCTTTAAATGTAATCTATAATTTTTCCACTTTTGATTTTCACTTAAACAAATATTTATCTAACATTTAATTTTCTTTCATTCCATAATTTAAGGAAAACATTCAAATCAATTTTTTGATTAGGCAGTGATGTATTAAAAAAATGTATAAATTTCTTTTTTAATATTGGGAACTTAATTGCAAGATTAGAAACTTAACTCCTACTACCATTAGTTTCCTAATAATTTGGATCCTTCCGATTATTAGATAACTTACGGTGTTGGCGGTAAAGTTATCACGTTATTAATTATGCTTTCGAAGATGTAACGTAACGTTAGAAACACGTTAGCTTATACCGTATTACCTAAGCGTTAACACTAGTTGTAATATGAGTAAACTTTGTCGTGATAACAAAAAATTAATGGTCTTTAGGTGAATTTATCACCCGCTTTGGCTGCTGACTGTGAAGCCGATGTGACAGTGAAGCAGCCAATGTTACACGAGTTATTTGACCTTTTGGGTCTTCCTATGCGACATACGGGGTTGTCCTTGCTACAGGGGCCACCGACTCCACATATAAGGTATTAGAATTGTGTGATTAAAAGAGAAAAATGTAAAGGTATAGAATGATTATAGCAGTTAATAGCGATAATTTGTATAAAATGTGTAAAAAAAATTGATTGTTAATGCTATTTTGATACGTGTGTAGAATAGTCCATACGATGCTATAAACGATTTAGCATCGATCGTATAAATGTAAATAGATGCTCAAACCTAAAACAAACCATATAGACTACGTAAATGAAGTTTAAATTGTAAAATTTTATAAGTAACTTCCTTTAGAGTTCAAATTTTATGGAGAAGGGGATATCTAATAAAGCTTTCTAACATTTTTCCATGAGACACAAAATTCTACTTTTTGTCGAGAAATATAAACAAAAATATAATAGTATATCTAAACTATAGCTGCAGTTCTGAAGAGGAAAATAGTTCTGCTAAGACTGTTGGACGAGCGACTGGGCCGCGTATCGGGAGACGAGTGAGAACACGAAGAAGACGAGCCATGCCCTTACACTGCGTTACTCTACAAGCTCCAATGACTGAGACCATTACAGTATATATAAAGATTAACTAATCACACTCATTACGCATAACTTAAGTCTGCCATAAAAGTAGCTAGAATTTATAAACCGTAAAGGTAGCCAGCCCTGCATACCTTTAGGTAGTTACGCTACCTCTCAGACCTTAAAAGTATGCACATCACCACGAAATAATTATAACACTTATTACTCATGACATATGAAAATATTTAAAAAGTCTTACAACACAAACGTATCAGACAAATATTAAGTAATGGAACTTTAAAACTTCAATTTATCTTTTTTCTATTGAATCTTGATTGAATCCATATTTTCTATCTGAAAACAATAATTGGTTGGTTATTTATAAAACATAAAATATATAAGCTGGTTTTATACAAGAATTGTCGCAAAGGGTTACTAAGAATATTTATTTTGTTCTCTTTGTATTTGCATTAAAGAGCACGCATTTACATTTTCATCACCTCTTTACATTTTCAGATTTGTTGTTAGTGTGGTAAATGGAAGCGAAAGCAAAGCTTTGTGTAGTTTTACTTAATGCAAGAAAATCCCTAAGAATCCTTTATATACGATTGAGTCTAACACAAAAAAGCCGCGAACGTATTTCACACAAACTAAGAAAGTGGAATAAACAATGAAATATTTCTTTTGTTAAAGGATTTAGCGGAAAAAACAAAAGATATACAAATGGGGCGATTATACAAAACGACGTCAGATGTGAGCCCGGAGAGTTCAGACTCACAGGTAAGACGTAATAAGTTATGAAATAAGACAAATAAATTGAGTTCTGTCCTAATAAAAATTGACAAAAAAAGTAGTTTGTATAACCTATAGTATTTGTTGTTTTATTTTTCAAAAGTTCAAAAAAAGTTTGTTATAGTTTATAACTAAAATAACACTAATATTTTCTGTAATAATAATTTGTAATATGCTACAGTATAGAAATGTAGAAGTGTATATATTCATACGCAATGACAACTTCGTATTCTAGTGTTCGACGACAGTAACTCCATCTACGGAGCCTGTAGATGAATCTTGGCGTGGTGGGTATTCAACGGCTGCTTCTCGGCGAAGGATGATGGCCGCTTGCTCTTGGGGTAACGGTGTACGCTGGGATCGTGGGGTCGGACGAGTGGGTCACTGGGTCCGAATATACCCCCACTCGCTGCCAGCTGACGATCAGGTTAACTCTTATAAGATGTATACTTCAAACTATTGTTCTAAAGTTATAACGCATATTACCTACATACCTACATGAAAATTATGACTCATTGAGTTTAAAAATAAAATAGACATGTTATTAAATTGCAATGTATAGTTTATTGGTGAAAGGCGTAGTTAAATTTAACTTTCATAAAATTTTAACTATTTCTATTACAATATTTTCAGCTACCAAGTGAAGACGTCAGGGAGAGTGTAGCTCAAGTATCTAAATTCTTGAGAGCAGCGCGTGAAGTCGCGAAAGACGGGGGCAGAGACAAAAAAGCATCTCGAGACGGAACGAGAGATTCGATATTTGAAGTCACTCTGCGCAAAAAACTCGATTATGACCATAACTTTGAAGTCTGGCTGCCACCTTTCTAGTGTGTTCATTATATTGATTTACTTAGCTTTAATAAACGCTTGCTCAATAGCTTTGATTTTGAATTTTCATCTGCCAATATGTTATGTCTATTATTTGTTCATTTCATGTAACGTCAATGAAATTTCAAATCGAAAATCGGATTCCAGCGGATATGTATATTTCTATACCTTGTTAGGAATACATATGTTATGAGCATTCAAATTAATTGACACGAAAACAAACCGACGTTCGTTAATAGTAAAATTTTGTCCGTCTATACAACTGAAACTGAATTTTAGTCATGGATCCGTGTGGTTATATGAGAATGCTAAGTCTACAAATAGTAAAATCAAATCGTTAACGACCACAGGCTGGAAATTCGGATTTCGCGCTCATAGGTGAATGATACGCTACGCTCGTTAGCAACTGACTGTTCTTGCTGTTGTATTTTAAGCTAAATACTTGCGGCAACAGTAACACAAGTTTGAGCAAATTTGTAGTACTGTTGGTAGAATATATGATAGTTACGTTCATTTATATATCAAAGCTTTGATATTCAAAGAGAAATGATTCTTAGACAGTTTTAAAACTATTTATAAAAAATAATATCGTTTCGTCTTCTATGTTTATATTGTTACCCTATATTTTCGATAGCAAGTCATTATTTCCATTTGAACATAAAATAAATTAAGAGTTGGTAATTTAATGTAATAATTTTGTTCGTATGACTCATATTTTTAATTGTTTTAATATTAATATCATTGCAACTGGTTGCAAGTGTAATTAAAGTGGGCAAAGAGTGAAAGACTGAACGTGTATGAGTAGCGCCGGTCAATAGAAAAACACAATGGATTCTGAACAATACCGACCATTCATCGCTCTTAAACGTTGCCAGCCAAATGGAAATTTTAGAGCTCGACTACATGTCACTATTATTTGATTTTCTTCATATGCCAACAAATGGAGCGATTGTACGTTTTTTTTGCTTCACATTTTATCGGGAGTGACTGCTATTTGACCCACGGCTACTTTGCCATTTCAATGATTTTCCCTTTGTTTCTCTTCGGTTCTGTGTGAATTTTCCATTAACGTGATTACAATATTTACGGACTACATATTCCGAGCTTTTAATAATATTATCCTCGTATATACTCACTCGTCTTATTTATTTTAACTACTTTATATTGGAGATAATGGAGTTTTTTTAATCACCTGATAAATAATGCATTTCATCATAATAACCAATATAAACAACAGTTATTAAGATTTTTTTTATCAGAATCTGATTTATGTATTCAATATGTTTTTTTTATTACATTAGCGTCTATAGAAGAATTAATAAGATTCTCTGTATTTTTATTGCTCATTCTGAAAGGAGTTTAACATCATTGAAGATCTTATGTTCTAATTAATCCGACAATAATAAACAGTACTATTTAATGATAAAATTTATAGATAAACTATTAAGAAAAGAAACTATCACTATCAATTTTGCGCTAATAATTATTTTATTGGAATTATTTCAATATTGTTAAATAATGCAAATTTTATTAAAAACATCTAATCATATAATTATTAATGTAGTAATGTTTATTGTAAAAACCTTTAATTAGTAATTCTAACTATCAATTCCATCAACGCTGAGTGACGCGTTGCAATAACTTTAAATGCTTTTAAATTATTAATTTGTAATTTAGCTAACACCTGAATGGCAAAACAGCTAGTGCAATATGCAAAGAACTCCCCAGTGACACGTCCGACCATATCACCTACCTATTTGTTGTTTAACGACACATTAGAATATTATATCTCTATATTCTAAACTATCACGGGACAATTTTGCCTCCTTTAGCAATATCAGAGCAGCACTTCTAACTGGGAATTGTCACTTGTCATTGTATGAATAACAAATCGAGTATTTGTGATTCCAACAACATTTGATTACTACAACTGTTTTCTCTGTATGTGTGTGTATTATTTTCAGGGTTTGTATGTATCTATTAAGTAAACTTTGTGACAATTCTCTTTTCTTATTTTTTATGTTTATTGTTAGTTTATTGACGCAAACTTTATTTGTCAATCTATCGCATTGCTCATTACGGTTAGTCAGGGAATAGAAATGAAGTGAAGGGTGCATGTCAGAGCAGAAAAAGGTAATATGCAAGGGAAAATGACTCTCAACACCTAACAGTGTAGCATTTCCATTTTCATTTATTCTTTCAATTGTCCCGCGAGACTTTGTTGTTTAAAGTAGTGATTTAAATAACTGTTTTGTTTAGTTTTTCACATGCTTATTCATAATAAACTCTAAAAGTAATATATATTAATGCTTATGATTGATATTATACTATGGACTCAGTTTATGGTATTCAAAATGCAATTAGATATAAACGTTTAAATATCAATAGATTTTAAATGAGATTTTTATCATTTTATATATATTTACTCATAAAATTTTAATACAGCTTAGTTTTAGGTACAAGAAGTTATACTTTCTTTGTGGTTTCATAAGATCAAAGCATATTTTTTTATTTTCTTAAATTAAAAATTAGTAAAGTCATTTAGGAATTTATTGTAAAGTAATTGATATTACTCAGATCATGTTCAATAATATTCTTATTTTTATAACTTTTTAAAGAACTTTCTTGTTTAAGTTTACAGTTGTAAATTTTGCAAAATGGTTAAAACTATCTTTTGGTGTTTTGTCTTTGGCACATCTCAAAGGTCCTGACCTTAAAAAAAATTATTTATTAGTAAAAAATACTGCATAACTTCGCTATTGTTTAAAGAAATTTTCCAAAGCAAAAACCACTGACAGAAGGAGGGAAATTCTCTCATAGATAATCAAAATATTTGTGATTGAATTAATTAAATATGTATGTTCATACTTCGTAATATTAGATTATTATTATTTGTTTTTTTCTTTGCGTCACTTACTTGGGACACCGCCGTTTTATTCTTGCCCCTGGCCGTAGAGCGCAAAGGCTATTGATGATTTATACGTTTAATTACAGACACATATATCACTAAACTGGCTAGGCATTATATGGATTACTATTAGTTATCGAAAACTGTTTGATTGTTTGTTATTTTGTGGTTATGATATTAAACGTAAAATAAATACTTTCCAAGTTTAAAATTACTTGAAAGTAAGGTTAAATGAGTTTTTTTTAAACCTACACTATATATAGTCTAGGATTATCAGGTAATCAAGCTTTCAGAATTTGTCTAAGAAGAGACGAAGAATGTATATGAAATCTAAAGCCATATTCCAAAGCATGGTTTCATCGTGGAATTAATAATTCCATATTCCGTAATAACACATAGGCACACATCGGCGACCGCGACAATTCAATGAACGACCGGACGACGCGTTCGGGCGAGCAATCCATTATGCAGATTGCCAGCCCGATTGCGGCATTGTCGCAGCTCGGTGTGCCTATTACGGAACGTTGCAACGCCCCGTGATCCTACGGATACATTTTACCTATATACCGATATAACGATTGATTGATCCATTCATATATTTTATAAACGTTTCGGAACAATTACACGCACTATCTTGATGCTATTCAATATTGCTTTGATATCAATTTGTATTGCATATAGGATTTCACGAAGCGGTTACTTGATTCGATGGCAACGTTAACAATACAAAGCCTATTAATGGGAACTTGTACTTTGAACAGCGATTACTGTTGGTAACAGACTATATATTAGGGATTGTAATATTCTGCGAATGACAGCTTCATTGAAATATTCATATGTACGGTTTCATTTAATTGTAGGTAAATTTCTAATACAAATTTAAGGAATTGCGTAGAAAATTTATTGTTGAAGAGCAATGAGATTAGTCTATATTTATGTTTGAACTCATATAAAAAACTTACAAATATTATAATACTGTTATGGTATGATAGTAAACAAGTTTCACTTTAAAAATGAGGACGTTTATGAGTATACAAGAGAAGCTTCGGAATATACAAACAATAACAAAATAATAAAGTACGTTGCAAACATTGCTGAAAAGTGTGACATGTTTATTCAGTTCGAAACTAAATAAAATTTCATTACCCCTCAATTTTAAAGTCTGATTATAATGAATTTTTAGAGGCGAGTCCCAATTTCGGCTTTAGTTTACCCCGTTACCCGGCCACGGACCGTGGAAGTCATGAATATGTAATTATTTCTCCGCTATTAATATTTTTACCAGCTCCCGTAGCGTTGATTGCCTCTTGAATTTATTATCTAACTCCAGGATCTCCATTCAGGTATTTATTAAGACCACCTGCCAGGCCGCGAACGCACCTCTCCCAGTGAATTATGGTCCGAGGATTTCACTGATAGAATATTTTATTTCTCTTGTTTCTCTTTGTTTATGGTCTGCAAAATTAATGCCTCATTCTCGAATTGAAATCGCGGTATTTTGATTTTGTGTGAAAGCATTTTCGAGTTCGCTGGTTACATTAATAATTTGTTCAAGAAAATATCCTTATGACATTCGTGTTAATTAATGTTTAACTTGGGTTCGATTATGGGTTTATCTGACACATAATTGTATTGCTATTGCTCTTGTCTATTCTTGATCTTTGTTTTATTTTAAGTTATTTGTAACAAAATATTTTACCGAACCGATCCTGTAACCAAGAGTTCAGAATTAACAATGTTGTGGTTTTAATAAAAGGTAAAAAGACGGGCCGAATAAAAACTAAGCTGATTTTGTACTGAAAATACATAATAACTGTTTTAAAAAAAGTAACAGAGACAAAACATCAAAGAAAACTTTATAGAGATTTGTAATCTCATGTATAAACTTTATTTACATAAAACAAAATATTAAGTTCTTATTTTACGCAAATACTTACAGAGTTATATGAAATAGAATTTTATAATTAAAAGTGGATGTTTCAGTTGAAACTAAATGCCAGTGCAAGCAAGTTTGTAAAAAGATAAAGACTGCTTTGTAATTCAACAAAAAGAATTCAATTAGGTTGTAGTTAGCAAAAGGAACAACTGTAGT